GTAGAAAATGATCCTTGGCTAGGGTTTATTTTGGAACAAAAAATTTAATAAGCTTAAATGGGTAGCAAATGGATAATTTTTATGTATGAGAAGGATAGAGAAAGATGGTCATTTATTATTTCAAACATGATCACTTGACTAGAATAGTAAATCATTGAATATGTCCCTTTTGTTTATTTTTTTCTCTTTATTTTATTTTATTTTTTTATGCCCCATCCTCTTTTACTCAAGGTTTTAATGACAATCAAGTCGTATATGATCGATCGCATAGTTCAAAAAGGCTCTTTGGGCTTCAAAATTTTTTATATTTTTTTTTGTAAAAAAAAAGAGAAAAGGTATAAAGATATGAAACAAATTGTCTTAGGCAAAAGGGATTTTGCTTTTTTTTCTTCATCCATGTGCCTTAAGACAGGAAACAAGGGTTACTTGAAAAGAAAAGTTTAGACATTTTCATGTCTATGGTTATAACAAAATTTGACACACATTGAATTATCAATTGAAATTTTAAAAAAGCATCTTAATGATTTATTTAAAATAAATAAATAAAATTTTAAAATTGACCTCTTTTGCTCGTTGCCCAAGAAAAGATTATCATTCATTTAAAGTACGAATCCAAACTCACATTTCTTGAAGGATTATGGTCGATGGATCAAATTATTTACGTGATTAGGGACATGAAAGCATTCAAAAAAGTGTGAAGGTGTTTGATGAGCTTTTTTCTAATAGTAATCACCATTTCCCTTAAGAATCCTTCATCTTTATTATAGAAAAAAAAAATTTTTTTCTCTTTTTTTTTTTTTTTTTATTTTTGAAAGTTACTTATGTAGGACTTTTATTCAAACAAATGCATAAAGAAAAAATTTCATGAAAAAGATCCAAAATATTTAATTCTTCCAAAATATGTTAAATAGCTCATAAGGACACTATGTATATGTCATCATACATAGTAAAAAGATTTAAAAAAATCATCTTATCTTGATCTTCAAAACTCAAGATCTCTCTCTTTATCTCAACTTTTCACATTTAACAATTGGATGGAGTCAACTTCCATTGTCCTATCACCTCTAGAGTCAGAATACACTTCTTAATAAGATCTTTAACCTTTTCTTTTAACTATCTGCAGCACATCTACTATCTCGACATGGATCAAAGAAGGGTTCTTGTGAATAACTGGCTTCATCTTGACATCAAAACTCAGATATCCAGTTTTCATCAGTCCTTGCACCCTATGTTTCAAAGTGGTACAATCTTTCAAAGAATGGCTTGTGATGCCAAAATGGTATTCACATTGAGAATTTGGGTCATACCATTTGGGAAAATATGGTTTACGAGATTCAACAAGGATAAGGGCAATGTGATAGTTTCCTAGAAGCAGCAGGTATAACTCTGTGTAGGACATAAGTATTGGATCAATAGGAGCTTTTCTTTTGGTGTTGCTAGAATTTTTCTACCTTATAGTTTGTTTGCTTTGCTAAAAAGATGGTATGGTTGGTCTTAAGGTGAATTGAAAAACTCTAGGTTAAAGATTGGGTTGATAAAGTGGTGACGGGATAGCATGTTGAACAAGTGATTGTAAAATATGAGATGGTAGACATGGATTTAAGTGTGAAATTTTTGAAGGTCGCATGATATTTGGGGGCCTAATCCTAAGTGCTTGGAAAGGAAGTTGGAAGTAGTCATAAGAAGGATTTGAGTACAGGTTAGGACTCGAAATAGTTGGTGATGGTTGGTTGAAGCCAGGCGATTCTGATTTGGAAATCAAAATTTTGAGCTCAGCCATCTGCTTGGTTAGTTCACACATTCTTCTTTTGAGTTCGTCCAAACCTTGATCACTGTTCAAATCACCCAATGCTTTAACTTGCTTTGGAAGAGTGTTGAAACTAACAGGAGCCAATTGACCTTGATTTGATGGAATTAAAAGTGATAACGATTCTTGAGGAAGAACAAACTCAACTTTACCACTACCTTTAACCATTTTTATTAATTGAGCCATCTGTTGTTTCATCTCTCGAAGCTCGAGTCATAATTTCTCTTGATTTAACTCCAGAGTACTAATCTTTGCTTCCAATCGATCTTTTATTTTTGCCATTCTAATTTCTATCAAGACAGACATTTTATTCTGAGACTTAGACAAAAAATTTTAGATTATTACCCTTATTGAATGAATGTCACAAAAATAATGATACACAAAGTATGTTTATGAATACATGAATATGATGGCTAAAGAATGTCATAAAATATATACATGCCTATGACAATGGCTTTTTATATGTACAAGGACCTAAATAAAAATTTTCGTCAACCATGAATGTGTATGTAAAGAATATAGTGTTATATTATAGGGATAATGGGATATGAAATGCAATGTATGTTCTATACGACCCTATTATTCATGAATCTATATGCATGAAATGCAATGACATATTTACATAAATGGTGAGATGTATTCTTATGACTAATGCAGCATACTTGTATAGAATGCATGAACCTATCAAGTGCACGTTATATTTTTACATGAAATGATTGTGTTATGTCATCCTAATGAACTGACACTACCTTCAAATGTGTAATCAAATGGAATGTACGCACTACCTATTAAGATGCATATGGAAGGCATGTATCGTTTATCAATATGTGCATAACATAAGATGTATGCACTATCCATTGATATGGATGGGATGGAATTCTCATATTATCCTATTATGATGCATATGGGATGGGATTAAAAATCAAACGAAAATACAAAAAATGAAACATCATTCAAAAAAAGAAAAAAAAATCTTTGTTTTTAAGGAAAAACATTTTTTTCACATGGAATACTATGACTAAAAAAAATTAATTTTTATTTAGCCAATAAATAAAAAATTTAAAAAAAAATTTCGCTTTTTGTTTATTGGATAATGCTAAAAATAATTCAAAAATATTTTATGGAAATGCAAATTTTGGATAACTACCAAAGAAAAAAAAATCTTCAAGAAAATGCTTTTCTGTTATTTCCACAAAAGGACAATACTCTATCAAAGGTTAGGCTTTACGACTCACTATATGTCAGGTTAGGATTTATGTGTTTAAAGGTTCCCAGACTATTCCTTACATCATCGTCCATTATAGACTAGTAAGGTTCTCCGATCCTCACCCATTACGGATTACTAACGGGAATGGTTCAATCTGAGTGGAAGTGTTTCACTAGCAAATACGAAGGTATCACCTCACGAGAGTATAGCTACTTCACTTCCTCCTATAAAGGATAAGAGCCGGGTCTAGAGCTCATGCATGCGGATGAATATGCAAAGTGTGTGTAAAAAGATATATTAATTAAAATAACATAAATAAATCATAAACATAAAATCAAAATAAAGTAATAACTAGCATGCAATTTATTTTATTCATTAACTTCTATATTTTTGAAAAATAAAATAAAAGAAATTAAATTAAATATCAAATAAAATCAATTAAATCCAACCATTGTCAATAGCCATAATTAAAATTTTGGCTTAACTCTCAACCAGTCCCCAGTGAAGTTGCCAAGTTGTCATAATAGTTTTGAGACTGTCAGAAGTAAAAAGTTTTAAAATCGAGAGAAATAAAAATGAGAGTTGCCACCAATCTTTTTTAGGGTGTGATTGGCCACCCAAAAGTTTATCTTTTTAACAAAACTATAAAAAACAAGTTTAAAGTTTACCAAAAAGATAAATTTTGGTCTACGAAAAATCAGGTTAGGTTCGGGAGTCGATTACGTGTGGGAAAGGATTAACACCCCCATAACGCCCATAAATTGGTACCATTTAATTATGCGTTATTTTTTGTGTTGGATAAAAATGATTTTGACTTGAAATTTAATAGTAATTCCCTTCATTTGGAAAAATAAAATTTTGTTAAAGCTCTTTATTTAGGAATATCGAGAAAATCTTAAAGTTAAAAAATTATTTTAAAATTCTCTAATATCTAGGCAGAATTTAAAATAACTTTTCTTGCTTAAGATTTAATACGATAATCCTTAAAATGAAATAACAATCTTTATAGAAGATAAATGTTAGTGATCTCCAATATCTAGGTAGAGTACCAAGAATTATTTCCTTCGAAATGTTATTTTTATTTTATTTTATAATATCATAATTTTTTTTAAAAGTACTATTCTTTTTTTATTATAAAATATGTTATCATCAAATAATAAATAAAAATTAAAGAGAGAATAATGCAGATAATTATTGATGATAACATGCTAAAGTATGTATGCTAATGAATGTCATGTAAAATGAAATACAATTTAAAAGTTGAATTCTTAAGTATAATGAGACCACCTTGACTCTCCAACATCCAGACAAAGCTTAGGTGCGACTGTTTATATTTAAAAATCCAATTTACTATTATACTTTTTATTTATTAATCTTATTATTAATGCGAATAAGAACTCGTGTAAAAAAACTTAACGAAGTAAAGTTTCCTAAACACCCCATCATCTAGGCAACTTTCGGGAACAAATCATTTCAAATGAGATTCTCACACTTGTCCTTAAGATTTTCATAATGTTTTGAGTAAGGGCTTGCGTAGAAGTTTTAAAGATTAGGGTTTCAAGATTTTGAAGATTCGGATTTTAAGGTTTTGGTTTGAGGGATTTTGAATTTTAGGGGTTTTAGTTTTGGGGTTCAAATTTTTTGGATTTCAATTTTATGGTTCAGAGGGTTTAAGATTTAATTTTAAGGTTTGAAAGTTTGGGATTTCGATTTTAGAGTTTTGAAGGTTTAAGAATTAGTCTTAGGGTTTTTAAAGGGTTGGAGTTTTGATTTTAAGGTTTGAAGGGTTTTGATTTTAGGATATGGATATTTTAGGGATTTGATTTTAGGGTTTTGAGGTTTAGGGTTTGAATTTTAGGGTTTAAAGAAAACATGAACATCTATAAAAATCTTCAACATCTAGGCGGACTTTCAGAACAAGTTCGATTTTTATGATTTTTTAAAATTAATTAAAAAATTCTCATATATTTTTTTTTATGAAAATTTATGAATAATAATTCCCCAACATCTAGGCGAAATTATTTTTAGAAATATATTTTTATTCTCTCCAATATCTAGGTAGGGAAAATAAAAAATTATTCTATTATTATTATTATTTAAGCATTTTTAATATTTGTTTAGTTATTATCTTACTTTGTTTTCATTTTATTATTATTAAAAAACAATTAAAAAATTATCCTAACAAATTTAAAAATTTATATCCTAACAAATTTAAAAATTTATCATGCATAAATATAAAAATACTCAAAATAACAAAAATAATAATATATAAAAAAATTAGAAAATTAAAAAAAAAATTACCTAAACTGGAACGATCAACGGTCCGATCAACAACGGTTCGGTTCGGTGCGCGGTTTAGTTGAGCCAGTTGAAAAGCGGTTCAGATCGATCTAGGGAGCAGTTCGATCCGGTCTGGTCAAATCGATTCAAAGTTGCTGAGGAGCCGGGTTGGCGGGTCAGGTCCGGGTCCACGCGCGGATCCTCCGCTGCCCAAAACGACGTCGTTTTGAGCTTTGCTTTCCTATATATAACTAAAGATTTTTTTTTGTTTATTCTTTTCTGTTTCAGAAAAAAAAAAAAAGAGCTCTAGGGTTCTCGCCGAACCATCGCGCTGGCCATCGCCTGGGTCACTGCCGGTAGTTTTTGATCATCGAAAAATGTAAAAATTATTCTGAAAGCCCTCTTCAACGTCCTTTTTTCAGATCTGGCTCTCGTTTCACTAGAAACAGCCCCGACATCGTAGATTGGGGCTTAAAGTTTTCTGCCTTCTTTTTTTTTTTTTGAAATGAGACTGATATATATTTTTTTGCTTTTGCAGGTAGCTCAGCACTAGATTCCTCCCTGCGGGGAGGACTGTATTTATCTTTATTTTTTTGTTTCGATTTGTGTGTTTCTATTTGGGTATTTGAGTTTTTTTTTTTTATCTGGTTTTCTGATGGGTAGGAATGAGAAGGGAAAAAATTGGGACTTTAAAGATTGGGTGGAGTAAGGTGGCTGCAGGGATGGCTAGGGTAGGCTGTAGGGTGGCTGTAGGGTAGGAGCGTGGGCTGCCAGTGGTGGTTGCAAGGTATGGTGAGGGGACAAAGGTGGGTGGCCAGTGGTGTCGTGCAAGGCACCACTACCATCCCAGTTCTCTTTTTTTTTTTTTTGTTTCTATTTTTTTTTGTTATTTTTTTTATTAATTATTATATTTTATAATAGTATCAAAAATATTAATAAACAAAAATTAATCTAATAAATCCGGATAAAATTTGGTGTTTACACCACTCGATCTAATAGGCGTTGGTTGTGTGCAATCATATTTGCACCTAGTAAACTCAAGCCTATTATGCCTCCGATATATCAGTCAGATACCTCAAAGATGAAAGACCAAAAAATAGGGAAAAAAAAAAAGAACAAGGTAGAACAATAAGCAACTTGGGAGGGCCATTTATCAAGTTTTTCAATTTGCAGGTAACAGGACTCTGAAGCTAGCTTTGAAACATATATGATTACATGAAGAAGCCATGGTGCAAGGAGAGAAATGATGTGTGTATATATATATCATTGTAAAATTTTAAATTTCAAGTACAAAAACATCTCTATTATTTGCTTAATTGTTAAATCCCTCTTCTTATATTTTTTCCCTACTTAACATCTCTGAGCTTCAACATAAAATCCTGTTTTCTTTTAGTTTTAATTTTCCTAGTTAATTGACGTTGAATGAGAAGCTTACATCTACTTTGGTTGGGTTAGTCAAATTGCGATCGGGTGTAAAATAATTGGATGGGCCTATGGTTGATGTGGTAGAAAAGAGTCCATATAATAATTTCTCGTATGTTTGGAAGTATAGAAGCAAATTAAGTTGTATAAATTTGATGCTAATTTTTGTGTGATCTACTAATGCACTTAATACGTCATTGCTGCAAAGGATTTGATTCATGTTACAAATTGCAGTTTCAGTTTATTGCTTGACAACCCCTCCGGCCAACTTTGTGAAAGTGAATGTTGATAGTATTAGTACTACGGCTTGTTCGAATCCCGGGAACCTGGCGTTAGGTGGTTTATGTAAACATGAAAGTGGTAAATAGTTGTTTGGTTTTCATTATAAAATTAGCTTGGATGGTTGGGGTATTGTTATCTAGGCTGAACTCTATGCCATTTATAATAGTCAAAATTTGGCCTGGGATCATGGATGCCGACGTGTGGTTGTAAAGTTGGATTCACTTCTTGCAATGCAAAAGATTTTGCAGTCAATGCAGGAGAAGGATTCAATGTATCAGACGATATCTTGCCAACAGATTTTGAAAAGAGAGTGACAGTGTAAGGTTAGGGAGTCAAATTTTTATGCGGATTATTTAGAAAATTCGGCACACTCGAAGACTTAAACTTCTAACTTTGTTTAGATTGATGTAAGATGATCTTGTAGGGGGAAACTAGTTGTACTAGTTAAGTGGTTTTAACCACTTTTTTAGAACAATATATATATATATATATATATATGTTTTGGTTGTTGAAAAAATGAAATATTGGAGTAGCTGGCTGGATTAGGAAAATTAGGGATAATATTATGCGCACATCATTCTCAACTGCTCTGCTTGCCTGATATTATTTAATTTCTTCTTTTTGAAAACAAAATCAATTTGCTGTTGATCTCATCAGTACTACTACTCCTACTCCAACTCATGAACGAAATGTTTTGCCTTTAATAGAAACGATCCCAAAGAGAAATTAAAGAGGAAAAAAAAATAATTATATATTCATTTACTTATATATTGGTAAATTATTCCTTTTTAAAAAAAATTATATTGTAGCAAGACATTCTTTAATTAGGTTAACAATTAAGTACTCGGCAAAGCATCCCATTCGTTCAATATTAATCTAGACTTGATATTATGGCTAAGGGCACATATATACTTCTTGATGCTAGCTGAAAGTGTCAAATATTGTTTGTCTTTATGTAACTGATCTCACTTCATCAGCAAAAGCCTTCATTAGAAAGAAAGAAGGAAGTCTTGATCAATTGAAGTAATAATTTCTTAATGCAAGGATTAATGGGCAAATTAATATTACAACTAGTACTTGGAGTTCAGTTAACTCACAGCTTTCATATATAGAGACACAACGTAGATGATGACAAATTACCAAGCATGCACGAAGATAATGATCAAGCAAAAATAAATGGGGGGGGGGGGGGGTCAAACAAACTGTCCCATTTAGTAGAGTAGTTGTTAGAGCAGTTGAAGAAAGAATGTGGTTGTCTAGCCTTTTATACTAGGTAGATACTTAAAGAATTATTTTAAGTACTTCTTTAGATGAAATATATGTATATGTTGTTGTGATGAGTAGCCGGTCAATCCATAATCAACACACACTATTAATCTGATCATCTCCTCTTAGGTTGTCTTGGTAACCATGACCAGTACTGACTCCTCCAAGCCTTGGAGACCATTCGCAGCAAATTGTTGTTCAGCAAATGACCAAACAATTTTGGGCAATTTCAGCCGTTGCAGGCCATCCAGGTCAGACTTATCCAAGAACATTGCTCCATTACCATCGTTTCGACGATTGTCCTATTCTGATCTTAGTCGTTCATCGTCCACGCGTATCAACGAGGATCTTGCCCAATCTTTAGGGCCTGATTTGTATGATTTCCAGCTAAGCGAGCTACGGGCCATAACCCAGAATTTTTCTACCAATTTTCTGTTAGGAGAAGGTGGGTTCGGGACTGTGCATAAAGGTTACGTGGATGAGAATTTGAGGCAGGGTTTGAAGCCTCAAGCCGTTGCTGTCAAGCTTTTGGACATTGAAGGCCTCCAAGGACACCGTGAATGGCTTGTAAGCAAATATACCCTTCTCTCTCTCTCTTTTGCAGATAAAACGTTTTTCTCTTCATTCATCTATTTTGAGGTTCTCTCCCGATGACTTACATTCAGCTTCTCAAACTTGTGTATATAGCTAAGTAAATTATTTATTAAATATCGCAAAAAAGTGGTATATGTATACATAAATTTTTATTTTGTTTAATTGTACAGAATGCATGGGTTTTATCTTAATTATTATCATAAAGAAAAAATTGGTAATTAAAATGATAAATTTGATAAATGGTCCTACTTTTTTACAAATTGCTACTATATATGCTAATTATTAATTAGCAGAAAGACAACTTTTCTTACTTAATTATATCCTTTAGGTTTTACATATATAATATATAATTTATTTTTAAAGAAACTTATTCATAAAAGAAAAGCAATTAGTAAATAAATTCTGACATATAATAAGCAATTTAAATTCATTACATTAAAAATAACCAATGAATTGATATTTGATAATCAAATCAATAGCCTAATGAAAGGAAGAAAAATATATAGTTTGGGTAACTATATATACATACGCATAGCATAGGCGCTAACCTTTTCTTTTTTACCATATTCTATATAAAGAAATCCACTTTTCTATTTTTTGTATTCAAGCAATTGATTGCGAACTAGAAAAATTTTATACTGTTTATCAAAAAAAAAAATTTATATTGTTGTGCAGGCAGAAGTAATATTGTTGGGGCAGCTTCGACACCCACATTTGGTCAAATTGATTGGGTATTGCTGTGAGGACGAACAACGTCTCCTTGTATATGAGTTCATGCCCAGAGGAAGTTTGGAGAATCATTTATTCAAAAGTTATATTTTACCAATTAAACCATCCTTTAGTTTCAGACAAATTTGAATTTAAATTATCAATTATTCTCATGTTGTAAAAACTAAAAATTAAGGCCCAAATTAATAAAAATATATACGATCACGTTTTCCCTCATGTTCTTAATTTTTAAAAACTTGATATATAGCAGGGATCTCAACATCCTTGCCGTGGGGCACCAGACTGAAGATTGCCATTGGAGCAGCCAAAGGGCTTGCATTCTTGCATGGAGCTGAGAATCCTGTCATATATCGTGACTTCAAAACTTCCAATATCTTGCTTGATTCTGTGTGTAGTTCTATATTAACTCTTTCTCTTGCTTTTTTTTTTTTTTTTTGGAAACAAAACAGTACCATTTGATTTAATTGCTCTTAAATTAATTTTATGTATCAAATATTCTATATCAGGATTTTACAGCCAAATTATCGGATTTTGGACTTGCCAAGATGGGGCCTGAGGGCTCAAACACGCACGTCACAACTCGCGTTATGGGCACCTATGGTTATGCTGCACCAGAATATGTATCAACAGGTTAGGTTACAGTAATTACCATAAAAAAAAAAAAAAAGAGCAAACGCGAGGAAATTAAAGAAAAAACGCAAAATTTCCTTTCTGGAATCGATATTTGCAACGAATTTAATTATTCCAGGCAGAAATTAATTAAACGTACTACTTTCTATCCGATTCTGACGAACAGAAACTTATGATGATCCTATTGTTATGATTAATATATATATTCAGGCCACTTGACAACAAAGAGTGATGTTTACAGCTTTGGAGTAGTACTACTAGAACTGCTTACAGGAAGAAGAGCAGTGGAGAAATCGAGGTGTAAGAATGAGCAAAACCTTGTTGATTGGGCTAAACCTTACTTGAGTAGCAGTCGGAGGCTGCGCTACATTATGGATCAAAGACTTGGCGGCCAGTATTCTGTTAAAGGAGCAAAAGAAATGGCTGTTCTGGGATTGCAATGCATTAGTTTGAACTCTAAAGACAGGCCAAGGATGCCAGCCGTTATTCAAACACTTGAAGCCCTGCAACAGTACAAGGACATGGCAGTCTCCTGTGGTCAATGGCCGGTCTCCTCAAAATCCAATAAAAATGGAGTTTCTGTTTCTGCTGGTAACAAATTCAGGGCACAAGGTAGAGGTGGCGTTCAGAAAAAGTCCACTTCAGCTACTCCAAATCGGAAGGAAGGCATCATGATTCAAGTCTAAATTATTTCTACTCCTAGTATGTATATATATAAATAATGAGCAAGCTAGCTAATTTCTCTCTTTCATAATGCAACCTTTCTTTGTAAATAGTTGAACCCTTTTTTTTTTTTTTTTACATAATACCCCTCAAAAAATTTAACTAGATAATTATAATATGTAAAGTATCCTACACAATTTGGTAACATATTATTATAATTGTAAACTCGTATACATGCTAGATGATTATTTAGAAAATTAACGTGTTATTGATATTAGTTAAATTGGTACATTAATAAATGACAAAAGAAAAAAGTTACTAAATTGCTAGCTATAAGCCATGCATGCCCTTTGATATATAGGTTCAAACGACATATTTTTTAGTCATTTGCAAAATGTAATCAAAGCATTGGCATAATTACATTGTTGAGGGTTATGTATTTTGGCTTGGACTAGTATTATATAGTATAATAATTCTTTTCTTGGACTTGGTAATATAATTGAAGGCCAATGTACAGTTCCAGCCGTAGATATATAGCATATAATGTAGGGATGGAGTAAGGTTTAGGGTTATCAAATTTATTGGGCATAATGGAGTCAAAATTGATGCAAATCTATCTTTGTTGGGTTGGACGTCAAGCATCATAGTAAGGATGCCTTGCCGGGTTAATTAATCTTCAACCTCAAATATATATTCAGGCATTAATTAAACGATGAAAATATATGAAGAGTCAATGACTTGAACTGCCAGCACATTAGCAATTTCTCTGTGAATATTTTCAATTATGTAATTTGAATATAGGAAATTGGAACAATATTAATATTTGACTCAAATATGGTAAGTAGCAAGTGTATCCTAATTTTTATCCAAATTATCATAATTTCTCAAATTATAAAAAAAAAAAAAATGGTTGCGTATATATTTTGAAAGTAGCATAGAGTTTGAAGTTTTCAATTCATAGTATAGTTACCAGCTAATTTCTTCCAATTTCATTCATTAGTAATTAAATATGATGAATAGAAGCTCTTATAATATGATATATATATATATATATGTATAAGCTACTCTACTTAACAATGAAGAAAAAAGAGTTTTTAAATGAATCCACCGATCGAAACCTCTCAAGCCTCGCCTCAGCCTCAGCCTCAGCCTCAGCCTCAGGTTTGCCTAATTTGTCAAAAATGGACATGCGTTTACTTCGGCTTTCAAACATCCTCTTCACTTTTAGACCATGAAGTTTTAGGGCCTGTAAGTCAACCGTCAAAACTCAAAATCCCACATTCAGACGCTTGTGTTGACTCGCTGGCTTCTAAATTGAACACACACACGAAACCGAGTCCCATGAATAATACTAGTGTCAGATACAATGCACAAAAAGAGAAAAAAAAATGTTGAGTACTTTGTACTATTTCCTTTTATTTATAAACAATGGATCTTTACATGAAATTATAATTAAAAAAAAAAAAAAAAGTTAACGACAAAGCTTGAAGTGCATATATATATAGAAAAGGCAAAAGAAAACTGTTGCGTTGGCCCGCTTTTTTCTGAGCACCACCGGTGCCAAAAATAAACATATATGTATTTAAAATTTTAATAGGAAATAAAATTAATTTTTTATTGGAGTAATTGAATAAATTATCATCATGATCTGCCTTTTCCTCGTTAGAGGGGGCGTGAGAAACGCACTAAAAATTTAGAAAAGATGAACTCCAAAAGCCAATGCACTTGCTTAAGTGCGTGCTCTGCCCACCCCACTTTCCTTCCTCCCTACACCTAACTTTGCGTTTTATATTTTGCATTTTGCAGCATACCTCAACTCAGCTAGAATACAGTCTGTATATGAATAAATGAATGAACTCAAACAACCAATAAACAAAACCCATTCTTTCCATGATAACATTCTTATATTTTATACTAGCAAACCCAAAATCTACATGCCATTCATTCCATTCTTTCTTTCTTTCTCTTTTCGTTTAAAGTAAAGAAAATGGCCTTTAACAGCAAACCCAAGAAGCCCCATCTGATCTCGATGCATTCCAATCTGTACACCACTCTTTTGTTCATAATTGTCTTCACCGTTCCTCTTTTGTTTCTCCTCCACGCCTCTACTTCCTCCCTCTGCACCCCTCATCCCTCAAGCAACGACAACTCTTGGTCCGGTGACCTTCGAAACTCCCTATTTGCTTGGAATCGCCTTCCTTTCATCCCCATTCAACCCCCACCTGTCACACTCAAAATCGCTGTTTTTTCCCGAAAATGGCCCATTGGCACCACCCCTGGCGGCATGGAACGCCATGCCTACACCTTGCACACCGCTTTAGCTCGCCGTGGCCACCAAGTTCATGTATTTACATCCCCTGTCAATGATTTCAACGATCACCCTGATACCCCAACATCTTCTAACTCCCCAAGAATTCACTGCCATGAAGGTGAAGCTGGTAAGTGGCGATACAACAAGGCTTGGGAGCTCTTTGATGAAGAGAACCAGCGTCGACCATTCGACGTTATCCATTCCGAAAGTGTGGCTCTTCCTCATTGGTTGGCTCGCAATCTTAAGAATCTTGCTGTTTCATGGCACGGTATAGCCCTCGAAAGCTTACAATCAAGTATTTACCAAGATTTAACTCGTAAGCCCAATGAACCCATATCGCCTTCTTTCAACATTAGTTTATATGGGGTGGTCCCAAAAGTGCTTAGCGAAATAAGATTCTTCCATAGCTACGCTCATCATGTTGCAATCAGTGATAGTTGCGGGGAGATGTTGAGGGATGTGTATCAGATCCCACGGAGAAGAGTCCATGTCATCCTCAACGGTGTTGATGAAAATGATTTTCGAAATGACTTATCCCTAGGTCTTGACTTCAGGTCTAAGATTGGAGTCCCCATAAATGGTAGTTTGGTGCTTGGTGTGGCAGGAAGACTGGTGAAGGATAAAGGTCATCCTTTACTATACGAAGCCTTCTCCAAGCTCGTAAGAAAGCACCCAGATGTCTATTTGATCGTGGCGGGGTCTGGCCCATGGGAGCAACGATACAAGGAATTAGGCCCTCGCGTACTTGTTTTGGGCTCCATGAGTCCATCCCAACTCAAGCCATTTTATAATGCTATTGATATTTTTGTGAATCCAACGCTGAGGCCTCAAGGGTTAGATCTCACTCTGATGGAAGCAATGATGAGCGGAAAACCGGTTATGGCGTCGAGGTTCCCGAGCATCAAAAGCAGTGTTGTTGTTAATGATGAGTTGGGTTTCATGTTTTCTCCCAACGTGGACTCGTTGTTGGAGGCTTTAGAGGAGGTGGTGAGAGAAGGCCCAAAGAGGCTAGCGCAAAGGGGAAAGGCATGTCAGAAGTATGCAGCTTCTATGTTTACGGCAAGCAAGATGGCACTGGCATATGAGAGATTGTTTCTTTGTATAAAAAACGACACTTTTTGTGTCTATCCTTAATTCCTTAGGCAGGCTATACTTCTTTTTTAGAACTAGTACAGTTGCATTTTACTTTCCATGTAAAAGATTTTGGACAATACAAGAGCTGGATTGATTTGAGGAACAATAGTACAATGTATGTTTTCGACTCAACGAGTATGTTATGTTGGCAGTTCAATAGACTCTGAGCCCAATGACTGACATATGGGGAAGTAAGCAAATAGCCCAAAGTTTGGACTTTTTTTTTAGAAAAGCCCATACACATCTTTGAGCTCAAATATGGAATGATCCGGTTCAATTGTACTTTGTTTTTCCTTTTAGACACTTCCTGAACATGATTACTACCATGAAAATGAAAATTAGTATTGAACAATAATCTTAACACAGGAATATCATATAAGTCCATAGGATTAAACAAAAATTATTTGATTTTGTTAAGGAGATCTTCTTCGCTTTTTTTTTTTTTTTTGGAAAATAAGAAGTCTCATTCCACCGAAGGACGTAAGGAAGCTACATAATTAGCCATAATTGGTTGCAGTGGCGAGAGTTCGTTTTCTAGTTCGCCATTATCACATGTTATGTTCTTTATGGTTAATCTTTGTCCTTCAAAATCTTACCTTTAAACAAAATTGTGGTACTACATTTCAAATTTTGTTTACTTTTAATTTATGATTTGCTTCTTTTTTTTTTTAGTTTAAAATGTTAAGACAGATTGAAATCAAAATGTCAAGCAAACGTAATCTTTTGAAGTTAGATAGGAATAGGATTTTTAGATTATTTTTTGCCTGTCTTTTTTATATGGAACATCGAAATTACAATCTCTTTTTTTTAAAAAAAAAAAAAAAGGAGATTCATAATTATTTTTACTTGATTATTAGTTTACCAATATCAATTCTTTCTTTCAAAAAATAAAATAAAATAAAGCAACATCATTCTTGAAAAACTTTATATCAAACTGAAAGTACCAAATTATTTAAACTTTATACAGCAAATTACGAGGGATATAAAAGAAGAAAACCCAAAAAAAAAAAAAAAAGATTTGGGCCCAGAGATGTGGAAGTGGAACCCGGGTTGTATTTTTTGTATTTGAGAGAAGAAAATTTCAATTGAATGAGAATAGAGAGAGTAATGGAAGAATGGCATCACCAAAAACTAATTCTGCCGAAAGTGGGAAAGCTATGGCGGCAGCAGTCAGAGTATCTGGACCAACATTTCAAGACCCCAAACGATGTGTCTCCATCTTCTACTCCTTGTTCTTGTCTGTTGTCGGAATTGACCAAACACTGTTCTGATTTGGACACTTGTCTGCTACACCTGCGCACCATTCTCATCGAACGCGCCCTTTCATGGATCTCTCGTTCATTTCACGCCAAAGCTTCCCTCGCCAATCTCAATCTCAATCTCACCCTCTATGCTTCCTCTCCCGGTTAGCACTCTGCATTATATGTTGTTTTATTTCGCTTTTATTTTTCCACCATTAACTCTTTCTTTCTTTTTTTATTGTTATTTTGCATATTTGGGTCTGCAGATGGGACTGCTTCCCAGAGAATGCAGCAGAGGATTTTGGGTGAAGAACTGCAGCAGCTCGTGCTTCAATTGCAACGAATTCACAGCGTCCGCCAATATCTTGGTCAGCAAATTTTTAGCCCTTATCGCTATAATTCCAACTTCCGAGCAGATAATTTAATGCTTAGTTATTCTTCTTCTTAATTACCTACATTATACTGGGTTTCATTCTTCATTACCATAAAACACTTGTTGTTGGATTTTATGGCCGTGTATATGTATATATATGCAAGTTTCTTCAATGGCATACTTGTCAAGAGTCAAGACAGCAATAGCCTATTAGCGTCTGTCTGCCTTCAACTTGAAAAGGAAAAGCCTGCTGTCTATGACAGTTACTGAATGCAGCTTTGGACTAAGAAAGCTCAGCTAATGATAATACCTATAATTTATTGCCTAAGTGGCCTTATTGCTGGATGCTGTTAAAGAACATATTCTTCTATTATTAGAACGAGAGCACATAAATTTAAACTCTTAAGGTGTGATCCTTCCTCTGCTTTTAAATATGTTTTTGTGTCTTTCTTTGTTCTTAAGTGCGATTCTTTTCCTAATATTATACATACTATGCCACTAGGCCATAAGCTTAGCTAGTCTTTTCGAAATAACAGAAACAGCTCTTTGCTTAGAAGCTTTGGTAGGAGACCTTGAAGATGCAGTTTTCTGTTCTGGGAATCACTGTACAGGGAATATGTTCACAAAGCTTTCAACTACACTGACTTCACAAGTAATTACTCTGATCCTGTTTTTCCCTATTATTTCAGAATGTATCTCTACCATTATATCCAGACACTCATGCCCTGCAGGACTTTGGACAAAAGCAAGAAAGATTGCTGCGGGCCATAAAAGCCATTAACGATATTGAGGAGATAATTGTTAATGTTGAGAAATCCCAACAACAATGGCATCAACTTCTACAATCAGTAGATCATAGAGTAGATAAAATTTTGTCTGTAATTCGACCAGAAGCTCTTGCAGAACACCGTGCTCTTCTTGCTTCTTTAGGGTGGCCTCCTAAACTTCTAACATCAAAAGTCGAAAGTGGAGCGGTCGCTGAGCTCCCAAACCCACTAGTTCTTATTCATGGAGATGAAAAGAAGTCTTATGCTCAAAGTTTTCAAGTTCTTTGTGCTTTGCAGCAACTGCAGACACGTAGAGAAGTACGAAAGATCACTACTTTAGATCAAAAGGAGTATGGCATACGACTTTGGGCTATTGATGAACTGGTGTCTCCACTTGCAGAAAGAATGGAATATCACTTCTTGAAATGGGCTGAGCAGCCTGAGTTTATATTTGCTCTTGCATATAGAGTTACTAGGGGCTTTATGGTGGGGGTAACTGATATTTTGCAGCCTTTGATTGATGCAGCCAGATTATTGGGCTATAGTGCTAACGAAGCTTGGGTTTCTGCAATGGTCCATATGCTTTCTGGGTTCTTAACAGAAAATGTTTTTCCTGCCTTGGCTGAAAGGTATAAGGAGAAAGACATGAAATTAGAAGTTATCTCATTGTGGCTTCATCTGGTTGACCTTATTGTTGGTTTTGATAAACGGATGCAGTCACTAGTAAGATCTGAGACTTGTCTCTTCTTGCCAGATGCTCAAAGGTATGATGGGCTTTCAAGAGGGATATCAGTATTAAAAATATTTTGTGATAGACCAGATTGGCTAAAGATTTGGGCAAAGATGGAGCTCAAGGATGGCTGGAAGAAACTAAAAGCAGTACTGAAGGATGCAAAAGCTTGGCAAGTTGATGACACACATAGAATTGACTTTAATGTTAGTAAAGCATGTGAAACTTTTCTGCTCTCTTCCAGAGAGGACCATAAAGCTCCACTGGTTGCAGAATCTGCACTTAAAATTGCGCAAGAAATGATTGATCGATCCCAAACTTTGCCAACTGTTTTGGCACGTGTCCAATTTGTTACATCAACTGTAGCCAGATTCTTCTGGCATTTTTCTAACGTATTGCTTCTTCATTGCAAGAATGCTGAATTATCTGCTGAAAATTCTGATGATAGTGCCTCGGTTAGAGCATGTGAATCAATCAATGCTGCCAGATATGTTGAGTCTAAGCTGCAAGAATGGAGTGATGATGTAAGGTTTTTCGAGATGAAGATTACTGAAAAAGATTCTAACATCCTGGAAAAAGGCAAAGGTTTCGATGATGGTTGCTTCTTTGTAGAGGAAATAAAACGCTTGTCTGAGCTAGAGACTAACTGGCTTATGGAAATCATTGCTTTTCTTCTTCGTCAGTTTGAAAATCAAACTTGGGGATACAACCATAATGAGGATTACATTGATGAAGATCAGAATATGAGTCCAAATAGAGATTCAGCGGCTACCGAGTTGGCTGCTTCCAATGCTTTTATTGAAGCGTTGCATACTTTGAGGAATCAGCTTTACGTTCTTAAGATAAACCTCAATCCAAAAGACTTCTTGGACTTGTGGCGAAGTGTGGCAGAAGGGCTGGACCATTTTATTTCTGGTAGCATTTTTGCAAGTGATGCTCAGTTTTCGAGGAAGCAAACTAATCAATTTGGAACTGACATGCGAGCGTTGTTCCTTGTGTTCCAACCATTTTGTGCTCGTCCTGAAGCATTTTTCCCTTGTATTAGAGACATTCTTAAGCTGTTAACAATGAGCAAGGAAGGGGCAAAGCAGTTACTGGTAGCTTCATCAAGCAAGAAAAGTGAAAAGAGAATGCAGTTTTATGGAAGTTGCCACTTATCTTCTGATCAAGTTAATAAAGTTTTGAGGAATATGAAGTTATAAGCTTTCTTCGAATGGATATATAGAAGATAGAAATTGCCTTTTCTTTTTCACCACCGCTCATTCTAAGTGTGTTGTTTTGTCCATTATTAAGAAGCCCTGAACCGTTTCGATTGGATATACGAAGTTATTATCCGTGCAAAAGGCCCTAAGCACGACCATAGACCACAGGAAACTTTTTTTTTTGGTAGGTGTAATGTCTATTCTCTGGAGCACTTCGTTCATGCATATATGCATGTATAAGATCTAAATCAATTTTATAAAAGCAGAGAGTGAAAGGGGAGCCAAACTAGTCTGTCACGTCTACACTCTTCCGAGGCAAAGTCTTATATTCATCAACTCCAACTAATCAGAGGACAAAACTAGACAATTCACCTTTTTTTTTTTCTCTTATCGCAATAACCTAAAAGACACAAGATAAAGCTTCTTCTATTATTATCATTACATTACATTACATTATACGTGCCAACCGTATAACGACAACCTCACTGCTGCCAACCGTATTGTTGATTGCGGTTTCCACCCATCATATTAGAGCCACGTCCAGCGCCGGAACTACCATAAGGGCCACCTTGAGAGTAATTGGGAGCTCCAACTCCATAACCACTACCCCCACCACCCCTTGGACCAGCGCCGGGCAAACCACTTGAGCCATATGGTGGGCCCCGTCCTTGAGGTGGATAAGGCCCACTGCTATAACCTCCACCGCCACCTTGACCACCACGATTTGGGTGATTGTATCCCCCACTGCTTCCATTAGGGGGGTACCTACCTGGCCCACCTGCAGGTCCACGAGGTTTCCCATAATGGTGGCTAGGCCCTGCAGTAACTGGGGGTTGAGTACCATGCAAAGGTGGGTTAGGTCCAGGCCTCATTTGGGCGTGTGCTTGCCCAGACTGCTGAATAGGCGGAAGGCGCGAGTGAGGTTGTGGATGCTGTAGTTTCTGTCGCTTAGCATTTTCTTCGTGTTGTCGCTGTTGCTGCCGCTTTTTCTTGGTTTGGAACTCATGTGATGATTCATATTTAGGCAAGCTAAACCAAAGAAAACATAGATAATTAATGAACATCAAGAAACCAATAGTACCAGAAAGGGGAAATCCAAGCAAAAGAAAATAAACCTCCTTGGATCGCAAGGTAATGGGTCTGTCCAGAAATACTCAGCATCAAGTGCATCCTTGGCAGATATTCTCTATGTTTTAAACAAAGAGAACAGAATGGCGAATACCTTATTAGAATATAACCAAAATAAAAATCTTTCCTTTTTTTTTTTTTTTGAAAACAAAGTCCAAGTTTGCAAACAATAACAATGTTATCACATGCATAAGTGCTTAAGCTTTCCTTAATCACAATTACCAAGGTTCAATAAATTTTCTTGGAAAAAGATAGCCAAATTGCTATTTTTCAGACTGCTAATAAATACAGCAAAAAATTCCACATTTGGAAGTTTGAACAAACAGAAGAATATAAAATTGGCTTAATTTCTCGTTTGATGGTGCAACTTCACTTTGATAGGAAGTTTGAAAGAAAAATATATATAGAAACCTACAGAAGTTCTTTGTTTAATCCATTTAACCAATCATTTTGATCCAAAAGGCTGCACATTTTAAAATGAATCCCGAGAGAAAACAATTCCCTTGAGATTAAGTAAACACTCAACAGTCACATGATCTAAATTGAAGGATTGCCTAACGCAGAGGAAAGAATCCTGTGGCTTTTGTAAAGCATAAATGAATACAAAGAAGACAAATATATCAAATGTTACCTGAGATGGATCAAGCATCAACATCCTCTCCAACAATTCCAAAGCATGTCGGTCAAAACTATTGCATATAGACAAATGTCAGAGATGAGATATAGACTTATTAAACTATAACTACATGTTGAAGTTTAAAATATCACATATATAGCATAAATAGACCAACGTCTCTAACTAAAGTGTTTAGGCACATGACCCTTAGGAGGGTAGGAGACCCCACTGGTCCAGGATTGATTCCCAGATCCAGTCTATCAGCATTATGACTCTCAAATATCCCCCTAGGGGGAAAAAGTACTATATGACAGCATAAGTGAACTTACTGCCTAAAAACTTCTCGGAGACGTCTCTTCATCGGCCTTGTTGGCTTGAAGTTGTTATACCAAGGAATCTTAGAAACCCCAGGCCAGTTGACTTCATCCGGCGCTCCACACAGCTCGAATATCTTATTTAATTGTTCAGGCTGCAATAATTACAAGTATAGCATTTCATACTGGTGTCTTGCAAGCAATTACCAGATTAAAGGCCCATGAAATAGGAAAGAAAATACCTGTTCAATATGCAAATAAGCGAGCTTACATGTGTTCACACATGATTTGTCTCGGCAGCATGTGTGTGTGTGTGTGTCTATGATTATATTTTCACACAAGGTTTAACTTTAACCAGTACTGATATGGTATAATTTCAAACTTGAAAACTTCAACAAACCGTTGATAAGGCTATACAAATAAAACGGTAATTCCCTCCTACCAAACAAATTTCTATGATGGATACAAAAACTATCATGTTATCATATTCTAGCAAAGGGAACATTAAAAGGCAAATTTGAATCCTTGTTTGCATGCTGCTATACAGAAATGGATACATGCAGCCAAATCAGAAATGTCAATAAGCAAAACAACAGAAGGTTGACATGTGGATAAATAGGAGAAAAGAGATAATATCAATGCCCAAATTTATTCTTTAAAGTTTCCTTTCCACGAGCTTCTTCTTGTTTTCATCAAAATGCTATTAAGTTCTGAAATTGATTGTTAAGAACTTGAGTAATTTATCTCAGCAAGCTGTAACGACTAAATCCAAAATGACCAGAAAACTTTACATGTATGGAAGAAGATATCAGCTATCAATTACCAACAGGATTCTACTACATGGATAAAATATTCTAGGGACATTTGACTTATAAGACATCACAACCTTCAATTATGGCTTATCTTTCCATAAAGTTCAATCATTTAATTGAATATAAAGCAACTAACCTCATCTTTTCCAGGAAAAATCGGTTTTCCATGCAGAAGCTCAGCAAAGATGCAACCAACAGACCACATATCAACAGCTGGACCATACTTTGTTGCTCCAAGAAGCAGCTCTGGAGGTCTGTGAAAATGACAAAAAACAAGAAGTAAATGCTGCACTAGTTAAAAATTATGATTGCATTCTCATGTTTCTCTTTAAATATGTTCCTAGGAGGTTAGCATACAGTTCAACAAGGGGAGTAAAAACACATACCTGTACCATAAAGTAATAACACGATTTGTAAGATTTGCATTGTGATCATTTGAGAATGAGCGGGCAAGCCCAAAATCTGCAAGCTTGAGGTTACCCTCATTGTCTATAAGAAGATTGGAGCCTGCAGAAAAGAGCACGCACAGCCTTACTTTGAATATCATAGTCGGGCAAAATCATTATATTAAACATGGGAATAGCTGGTATGTAGGTAAGAACCTTTGATGTCACGGTGAAGTACTTGATTTACATGACAATAGTGAAGCCCGGTAAGAAGTTGCCTCATGTAGCACTGGAAGAAAAGGTAGGATAATTAGAAGAATAAAACTTTTGAAGATTGAATGCAGAGTTTTTTCTTATTTGCCCATAAAAATGGGATACCTTAATTTGGGGAACTGAAAATCTCATCCCAGGTCGATCAGCAAGGCCAGTTAAATCATGGTCCATGTATTCAAAAACCATGTAAATTCCACCTTTATATTTATTACCATCTGCAATGCAAGAAAGGGAAAACGTTAAAACAGCAGCAAAGGTTAAGCGTGAGGTGATAACACAGTTACTAAGAATTGGAACAACCGTTACCTGGTCTCCCCTGCTCGTCCTTCTCAGGACCTACAGACAGAAATATAGAGGAAATGTGAAAGGAGAAAATTTAAAAGTATGATTGCAATAAATAAATGGATTACAAGCAGTAGGTGCAATTGCAATTGTATTTACCCGGAGAAGTAACAATCTCTTTGAGCTTAATTACATTCTCATGGTGCAGCTTCTTCAGAATTTTAATTTCACGAATTGCAGTGATGGGAAACTGCACAAGTTTTTTGAGAAAGAACGAATCTTTTACTTTTTTTTTTTATAAAAAGAAAAAGAAAAACTTGAAAAGATAGAGGCGAGAACATACTCCTTCTCTCTCATTGTCCATGCGAATTTTCTTCAAAGCAACAATTTCTCCGGTCTTTATTTCCCTGGCCATGTAAACTTGACTACAAAAACATAAAGTGCTTGAATTAAATTAAAGTAAATTAAGGTAAAGAGCAATGGCAACCCCACAAAAAAAAAAAAAAACCCTAAATTGAAAATAAATAAGAGGAAAGAAAGGAGAACGGACCCGTAGGTACCCTCGCCAATCTGCTCGAGTTTTTCGAAACAATCGACGCTTCTTGATCCCCAACAAGGTGACTCGTTCAGGTTAAGCTGCCCTGCCCCGGCTATCGCCATCTGATTATTTTCTTTTGATTATTGATTATCAATTGGCGGCCACCTAAAGAAACTAACTTACAATCCCACCAAAGACCAAATTCCGACTGCGCCACCAGTGCCACCGCCAGAACCAGGAATAAAAACTTGGCACTAATAGAGGATATCAATTTTCTTTCATGCCATTGCCAATTCCCTATTACCCGATTATCTAATTGCAATTGCGCATTTCGTTTTTTTTTTTTTGTATAATTTATAATTTAATACCCAACCCCGCCCCCAAGGCCCAAAACAGAAGCCCTGAAACAAACTATAGGGAAAATAGAATTCTATGCAATTACCAAATTGACCCTTTGATATCTTAAATGATCTTTTACGTTCCTCATTTCCTTTACTTTAAATTTTCTACTACTACTACAAAATAAGAACATTTCTTTTAAGTATTCTCAAAATGTTACGGTATCCTAATGTAATATATTTCTTTTTGAATGAAATATTAATGTAACATTCGTTATAAGATAAAAAATATTACTAATAATAAAAATAATGTTTATATTAAACTAGTATATAATAATAATTATATAATAATAATAATAATAATAAAGATAATAATCTTATAATTTTCTAATAAATAAATAATCTTTATTAATTGTGATCATATATATTAATTAAAAAGTTTGTACTGCTGTACATGTGTTAGTAATTTAATTAAATGAGATTTGAAACATGTATTACTCTTGCAAGTCCTGCAGGCATTCATTTGATGAGTCTGTCCAATACATTTGTTTGAAACACAAAAATATAAATAAATAAATAAAAGTAATCGATTTTTACTGATCACTCCATTCAAATCACTCAAATCCATTGGCCAAACATTAATCGAAATTAGCACACACACAAAACACTATTATATTTAACTGGGTAAGTTTTATTTCTATTTTTATATTTTAACGTGTTGGTAAAGGCTCATGGAACTGTAAATAAATCCTAAGTCTAGAAGAGAGCAGTAGAGCATATCAAACCATGCATCAATCGAATTAATAATTCTAAAGTTAAAAATTCACTTGGTGCATTAATTTTTTTTTTTTTTATGGCAAATTAGACATATATCGTTCGCACAAGATATAATATGCAAGCAAAACTGATCTCTGTGACTGTGACCGTGAAATATATACTAGTAATTGTTATTCAGCTAGCTATCTCATGAGAAGTCTCTGCCGATGCACGATTCCGTTCAAAAGCGTCATAAGCATGCTTGGTTCTTAGAAATAATAGCAAACTCGAAACTAACCCCAGAATGGACAAGCAACCCCACCACACAAACGTTAAGAAATAGCATTGCTTCCCCATGCATACTACTGATTCTGCAAACTTTAATTTCAGGTTCAGGCCTCTACCTGCGTTCCCATCATAAACCATTGCAGCAAGAACCCCATAAACTAGTGACCCAATCGGGATATTGGTGATGAGAATGTTGTGATTTACGCCTACGCTATTCGGTCCAAAGAGCTCAGATGTTACTGAAACTGCGGCAGCAAATATGAACCCCGAACTCAACCCGATTAATGCAGTTCCTACGCGCAACGCCATTGAATTGCCTAATCCAGCCAGCAAGAAGAAAGCAACGGGAGTTGGCAACAGGGCAATGGTCAGCCACCCAGTTCTAGCAAAGTACATTTTCCTGCACATCATAATTGTTTGATTAATTAATTAGCATACATATCATTGCTTTAATTAATTTACTTAATTAGTCGTATTCCAGTTTGATGTTAAAAACTACTTACGCGCGAACATAGTCAGGTGCAGCTGAAAGCAAGCGGCCAAAGAAGGAGAAGGATGAATAAAGAGTGAGCAGTAAGGTAGTATTGGAACTCTCTCCCAGTGATTGTGCAATCTGTCCTAGATTGTTGCTGTACACAAGCCCAATTGTTCCCCCGCAAAAATATGCAATGTAATACAGCCAAAAATCCAATCTCCCAACAAGTACTTGGGCTGGGTGCTCTTCACCTAGTATTACCAGTTGATCTTTTTCAATCATTTTCTCATAACATCTTGTACGGTCTAATTCATCTTTAATGCACTTTTCGCTGCCAAGTTTATATTCAGATCCATCATCACTCATTGAGCCATTCCGATCATTGGAACTAGCCTCACGGCTTACCAGCCGTTTATGAAGCTCGAGATCGTCATCATCCACAAGAATGAAGCCGGATCCTCGGAGGTGGAAGCTAGAGTGAACAGTATGATGGAACCAATGTCGAGCATAGACAACACCAGGAATACATAAGGGGAAAACCAGAAGAGAAATTGCTCCAGCAAGGAGGAGACGAGCTGTTGTACTTGAATCTGATGTGTTTGAACCAAAAATAAGGAGATAAACACCGGTTAAAACGGCTAACACGTTCAATACTAGAAACATAATGGAGTCGATGCGGACTGCCTCGGGGGAAAGAGGGTTCACCGAGGTTTGGCGAAGAATTGGGATGAGTGCTGCAATCGAAAAGATAAGGGGAACAATGGAATTCAGAAGAAGATATAGCGAACTGGATGATGCATTAATTGCCTCACCAGCAAGGGCGTACAGGGCTGCACTTACACCATTGTAGCTTACTGTGAGGGATAAAGCAAGGGCTCGGTTAGCCGGGAAGTTTTTTATGCAAAGAACAAAGCAAACTGTGTTGAACCAGCATATGCTACATCCTGCTAACAAACACAGAAAGAAAACCTGCCACATATAAATTAGAAATCAAAGTTAATTTTTTATATAGCTATATTGGCCCAAAAAAATAAAATGAAGTTATTAGCTGGTATCATTGACAACAACTTGTATGAAATGGTAGTTGATCTCTCTCTCTCTCTCTCTCTCTCTCTCTCTCTCTATATATATATATATATATATATATATATATCAAATAATGGCAACTATATGTCTCACTCTCATCTCATCTCTTTAATTTTATGGAATTAATTTGTTCTTAAATATTTCTCTAGAATTTGAATAGGAATTTCCAGTACACCGAAGATTATCCATTCTCTTTCAATTGTTTTTAACGCCATGCCTCTGTCTCATGCTGGCTCTCTGGCTGCAACAAATTGGTGCTTGAGAAAGACCCTTAATTTCAGCACAATTATAAACTTATCAAATGAAAAAAAAAAAAAAACACTGTTGCTCTAAATTTAATTGATTTAACAACACAACCCTGACTAAGTTAAACGAATTATAAATGACTTTGTATTTAAGTTAAAGATGAAGTCAGTTACTATCTAATTTATATTAGCAATAGCTCGCATTTATATTAACACTGAAAAATGCTCAAATTACTTTACGCCAAGTGGTTCAACCGGTTAACAGCTTTAATTTCTTCTCTCTGTAAGTTGATGTTCAGATCCAGTGGGAGTAAAACGAACCATATGAATGGCAATCTATAGTCTTTTGCATCTGCTAATGATCACCCTGATGTGCGCATATAAACGATTCAAGATCAAGGTACTAGCTGCTTGAACCAATTAAGATCAAACATGCATGAAGTTTGTTCGTGCATTCTTTCACGTTGTTAAGGTAAGCAAAACATTCTCGAGAAGTTTCGTTGGGGAATCCCACTGGACAATGGCCTCGACTCTGGAGGGATGATTCAACTTCTCTGGCCCAACACCGTGTCTTGGAGCATGTAGTTAGTTCACAATATCCTGCAGTATGCTCTGGGTTGTGCATGTGCAGTTTATGTTGTACATTCAAACAATTTACCCAGGCCCAACCCCTATTTTCCTCCCTCTTTCCTCTAGCAAGTGCCCAAAATCCAAAAAAGCACAAACCGACAAAGAAAACTGGCCTTTAATCGAAACAAATCTACTCCACATTAACAGTCGAGAGTTTTTCAGTAGTTAGCAGAAGGAAATCTATGTAGGAGCTCATGTAGACGGCCGGAAGTTTCTTCCAAATAAGATAAAGTGAATCGATCATACTCTGATTAAATGACGAACACATCAATATTCTGGAATAGAGGATAATTGTAGCAAGACCTCAGTGCATTTTGGCTGTTTTAACCAAGATTAGCCTTTTTGCCTTAGCCCTTAGGAGAGGAGATGTTATATTATATCAGGAAATGACAAAGCGGGATTTCATCAATGAAGCGAGAAAATGTCAAAAGAAAATGGCTTTGCTTCTAATTTCAGTTTAGAAAAGAAAAATGTCAATGGCCGATTACCGACTACCAAATTACTTCAAGGACTGACGTCATAGCATCCAAGTATCATACAAGCAATTTGAATTGCCAAGAAAAAAAATAGTAACAACTCAAAGTGCGGTATAAATTGTTTAAAAATAGTCTAAAAGCGAATTTTTTAGATTGATCTTGATATAAATTGTAAATGTCTAACATACGAGTTTTTTTTTTTTTAAGTAAGATTATTTTTATGGTACATACTGCTAAATTTTGGGGGTTGGTGGGGGGAGTATAAACAATAAAAATGAGATTATTCAATGTGGTGAACTCAACTAGTAATGGGATGAGATGAAAAAGTGCATTTAATCCGAGGAGAGAAGAGGAGAGGAGAGGAAAGGAAAGGGCCCAGCTATGGTGGCGGGGCAAAGTGTTTAATGTTTATCAATTTTCAAGAGGAAAGGAGAGAGGAGAGGGGACCCGTCGGTATCATTTTCCTATTCATCATAGTTCATAGTAACGGTACCTATGACGACGCGCCCACTGTTTCTTTGTTTAAAACCTTCTCAACCACATGTATTCTTTTAAAAACTGAATGAAATGTTGAATGACTAAATGAATACTACTAGTGCTGCTTCTTCAAGAGTCTAGGGACAAAACATACAGAAAGAAAGAAAGGAAGAACAAAAAATTCCAAAGTAGACACTTTGAAGGAAAATATTTACCCTCAAACAAATAAAAAAAGTGTAAGAGCAATAATAAAGCACTCCAACTAAATACTAGTAGTAGATTAACCATAGATCAATTGATCAGTCACATTCACATTAGAGGGCACTTCATGAAAAACTTAAAACCGGAATTAATTAAGAAAAACCCAGAAACAAGGCGGAATCAAATCACAAACTGTAATCCCATTGAGACCATAAGGCATAAGCCAACTAGAAAGTAGAAATATAATAGTACTGGTGTATTAAATAATTTTAGTTTGGAGGTTCCGGAAATGGGAAAATAGAGTTCTTTGTATCTGCCATGAATAGAAAATTAAAACATTGCAACCCAAAAGAAGAAGAAGAAGAAGAAGAAGAAATATGAGAGAACCCCAGAAATCATAAATTGAATTGCAGGCAGAAGCAATATTCACAAATAATTCAATGGATTGGAAAATGAAGCAGTTAGTCAGAGCAAGAGCATACATACCAGCATATAAGGCAAAGAGATGGCATTCCTGATGACGAGCCATTGGGTTCCATAACCAAAAAGTCCCATGAAAGCAGCCATGAAGAGCACCACCCACAAAGGAAAATACATGAGAGCCAACCCAGAAGACCACCCAAAGACCTTCCCCATATCCGATGCCACTGCCAGATAATTCAACTGCACCTGCGATATCCCTAGCACCTTCTTCATCTCCGAGGAATATGCGGAGAAATCGAAATTCGTCCCTGTGAACGCTTGAATCCAAATAGTCGCCACTAGAATCATCCATTTCCTGGACTGTCCAGCCATCACCAATCTTTGTAAATTTTGGTTAATTAGGAATATTGGGTAGGAACGATGACGGAGGCTTCTCCTCCGATTGAAAATCTGGTGTTTGTGATCGATCGAACTCTTTCCGTGGCCTATCATTAATTTATAATAAGGCAGGCAAAGGAAAAAAAAAAAACCAGCAATAACAATATGTTCACTTTCGTGCTTGGGCCGCAACAGAAAGGGGAAGTTTGTCATGTAGTCCCTCCAGAGTCTCCCATTGGAATTTTCACCGGATATAACTTTGTGGTGTCGCATTAACGGTGAGACAGACTGTTAAATGTTGATAGATAGGATTAGAGGGGTATGTGGCAGCATGTGATGCCATTGGCTCCTTCATTTCTTTGCATCGCAAAATTAACATTACTATCACCTCCTAAATTAATATGGTGGGATTTAGTTTTTTTTTTTTTTTTTAAATTCCTCGTACTGGGATTTCTGTTTCATAATTACGACGGTTAATTAGGAAAATCCTTATCCCGTTAATTATACCTTTTTATTTTAAAGATAGATACTAAAAATCCGTATCCCGTTAATTACACTTTTTATGTTAAAGATAGATACTAATCTCCACATTTAGCAAGGTCAAACGTTAAGCCAGATTAGTTTCCGAAATCATATATATATAATAATTAAAGGAGCTTCAACAAAACCATATTTATGCAATGACTCAGCTAGCCCCACCTTGCTTTGTGCAACATGAACATGGTGCAAAACGTAATGCGCCTTAATTCGTACCAAAGAATATATATATGTTTAATTAATTTATACTATATAACTATATATAATTGTTAGATTTTGAGTCATTAAATTTTAACTAAGAATCAATTTATATTTCATAAAATTCTATTACCTGGAGAATTAAATATAATTAAGGTTATTTAAGGATCCATAAATATGTTTAATAACTAACAGTTTTTAGTGAAAAAGAATTATTGTTAATTAAGTAATAAAATTTTAGAAAAATGAAATGGGTCTAAACCTTTAAAATTACAAGAGAAATGTATATTTTTTTATATGATCTTTACATGGAAGATGAATTCGTATAAATATGCAGAAGAATTGAAGAAAATATGGGAAGTATTATTTCAGGGCTTGGGATTAATGTTTGTATTTGAGTGTTTTTGCGCTTTTTGCAATATATGTTTATAATGAATTTCTTTTCTCTTGATGTAGGTAATTAAATTGAATCATGTTAAATATTATTTTTTTAAATGTGATTTTATTTCAGTGTTAGAATAAGTTTTTACTTGAAAAGCCCAACAATAATTAATCTAATATTTGGTAAAATGATTGGATAATTTAATTATTGAGTTGATTATCTATATTATGATCTGTTAGTGTTTGCCAATTTATGGTCAGTGGTCTGGTTGGGTTATAAAAATATAAGTGGTTAATGTACAATTACTATGCAGTAGACATTGTACATTGCGATTATAAAAGTAAAAGTAAAGAAATACTAATATAAATATATAGGAGGGCGATAATAAGAATAAGATTATAAAATGCATGGATGCAACATATTCCAAACATGGCTTGTTGTCTATGTAAGTCATAAAAATGTTATACTAGTATCAATATTAATCAGTAAATTATATATATATATATATATATATTAGTCTCAATTCATGTCCTCATCTTCTTTGAAATTAAAATCAAATTTATTGGCAGCAAATTAATCAACGTTTTTCTTCTACATCCATCCCCGCTCCTTAATTTCCAGTCTCTGCCAGTTAACGGAATTAATTATCAAGTGGAAACAAATTAAAATAATGCAAAAAAGCATACATGGCATAATTGAATGGTGAAATTTTGTTTGTTTTAACTGATGATGCATGCATGCATCAGGTAGATAGTTTGGTACGAGTACCAAAGCTAATGGCAGAGGTTGAAATCCATGTGCATAATGCTAAAGCCAGTGGTGCCTGGGATCCTTACCTAATTTTCGTTATACAGTGCTTAATTTTGTTGCGAGCTTTGGCCTAATATTTTATTAAAAAAAAAAAAAAATTCATGGCATGGCATGACGGCCTCTGCAAGTTGGGAAGTAACGTGCACGTGGCTTTGGCACCTATACAAGTTCTGTTCCCTGGGTTGGGTTGGGTTTGGTTTATTAACAAATCAAGGGATTGTTATTAATTAATTAGCTGAAGTCATGATCAATTGATGATAAATATTCATCACTGTATATTAATTAAGTATTAACTCATATAATGTAACCAACAGTGCTATATATATATAAATACCGTCACTAGTCTAGAATATATAATAATTTGATTAAGTTTTGAGTTGTTGGTCAAAAAAATGATAAAAATATATATATGTAAATGAATAACCCAAATTAATTAAGAGGGAAATTATTCAGTTAGCTATGCTTAAAAGTTAGCTGTTTAATCAAATCTAGCTAATTCAGAAACTGGAAGAAGATATAGTTAAAATAATATATATATATATATATATGAAAGGGACGACGCCATACAGCATTGTTTTTATATATAATTACTTCTGCTTAACCACATTAATATATATGCCCTGCCTAATTACTATTTATCCTCCCATGCTCCCACCGTATACATTTCTGCTTTTGTCTTAAGATGAATTGATTAGTAACATTCGGCACACAAATCATTAACTAAAATAAAGAGCTATATATAGAATATAAATCCAAATATAAGACGGTGATTAATAATTTCATTTGCAGGCTTAATTAATTGACATTCCCCTAGAAAAAAAAAAAATAGAAAAATGAAGAATGTTATGGCAAGTGGCAAGGCCAAGTTGGTGAGTGCAAATGTGCGCACATGAGAGCGAAAGATAGTAGATGCGAAGAGCCACAAACAAGCCTTTCCGCTTAATTGTCTGCCTCTCAGTTTTTGTCATAAAAACGAAAATCAGCGTCCCCAAGTCTAGGAGCCGGGACCAAGAGGCATATACATCCATTTCTCCATGTTATATATATATTCTAATTTCACATCAATCCTTAATTATTTTCCGGAAGCCGTCAATATTCCCCAAAATTTTGGACTTGCTCCATACTTGAGATTGAGACTTTAATTTCACAAGAAATTGCAAGCAAAGTCAGAGAAAAAAAATACTACTAATTAGTAGTATATTATTATTATTATTATTATTTACTTAATGTTAAGACTAAATTTTAATTAACACTATATCAACGGACATCACACACTTCCACTTTTCTGACCAAAAATATGTAGCACTAGTATTTGTTATTTGGACTTGGGAAAAGGGCTTTACTTGTTAATGCTAGGACTTATGAGGATGGGCCGAATGTCGCTTAACCCACTGAGCCAATCCAGTTACAGGTTGGGTTGAAGGAAACCGTCTTCTCTCCTCCTCTCTCACTCTGTCCAAACTCTCAACCCTGATTTCCTCGTGGTTTTGTTGTTTGCTTTCTTTTCTTGTTTCCTCTTCTTTCTATCTTGCTGCAATTGGCCTTTTCTAGATTCTAACCTAATCTGAGTGACTGGGTTTCCTCTACTCTCCTCTCCTCTCCTCTCGTCTCGTCTCGGAAGGGTGTATTATATGTAATGTGTTTCTTGCTTAAATTGGTATGGGCGTGGCTGCATGTTATCCTCTCAAATAAATGCCCCAAGACCTGATGGCATAGTCAATTTCAGTATAATCAACTGGTTATCTTTTCCCCTACAACTCCAAAACATTGTTAGCAATGGATTTGAGGAGACTGGCTGTCATCAAACCCATCTATATCTACACCCCAATCACACGCCCCTTAACCTGCGTAACATCTACTACTACTACCACTTCTGTTGCCCAACAACTCAAGCCTCAACAGCAGCCTCCTCCGCCGCCTTTGAATCGAACCGATTCCTCCTCCTCCTACAATCCTATTAATAACAGTAACCAGAGTTTGCTTGGTAGGCTGTCTTGTATTCTCTCTAAGCCATCCCTAGACTCTTCCAAATGCAAACATCTCCTTCCTCTTTTGTCCCCTTCCGATTTTGATCGATTCTTCTTGGCCCTTTTCCCCCATGTCAATCCCAAAACCACTTTGAACTTTTTTTACCTTGCTTCCCAATCCTTCAACTTCCATTTTACCCTTCGATCATATTTTATTTTGATTCTTTTTCTTCTTCTTTCCCATCATTTTTCCCCTGCTAGATTGCTTTGCATTCGTTTGATTGATGGGAAGCTTCCGCTTTCCTCTCCTAACAATCCTATCATTAATCATATTCAGATTGCTACTGCATTGGCGGATTTGAATACCTCTCTTAAAGGGGTTCCTGGGGTTATGGGGGTTGATTTGTTGCTGCATCTCTATTGCACCCAGTTCAAGAATGTGGGTTTCACTTATGCTATTGATGTTTTTTTTACACTGGCCGACAAGGGTATGTTTCCTTCTTCCAAAACCTGCAACTTTTTCTTGAATTCTTTAGTGAAGGCTAATGAGCTGCAAAAGACGTATCAAGTGTTTGAAACTTTGTTTCCTTTTGTCTCTCTTGATGTGTACTTGTGTACTACTATGATTAATGCATTTTGCAAGGGTGGAAGAATTGAGGACGCTATTGCCCTGTTCTCTAGAATGGAAAACTTGGGTATTGCTCCAAATGTAGTTACTTATAATAATATTATCCACGGATTATGCAAGAATGGCAGACTGGATGATGCATTTCGGCTTAAACAGAACATGACAAAACAGGGAGTGCGACCCAGCCTCATTACATATAGTGTTCTTATCAATGGTTTGATTAAATTGGATAAATTTGAGGAAGCAAATTCTGTTTTGAAGGAAATGTCTGATAAGGGGTTTGTCCCGAATGAGGTTGTTTATAATACGTTAATTGATAGCTACTGCAAGATGGAAAATATTGATGAGGCACTTAGGATAAGGGACGACATGTTGTCCAAGGGAATGAATCCCAATTCTGTCACATTTAATTCCCTTATGCAGGGGTTTTGCAGGACTGGCCAAATGGAGCATGCTGAGCATCTTTTAGAGGAAATGCTAGCTATAGGGTTATCTATAAACCTTGGTGCCTTCAGTTCTGTAATTCGATGGTTATGCATGAAGTCTAGATTCGATTCTGCTATTCATTTTACCAAGGAAATGTTATTGAGAAATTTAAGGCCTAATGACAGGTTGATGACTACCTTGGTTGGTGGACTTTGCAAGGATGGAAAGCATTCTGAGGCTATTGAACTTTGGTTGAAGCTCTTTGAGAAAGGATTTGCACCCAACACTGTGACCTCAAATGCTTTAATTCATGGTTTATGTGAAGCAGGTAAGATGCAAGAGGTAATTACACTTCTAAAGGAGATTCTACAGAGGGGTTTGGTATTCGATAGGGTCTCATACAATACACTCATTTTGGGATGTTGCAAAGAGCAGAAAGTGGAGGAAGCTTTTAGGTTAAAGGAAGAGATGTTTAAGCAAGGAATTCAGCCTGACATTTATACCTACAATTTGCTTATACATGGCATTTCGAATATGGGGAAAATGGAAGATGCTGTTAAGGTTTGGGATGAGTGCAAAAGGCATGGTATAGTTTCCGATGTTTATACATATGCAATCTTGATAGATGGCTACTGTAAAGCTGACAAAATTGAAGAGGGTCAAAACCTGTTCAATGAATTGATTACTAACAGAGTGGAGCTCAATGCTGTTGTTTACAATACACTGATCAGAGCTTACTGTAAAAATGGGAATATTATGGTGGCCTTTAAACTTCGTGATGACATGAAAAGCAAGGGTATCCCACCAACTATTGCCACATATTCTTCTCTAATACATGGAATGTGCAACATGGGTCTTCCTGATGATGCAAGACAACTTCTTGTGGAAATGAGAGGACTGGGATTGTTGCCTAATGTCGTCTGTTATACAGCACTAGTTGGAGGTTATTGTAGGCTAGGTGAAATGGATAAAGTTGGGAGTCTCTTACAGGAAATGTCTTCATATAATGTACAACCTAATAAAATTACCTATACTGTCATGATCGATGGGTACTGTAAATTGGGTAACATGAAAGAAGCAGCGAAGCTCCTCAGTGAGATGGTTAAAAATGGAATTGTCCCGGATACCATCACTTATAATGCCTTTACCAACGGGTTATGTAAGGAAGGGAGGGTGGACGATGCTTTTAAAGTATGTGATAATATGGCTAACGAAGGACAACCATTGGATGAAATTACATATACAACATTGATTCATGGGTGTCATCAGCTGTCAGAACTCTCTAGTCAAGAATGAGCAAAGTTCCCGAAGGTTGGTTTCATATTTCTGTATAGTATATTCTTGATGTGATATCTCACTGGATCTTTGCAACAATATTATATAATGTCCTACTTGGCCCAGTTGCTGTTTTACTATGTTTGGTTACTTGTATTTTGCATTTTTCCTTTCTTAGGAAAGCTTATTGTTGACTATGGGACAACAATGGCTCATCTCTCTTTTTCAAATTTCATAGTCGTTGTTAAACATCAAAGGTTCGTTGCTTCATCCTGTTACTTGTAATCTTAGTATTCCATAATCTTAGATGTATGTGCTTTATATTAGGAGTTTATGCTGTGACTGTGGGTTTCTATCCCAATATAATAGAAGTATGTATTCTTTCCCCATTGTCGTTCCAGGCAAGCTGCTAGCAAGCAATGGAGTACAAAGCCATGCATGGTCTGGGTTTAAGGTACTTCTCTAGCGTCTATTATTGCTCCTAAAAGACTTCAATGTCCCGTTCTTAAGTCATTTTTCTCTCAAAATTTTTGTTGTGGATTTTATTTGCTGCTAATTTATTTTGACTTGGCATGTCTTCTACAAAAGTATTCACTCTGTGAGTACTTGATATTGGACAGGTTGAGCCATTGAGCTAATGTCTTTAGATGGATTTTTTTTATAGGTTAATATTAGAAAGATGGTTTTTCCTTAATGTTTTTCTGAACTTCTAGTCTTAATCCTTGACTCTAATCCTTTTAAAGGGATAGGTGGTTCCAGCTGTAGTGGTGATTTAGAGGTCATAAATATTCATTGAAAGGCACTCTGACTAGCTTTCGGAGCATAATTCAACTTTGATTGGATTGTTTAAAAGCTGATTTAAAATGTACACTTCGTTATGATTTAACTTTAATTGGAAGTGAAAAGAAATTGTCAAATATGTTATGGTTTAAAATGGATTAAACGTGCTGGCAATCTCAATTCCTCATAACTGCATAAAAAAGGTATAATTCATTTCACTAGAGGCTTTGAATCAGCTCTGTAAAGTGGCACCCTATCTTTCAGGGCCATCCCCAATGTCAGTGTCATTATTTTCAAGTTAAGTATTGAAGATAATTATTTAGTAGGCTCCTTTGAGGACCATTATGTTGTTATGGTTCACTTTTTCCTTATGCCACCAGAACCACCCTAAATTGTCAAAGGGAACATTTAAGATATGGATTACAAAATAAAACTGCCAATGTTCCTAGTATCACTTGGGGTTATGGACAATTAGTGCATTTACCAACTTTCCTATAAAAAGTTGGGCTAAAGACCTTGCCATTGCCTACTTATATATTTTAACACTTGAAGGTATGTCTTAACAGAAAAGTTAAAATCTATCAGCTAATTTCTGCATATGGTTAGTATGGAGATAAGTATTATGTAGAAACTAATACATCATTATCTATCAGAATATATTAAGTTACTACTTATGAAAAATCTTTAAAATTTGACTTGACATACAGAACCAAACAAGAATCCAAGATAGTAATCTCAGATGTGGGACAAACAGATACAGAGAGGCAAAGGAAATGCATTAGCCCCCCCCCCCCCCCCCCCCTTCTGCATGTACCAGCTTGATTCTTAAAAATATTCTTCCCAACATATTTAAATGTGCGTAGATGGGTGCTGTGGGTACTTTATGACAGGGATATAATAATACCAAATTTTAGAAAGAGTAGGATACAATGTGTTGTGAATAGTATCTTTAATTCCTTAGTATATGAATGCCTGCATTTTTAATGGATTTTATTATAGATTGATATAATGAGAATTCCATTTTTAAAATGCTAAACTCATACAATATTTCATTCCTATACTTTCATTTATAAACAAATTCTTAAATTATTCTTAAAATGTTACGTTTATGTTCAATACATGTGAAACACAAAGGTTGGATGATCAAAAAGTACAAAGTTAAGCCTTGGACATGATTGTCCAATGTCTTTGGAAATGTCCCTCTAACCAGTCTCTTTGTTTGGCCTGCTAGTTGGTTAGAACAGTGACAAACGACCCTTTTCTATTTTTTTGGCAAAAATATCTCCAATTCAAGAATCTCTGCTCATGCTGTTCATTTGCATGTCTGTTACCTTTGAAGCCTAAAATAATAAGATCACTTGGCAAGTTTGTTGAATATAACAGGCATCCTTGATGGTAAAGTAATTATAAAGAGTTCAGTGTGAGATAGTCATCAGTTTACCATTTTATTATTCTTATTTTTCTATCTCATGAAAGAATTTTTGGATCGTGTACAAATGCCCTTATGTCTTTTTAATAACGTGGAAGTCTCTTTCAAATAAAGAAAAAGTTGTAAGAATAATCACTTGTCCTAATCATAAATAAAATTTTCACCAATAAAATTTCTGTTGTCACCCTAATTAAAAGTGACACAAAGCTCCTAATTATATGTCAAGTATGTAACAAACAGCTGTACCTGTTATCTTGTTGATACCTTTATGACTTACTTCTTTTGCGAACTTTTTGTTGAATTATATTTGAAAATTTTTCATTGAGTGACTAGTGCTTGATGGTTATGAACTTTTGATGTTAAGAAAGGTACCTAATTTTTTTTTCCCTACATGTTATACATTCTCACAATTGCGTGCTTGCTTCTTGTGCCAAAAATGTCACGTACATTCGAGTTTTTAGGTGCCTGACTGAACTTTTGCATGCGACAGGCTGATGCTTCAGGGTCCTGGAGAATGTTGTAAAAGATAAATTTGCTTGTGTGGGGTTGTTACGACTGTCTTGCATCATGAAAAAGATGTTGGAGAGTAGGGGTTTGCTTTGTTTATTTGGACTTTTAAACTTGTACTTAGTTGATCTATTTTTCTATAACTAGTTTGCTTCGCATATATTCTGAAGTGTTGTCTTAAATACATCCCTTTAAAAATGTTTCAGGACGTTCTCCTGCATGTCTAGAAGTGCCATGTGTCGCGATCAAGTTCCTCCTAGTAAGACTGAGCACGTGGCATATTATATGGGAGCCTACCCTGTGTGCATCATTTCTCGGCTAATCAGTAGAGATGGGCAACCTGCTTTTGGCGTTATTTGACAGATTCCTGTTTTTATTACCTTGCCAACTAGGTGGAGTCCATTGTTTTGGAAGTTTTAAGGTAAAAAAAAAAAAAATCCCCTCCTCTCCTTTTTGTTCGGGAATTAGGATTTTGAAGTAGGAAGGAAGAAAAAAAGAAACAACAAAGCAGTTCTGGGTGTTTGGGCTTGTAAGTCCGGAAGAAATACTGATTTAGGTGTGTATAAGATTGACAAGTCATATCAGCAATCACGTGATCTGTTAGTAGAATATTGTATTTTTAGTTTTTGTGATCATCTTCAGCAACTTCAATTGTAAAAAAGCAAAAAAAAAAAAAAAGAATGTTTTTTGTTGATGAGTCATACTTTCATAGAAGGAAATTATGAGAAAAAGTAATTAATAAGAGTCAAGAAAGAGACTGTCAAATTCCTGATATTCTTGAGATTCAATACAATACTCAATTTTAAAAATATAAATTTCGTATTGTTTCATTTATCTCAATTGTTATTTAAAGTATCTTAATCTAATGCATATATTTATTTATGGAATTTTATATATTTCTATTAAGGTGAGACTTTATCTTTTCCTTTCCATTTACTCCACATAATTGTAAACACTAAAATTTGTAGTATTTTTAAAGATTATGTTAATGATAGGTTGTAACATATAGTGTGTGTGTGCTTATATATCATCTCCATATAATATCAATATAAAATCGGAGACCAGTTCAAGCCGTTGGAGCTGGTAAATGTTTTGAAACATGAAGACAGCATTAGAGATACGGAGGAGGAAACACCAGATTGATTTGAAATTAAACTTATTTATGTGGACCGTTGTTTTTCCACGCCCTTTAGCTTTGAAATTAACTGGTTTCAGTTTCAACAAGCAACAAAAGTGCTAAATGGATCATTGCATTGAGGAACTCTTTTAACTCTGCTCCACACAAGCTCATGGTTGTAGCACATCAAAGCATGATGATCACTTGTTAGTGTAGACACTTCTGTTGCCATGGGATGATCGATTGTTTTAGGATTTTCCTGTCCTGTATCAACCATGGGAATTGCCATTGGGACATGGGTTGAGTCATCATTCCCACTAATCTCAACTTTATACACACCCCCTTTCTTACATTGTTCATTGCAAATAACCAAACAAGATCTTCACAATTTTATAACTGGCTTTGGCTTACATATGCTAATGCCCCTAATATTCATTTAAGTAGAGTAGAGGATCCCCCCATATTACTCCTTTAATTTGTTTGGACATAAAATTAATCTTTTAAGTTGTTTATCCTCAAATTTGTAGATGAGACGCACACAGGGGCTCGAAAACTGTATCTGACTCCAATGCTGCTGCCAGTTCTGGCCATAGGATAGCAGAAATGACCCATGAGCCATCACCCTTAGCACTTGGCCTCTGGTTCATGTAACCAACTCCGCTCTTTTCAATGATGGAGGAGACTGTCCCTAGCACAGGACTACCAAAGCCAAAGTCCAATTCGGCCACTGGAAATCTGCGTCCTGATGAGAGAACAAGGGCAGGCCCTTCCCGACCTAGAACAACTTTCGGGAGCATCAACCCAGGCTTGTGACACTCTATCCAATCAATCAAATCCAAGAAATAAGCCTGATTAGTTACCTTTGATATGGCCTCGTGAACATTGTTGGCAACGTCCGATATAGAGCCCTGCTTAATTTCTACAATGCTTGCCTCTTCAATAGCCACAGACAAGACATTACCGATGTAATTTGACATGGATCCATGGTCCCCGTTGAGTCTACCACGTCCATCAACTAACCAACCCATCTTGCACTTGGCGTGGCTTTTATCAATGGTAGTTGCCATGGTCTTCCATATGTAGGCAGAGAAAGCCTCAATCTTTGTTCTTTTGTTACCATAGGCAGATGCAAGACTTTGCAGCTTATTGATGCTTGAGGCCTCAACATAGTAAAGGCGCTTAAGCAAGATGTTGGTTTTAGGTATGTTTCTGATCTCTTCAAGTGTGCACTTGACAAAGGTTTCATCCAGACAAGGGTGATATGTAGGAGGGAGGCGAGGTCGAAGGTTTCTGCCGAGATCTGGTATGCAAGAGATTGGCATGTTTTGAGCCACTTGGGACCATGAGGAGAGAAACATGCCAAAAGCACTGGCGTCGCCTAGTGCATGGTCAAAGGTGAAAGTAATGGACACCCCTCCACAAGTGTAACTTGTTACTTGGACTTGCACAGGAAAGTCGGAGTTGATGGACACTAGTTTCCCATTAAGGGACTCGTTGAAATTGTAAAAGTCCAGTTTCTTCAAAGGGATATTGGCCTGGGCTTCCACTAGGAGTGCACCGGTGTTGTCACATATGATTAGAGGCTCATTTGTATCGGGGTCTTCAACTATTCGACCAGCAAAAGGGTAGTAGAAACTTAAAGTTTTCGCAAGGGAGATCTTGAGTGACTCAACTGTGGAGGAGAAATTGTTGATCAAAGGTCTGTGATACAAGTACAAGTATGTCACAGGAAAGCGGCCAGAAAGAAGATCAAGGTTTGAAAGTGTAAGTTTATGATGCCGCTCTGGGAAGAGATTGATAGCTTTGACGATGCTCTTTTTGGTGAATTTTACTTGGAATTTTCTTTCTTCCGGATTCTCCATCTCAGTAATTGACAGTGCTACAAAGTATGAGCTATGCACCTATGCTTATATATATATATATATATATATATATATATATATGTATATTATATATATAAAATGCAAGTGTATATGGCTGATGCATCGAGCATTGCATTGTGTATAAATGACATGACCTACAAATACAATTGGTGAGAAATTAATAATTAGATTAAGAAACATACTTAATGGAGGAAATTAAAGATAGATATGAAAGAAAGCATTGCTGAAAAGCTATTAAGCTTTTCATGACTCCGCTAGTTACCACAGATTCCATTTGTCTAAATGGTTCCATTTATTGTAACAGCGAAATGATTCAAGCCCTTGTTGGGGAAAGCAGGAGAACTACTTGAATGGCCAAGTATGGCAGGCAGCATCATTGTTGACTGAGAATTTTTTTAGTTGAATGCAATGCATTAATGATTCCGTTGAGCATAAGAAATCCCACAAAATAAGCCATTGTGACTCAGGGTTTCTCATGGTGATTAAAAAGGAAAAAAGAGCAGTGGGAATTTGTTGGCATTTTAACTTGGATGAGAGGAATCAAGAAAGTAAGTGATGGCTACATGTTAAGTAAGGAAGTAAAGGTCATGATTAGAGAAGTGACCGAGTATGAAGATACCCATTATATATATATATAGACACACTTTTAGGCATTAGGCATACATGGGCATAAAATGGTCAAAAGTAGTCATCATATGCTTTTTGACAAGTAGATTAGATATTGGCTGCTTCAATTCTCCCTCCACTTTTTGGTATTCCAAAATTATTAGGACTTGTGTTCAGGGAAATTTATCAAATTTGGTCCCAATAATCAAGTAGTAAGGGAAAATGGAAGATGAGATGTTGGATAGATGACCCTTGGTAATCGATCTGCCTGCACTAACATTTGCAATTTGCAAAGCTCATAGACGTAACGTAACGTAACGCAAGTAGTGGCAGTCATTGTTTCTCTCTTTCCCTTGGTCCAATGCAACGAGTCAGGCTGATGTTCATCAGCAGTAACAAAATGGGAAGGGGGAAAAAACAAACAAACTACTACTAGTGTAGACGTCAGCCCATCAAGTTCTTTTTTTAATCACTCAAATTGAAGACGTGCCTGACTTATCCCACTTTCATTTGTCAAATTCCGCCGGTGGTACTTCACTGTTTTTTTCTATGAGAAAATATAATAGGAGTAAATATATATATAAAAAAAAGTAAATGTATCGGATCGAGACTTCTAGAGCCCGTAGCTTGGTGGAATAAGCCTTCATTATGTTGCGTCATTTGCAAAAAAAAAACCAACAAAAATCGGATCAAAGTACACACAAAATTATTTTCAGACGGAGACAGGTGTTCTCCTATGATGATCCTTTTAGGATACTAAGAATTTCAGTAACGACGATCTTCTATTTATAATTCTTATTACAACTTACATTACAAGCCGTAAGGGTCCAATCACGTTAAGCTTTCCAGGCAAGGCAAGGCCTTTGAAAGATCCTTCCATCTGTAACAAGGCAGTTTGATGTTGATAGTACAGAAGTAAACAATCACTTGGAACAATTGAAAAAGGGCACGTACATATTTCCTAATCAATCATAAAAAAAGTTGAAAGAGAAGATAAACAAGAGAAAGATGTGGAGAAATTCCAAAGGTAATAAATAATGCATGTGGTAATTTCATATATTGAAGTTAAGACTAGAAGAATTGGAAAGACATAAAGAAGAAAGAAGAAGGCAGAAGCGTGAGGATAAATTGAAGAGAAAAGATGAACAAGACGTCAGGCTGGCCTCTGACACTGCCACTGGCACCGCCTTCTACGCTAACAAATTCCCGAATTAATGGGGCTGACTTGCTGCTGCTTCCTCCCGTACTAGTGCTCATACTCATTTTGCCGCTTCCGTCCATTCATCACTAAGACTTTAAACTGATACGGACAGAGATCATGAAATGAATTTTGAACAATAATAAACAGATGAAAAGAGATTATCATTCTTTTTTTAATTTTTATTTTGATAAATAGTGTGCAGTACAGCCGTACCTACGTCTGCCGGTGATGGGAGGAATGGGTAGGTGAAAGATTCAAGGATAAAGCTAGACTTAATGGTCCACCTGACGGCGACCATGTTCCTTTCCTTGTATGCATCTGTCTACTCTCCGCCGCTTTCCACTTGTTTTTTTGGGCACAACCCTTAAATAAAAAACAGTTCTAAAAGCCCAAAGCCCATTGTGTTTGGTTTGTTTCAGCTTAAACACCTGACCAGAGTAAACCCATACAATTGCAATAAATCAGCCGAAAGCCCAAGCCCATCAGCAACAGCTTTTGGCTTTGAACCATTTTTCAAAGAAAAGGATACGTTACAGGCAATGGATATTTTGTATTATTGTTTAAAATTATGATCCGCGTAGAAATTCAAATTGAGCTCAAACTTTGTGTCATGAATGAATCTTAAATCAATGCCCATTTGCTGCAAAACCCAAAAAGAAGGCCCAAACGAATTACAAGTAAAAGTATGCTTAGATTAGCTTGACTGTAGAGAATGAAAAGAAATAAGCTTAACTTTAAAAAAAAAAAAAAAATGTAGACAGAGACCAACATCCATCAAAACCCCACAATTTATTAATTTTGATCCAAATATGGAGGATATTTACAAAGTCAGAATTTGAAATTGATAAAACTGCACCATACTATTAATTTTCTTTGATTTGTCGGTATATACTGGTTATTATAATTATAATTAAGAAGATAAAGAAAAGGCAACAAATTAAGAGCATAGATCATAGCATCACATGCCATGCCCACAAAATAGGATCGTCCACAACAACTAATTTCCCATGTGGAATCATTCAATCACCCAAACCATTGGGGACCAAATTAAAATACTGGTAATTTTATCCCTGGAACACAACTGTGGACCAAATTTAAATGATTTATTAGTTAGACCCAACTTAGAATCGGTTGGTTAATTGGGACAATTTACGACTTTTGTTAATTGTAGCTATACTGCGAAATTATTATTCATATGAATGAAACTGATTTGATTTTCAAACGACAAAAAGCATCATTCATTCTTCTATATCCCATTTTGTAATAAATCAATCTAATATGTACTCCATTTATCTACAAATATATATTATTTTAAGTCCACATGTTCAATGCTTGCCTTGGGGTCTTATTAATTTATTTATTTTATGCCATGATCACTTTCAAATATGATACTAGTATGATTTTATAAAAGGAGTATTCCATATGATCACCCTCTTTCTGTTTGCCACAAAATTAAAGTCATTTTCCCTATCCTATCCTATCCTATCCTATCTTATCTATGAATTGTGTTTACGTTGATTTACTTTTTGTTTGCTTTTCCAGCACCAAACTTGTCGTTTTGAATTATATATTTCTATATTTATGCAACCAATTTTTTTTCTAGGTTGAATCATTGTCAAACAAAGATGAAATTAAATAATTCTTATCACTTTCATAGGATCTGATTCTTTATAACCGACATTTCGGCTATCTCTAGTGCCTACTATGCATGATAATAATAAATTAGCTTGATGAAATGTTAGATGTTTTTATTCTTTGTTTCTTCTTTGTCCTGGTGAAATGTTAATCTTAATTGCCTTGATGTTCACAAATCATATATAGGGTATGGTCTTTTCAAACAAACTTAACGATAGGGTTAGCTGAAGTATTGCTTTCTCAGTTTTTGAAGCAGATGGGGAACTTTTCTTCTTTCTTTTCATGGACCATGGTTCATTCCCACCACCTCCACCAGATCCAGATTGGCTGCCTGCTCCCCACCAAATTATTTTTGTGGTAGCTGCTGTTTTAGTTTTAGGCTTTATATATCTTATCACCACTTACTCCACTATTATAGAGCGAATGTTTCTTAAGTCCCTTTAATTTCCAATTCATGCACCTAATTTTGTTAGTTAAGTCTTAAATTGTTGTTGAATGGTGTTTGATTCCTATCCTAAATCCAGCTCTACCTAGGAAAAATTAATAAATTATTGCCATTATTTTTAATGTATTTGTTAACCAATCTACATATATATATATATATTTGAAATTTGTTTAAAAAAAAAAAGCAACAATTAAAACTTAAGAAGTTAATTTTCTGGTTCAACTTTTGAGGATGAAATCCTAAAATTTATAATATAGACAATAGTATTACCCTTTTTTGTCTATTATTTAACAAAAAAAAAAAAAAAGAAGCTATAAATTAATTAAAGTAATAAGTTGAAAGATATATAAGCAGACATCAGCCGTTCATTAAAGAATAAGGACAGGATATTGAATTAAAGGAACAAACTTTCGATGTGACATTACCATAGGCATAGCATTACCTAAAATTAATGGCTCCCCCTTTTCAACTCTAATTGTGGCCTCATTTTTATTTTATTTTTTCTTTATTTAATATGGCCTACCTGCTTCTCTAATGCATATTGGCAAACATTCATAGGGAATAAAAAATCAAATACTATAATAATTGCAAAACCAATCTTGATTTGACAGAAAGCGTATGTTACAAATTATATAAACTAAGGGAATTCATAAAATTTAAAAGATATTTGTTTGTAATATATATAAAATATTGTTGATAAATTTATTAATTTATTAATAAAAAATATTTAAAAATAAAATTTGAGATACCTAGAAAAAAAAAAAATCGTTCCCGGGCACAATCCATCCTATCATCTTCATTGTGTTTTATCAAATGTGAAAAATTGTTAGGCACGAAATGTGTTGATCAATATGTGGTTTTAGATACATAGAGGAGGAATACAAAGGTAATAATATATTAGTAATTATAATGAAAGTAGCACTTAGACATGCAATTTGTTAACGTCTCATTTTAAATGTTTTTTAGCTATTAAAAGACTATGCAATTTCTTCAAGATAAAATTTTTCTTTATCAAGTGTTATATGAGTTTAAGCAATTTATATATATATATATATATATAGAGAGAGAGAGAGAGAGAGAGAGAGAGAGAGAGAGAGTGTGTGATATTGCTCTTTTACTCGTGTTTATTAGGAGACAAAATTTTATATTGATTTTTTAGCTAAAGCAGCTGGAGAAGGTGAATTTGAATTTGTTATATAATTCAAATTTCACCTACTGCTTTGATTAAATTAATATATGCAAAAACACATTATGGGCATAACAAGGTTGAAAACGTGTGTGTAGTTTAAGCAGTCATTATCACTCATCTAAAAAAAAATCAGCACATATTCATTATGCTAGAATTGAAAAAGGTGTTTTTGATGTATAAGATAGAAAATTTATTTGTCCAAATAAATACTACTATTTCTGTAAGATGTATACATTGAGCAGCCTTTGATTGACTTGAGAATTTAAAAAAAATAATAATAATAAAAGTTGATTGGGTGACAACTAAGGCTGCCTAAATGGAATTACACCAACCAAAGAAGAAAGAACTGGCGTTTGGCCGAGAAGGAAAAAAAAAAAAAAAAAGGCATGGGGTCTGCAGCTTTTGAAACAATGGACAGTAATCACCGTCAATCACGTGCAGTTTGGATTGAAGCCGCATCTATTAGAAAGAATTCTAGATCCATCCTCCACGTAACATTATCTGCCACGTCCTAACTAATCATGGGGGCTCCAATAACATTCCAATTAAATATTCCACCCACCCACCCACCCACCCACCAAACTTTTTTCAACTCCAACACTAACAAACATCTCTTTTTTTTTTCTCTTCTAAGTTAATTCTATACTTACAAGCCAATGCTACAGCATATAGGACAAGAGTTTGTAATTCACCAACGACAAACCACTAACTTTTTGGCTTCTTTCTTTAATTTCAAGCATTAAGCATGGATGTAGAGTACTGTATAGTATTTATAATAATTTAGTAACAAGTAATAAAAAAATTTTATACTACATTTTTGCTTCTTTTTCTTTTTCTTCTTTCCAAAAATCTAGTGCATGCGGGATTGTACATGTTGGCTACTAAATGGTAATGGAATCGTGAGTGTAATACTGATGATGTCTGTATTTTGACTTTTGACATGCACTTAAATTAAATATATAGAAAGAGAGAGAAAAGAAGAAACCAAAACCAATACTCTCTTTTTTTTAATATTATATTAACTATTATATATACGAAGAAGAAAGAGAAAAGAAGAGCTGCGGGAAGGGAAACTGAAAAGGGAATGCAGTCACAGACACAAACACAAACATAATGGCAAGAACAAACTCAATATTTTCCAGTAGAGTGGATGATGGTGGAACCAGCTGGAACGCGTCCGCTGATAAGATTGGTTCATTGCACTCCATACGTTTCCATGACCATGATCCATGTCATGTCATGTCATGTCATGGGTCGGTTCACCTTGACCCCACTTATGATGAAGCTTTTCCCCACACCCCCACGGTAATTTTAATTTCAAAACTGGAAAGAAAAGAAACAACAAAAAAGATTAAAATTTTCGGACTTTCTTGCTATTGGCGTTTTTAAGCGAATCGGTGCCGGCTCTCGGGCTCTGTTCTATGCTCAAACTGGAAGTCCTTTTTGTTGCCTTCAAACAAGGTCCAAAAAGACACAACTAGCGGCACTTACACTTTCCACTTTTCACTCATTAAAAAAAAACCCCACTGTTTCCCAACTTTTCCCTTCTCTTCTCTGCTTCCTTGTATACGCATACAGTACTACTTTCTTCTCGTATTTGTATTGGTTTATAATTCAGACTCCTGCATTTCATTTCACCATCTCTTGGTTGGAACTGAAATGCTGTGAGCACAGACACAGAACTGGATTAAGAGCTCCATCACATTCCCTCCAAAGCGGTTCCCTCCCATCCCATCTTCATCTCTTTGTTCAGTCCTCTTCTTTTTGCTTGCAGTTGCAGGTGTCAACTATACATCTAATTATTCAACAACAACAATAACGTTCTACTTCAATTATCTGTGTCTTTGTTTGTGTGTATTGTGTGGCCAATTAAGTTTATTAAGTTCAATGGCCACTGCATATTGCTGTTTACACAGATTATTTCGTAGTCTGGTAGCTGAATTTACATTTTCATATATGCCTTTCGCATTATTTAATTTTAATTTACTGCTTAGGATTTTCCTGATACCTAATATTCAATTTTTGTTGGAAAATCAATCGTTTTCTCGCCTGGTTGTGCTTTTTACCATTAGTCATCTGGAGACATACAATTCTTACCAGCTATTCTATCAGTGAAGTAAGCAGAGAATAGTCTTTCAATTCATTTTTTATTTTTCGTTTGGTATATAATATTGGTGTGCTCTGTTTCCATTCTGTCTTGCTTTATTTAGTTGGGTAATTCAATTAGGCCATGCCATTAAATGTTTAACGTGCACAGAATGGTGGATACAAGATCCTGGCAATGGTTATATCTTCTTGTTTCGGGACTGCTGTTGTTCAAAACACAAGGAGGTTACATCCAAATTACCTATGTTCAAAGTGCAGTAGCAAAAGGAGCCGGTCAGTTTTTTTTAAAACTTACTTTCTTTGGTTTTGCTTGGGCAAATTTCTTAAATATGTTTAAATTCTGATGTAACTGCAGTTTGTCTGGATGGAAGCCCGCCAGCTTACCATTGGGATAGGGGGTTCGGAACTGGAATTAATAGTTGGTTAATTCAGCTTGAGGTTTGTCCACTAGTCAAAATCCATTTGTATCATAAAACAGGATGTATTTTTTTATTTATTTATTGATTTGGGGATTCTTGATACCACTCATGGTATACTTAAATCTCTTTCAAAGGAGACTTCTCTCTGGCTGTCTCTTCTTCAGATAAAAGGAGTTTATGTTTGAATTATCCCAAAAAAGAACAAGGATAAAAAGGAGTTTGATGTTTAATCCTGTAGTACAAGGGTATATCAAGATACTTACACTTTCTGAGTTAAAACTTACTTCTTTGATAGTTTGGTTTTTATGTCATAAAATGACATGTTCTTGGACTGAACTCACCAATTTTAAGTTCTCTTTTTCTATTCCTAATGTACTGCCAGTCATACTAATTGCCCTTGCACTAAATTCATAGGGAGGAGGATGGTGCAATAATGTGACTAGTTGCCTGGTTCGTAAAAATACCCATTTAGGTTCCTCCAAGAGAATGGTCAAGCAAATTCCTTTCTCTGGCGTATTGAACAATAAACATCAATTCAATCCAGGCACGAATTTATATTTTACTCAGTCACTTCTATTTTTCTAATTACTTTTCCAGCATATGTTATTTGTTTTGCAAGTAGTTTAATGAATTTTAATTGGGTTTTAGACTTTTACAATTGGAATAGAGTCAAAGTCAGGTATTGTGATGGATCATCATTCACAGGCGACGTGGCAGCAGTCAATCCAGTAACTTATTGTTAATCTTGGTGACGTGAATTAATTTCTATTTTCATGGGGAGACTTGAAAGATGAATCAGTTCTACCCATAGTTTTCTTTCCCCTCATGTTAACTAGTTAGCAATTTCATCAGGTTACTAATCTTCACTTCAGAGGTGCGAGGGTCTGGCTTGCTGTCATGGAGGATCTGTTGGGAAAAGGAATGAGAAGTGCTGAAAATGTGAGCTTTCGTTTTTTTATGATGATCTGTCAACTATTTCCAGCTGCCTTTCTTCATACTGATTCTTTTTTAACTAATGATTTGTTCAATTAAATTTCATTCTATAGGCTGTTCTTTCAGGATGTTCGGCCGGCGGATTGGCGTCCATTTTGCATTGTGATAGCTTTCAAGCCCTCCTAACTATGGGTACTAAAGTTAAATGTCTTTCAGATGCTGGTTATTTTATCAATGCGTAAGCTCATTAATAGGACCTTGTGCCCAGACCTTGTGTTGAAATCTACATGTTAGTTGACATATTTCTTTTGTCTAATATTAATAACATTGCAAGTGTTCTGTGTCAGGAAGGATGTGTCTGGAGGACATTATATTGAATCCTTCTTCAACCAATTAGTAGCAACACATGTACTGGTTCTTTCTCTCTATCTCAGATGAATGCTTTTTTTTTTTTTAAATCCCCCATTAACGTTTATGTTTTTTACATTAATTTGTGAGCACTTTTATTTATGATTGGTTTTTAACAAAGTTGAAATACTGGTCAAGGACATCTGATTCTTACTTTCTTTCTTTCTTGAAGGGATCAGCAAAAAATTTGCTTCCATCCTGCACTTCAAGAATGAGACCTGCTTTGGTAAGTGTTGCTTTCCGTCACTACTTTTAGTCTTCACCATTTCAACTTCCTCTTACCAATATTCATCTACATTTCACAGTGTTTTTTCCCACAATACATGGCACAGCAAATACAAACACCTCTTTTTATTATCAATGCAGCATATGATTCGTGGCAGGTTTGTTCATTTCTGCTACCGATAAGTTAAAATGACTGTGCAAATCAATACTGAAATTATATGTAACAAATGCAACTTTCTTTGGTTGTTCAAAAACCTGGATTGATAGGTTTTAAGGCAAAGGCATCAATGACTATATAACAAATAACGATAGAGGTTGCATGCTGTTGGTAAAGTTATGCTTCATGTGCCATTTAACTCAGACCAAATCCTTTCCATAAGCCTTGTCTGCCAACTCAAAATGCAAGGAAGCGTTTTCTGTGTTCTTTTCAGGCTTAAATTCTTTATTAATTTTTCATATCCTGACCTTCGTTTATCTAGTTTGAGCTTCCCTCTGGATCCTCTGGATGGATGGTAGCTTCAGCCTCTTGCCTGACATATAATACCAGTTATAGCCTACTAGCTAGGGAAAGTAAGTCTTTATCTTCATTTCTTATTTCTAGACTCAAATAGTTTAAGCTGAGCAGTATAAGACTTAAAAACTGGAATTTTAATTCTTCCAGATATTAAGTTGTCCCTCTTTGAATGTCAATTGCAGTTTTGTTTTGTAGAGGTCATGCGATAATTATTACATGTAAAATAACATTAGACCTCACTTAGTTGTATCTCTTTGCCTTTCTGTTTCTTAGGAATTTTTGTTGTTTTACTTTCAACATCGAATTGGGATTCAAAATTAAAAGTTTGCAATTAGAGTGCCATCAAAATTTGTGGGAAACGCTCCTTATTTTTACAGCTTCAGTATAACTCTTAATCAGAATTTGGAAAGAGAAGGAAATGGCAGAAAACAAAAATTATATACTCAAATATTGCTATACCACTCATATATTACAAATAAAATATACATGTTTTGCAGTTTCTCTTAATCCTTTGATTATTATTATTTTTTTTTTAAGATACGAAACACTTTGGCACCGGTCATTGCTGATCCGAGTGGCTACTGGGAGAGCTGCAAGCTTGATATAAAGAACTGCTTGCCCAGCCAAATCAAAACCATGCAAAGTGAGTCAACAATATTCCTGTTTTAGACTCGTAAGAAGCCTTCAATTTCTTTTTGGGTTCAGTATACAAGACAAGAGAGTGAAGTTTGTTGTCTGATGAGGCAAATGTTAATTATAATTACTTTTAAATAACCTCAACACCCTAAAAGCTTATAGGTTTTCCTAGCCTGTTGTATACATTATACTTTAGATCAGATGTGTATCCTCTTGTTGCACTATAAGCAATGTTGGAAAATTTAGTTATGGGTATTTTAATCATAATTTTGTGTCTATATTTCAGACTTCAGGTTGCAATTCTTAGTTGCACTACTTCGACTAGGCAAGTCTGCATCAAGAGGAATGTTTATAGACTCTTGCTATGCCCATTGCCAAACTGAGATGCAAGAATTATGGCAAATGTCAGACTCGCCACTGCTGAATAAAACCGTAAGCAAGCAAATAGTGGCTTATTATATTTCTTGTCTAAATTGTTTTTATCCTTTCCTTTAATTTTCGAGACATTGATTTTGTTTCTGGTAAAATGTATTGTGCAGACAATTGCCAAGGCAGTTGGAGACTGGTTTTACGACCGGAATTCATTTCAAAAGATAGATTGCCCTTATCCTTGCAACCCCACTTGCCACAACCGTGTTTATGACCCACAGGCACATTTAAACTACCCCGAATTATAGATTTTCTCCGTCTACCTACATACATTCATCTACATAGATAGTAGCAGTATTAATTTTTTTTTTAATATTATATATATAGAAATGATTTAGCTGGAATCGTGAAATGAAATTTACCATTGGTCAAGTCCTCCAAATAAACAAAGACCACCACTGCACTGAACTTGTGTGTTGGGTGGCTCCATTTTTTGTGTATTCAAATTATTATTTCTTAATAAATTACCTTGTTTTTAATCTGAACTTTATTCTGATTATAAGCATAATTAAAATTTAATAAAATTTAACGATTTTAGCAGATGGTTGTTACTTATTATACCGTCAGTCTGGGACGGGAGGGAAGGTGTCTTTAGCAATGTGTGTTTGCTTGCTGTCTGCTTTTATATATATATATATATATATATATATATATACATAAGGGTAAAATTTGTTTTTCTTTTATAATTAAAATTTTTCATTTTAAAACCTAAAGAAGCAGAAAAATCTGCTACAGGGATGAAGTACAACACTTAATGTTCAAAAATAGCAAAATAATAACAAAAGATGAAGAATTAAATTCCTATATAAAATTCAAATGTAAATTTTGATAGTAAATCCTTAAAAATAAGTATTTATACAATTTTACTTCTTCAGAAAAAAAATGGATTTTTAAGGTCTTCCATTTTTAATGAAATGGGGAAAATGATTGGAACTTTTAAGCCGGATCAAGTAGTGCCATGCATTGGCCAGCGCTGTTGTTTTTAGAGCATTGTTTTCATGGTCACATCATTAGTCATCTCATCGTTACAAAAGTTGAATTTGAGTAGGGTCGGGTTTTAGGTACATGTTTTCTTTTGAATTTTTTCAGTCATTCAGAGCCCAGGGGCCGCCTAGAGTTGTTGTAAGTCAATAGACAGACAGAAGGCAGGTTAAGGCTATTTATAGAATGCAACATGACGGTGGTGGTGGTGGTTGGTGGAGGAGGAGGACGAGGAGGATTAATTTGCTAAAGAGTAGAGACGAACCAATGGAAGAGACGAGGGAATGGAGAATAACCTTTTCCAAATCCAAAGTAAAAAAATTAACTTGATAGTTAAGTAAAGAAGTTAAAAGTTTAAATTTAAAGCCTGTAACTACTGTAAGCAACAATCAGTTACCTTGATGAAAGTGCTTTGCTTGGTGATACTGGTAACCCCGTAAGCGGCTTGAGTCTTGGGTTGAATAAAGAACAAACAGTTAAAGTTTCGTATCGGGCCAGGCCAGGCCAGCCTAGCCAATGGGCATCCGCCATCATGGCATCAGCACTTGCTTGGAACGTGTAACTTAATGAGCACACCGACACGACACTAAACTGTGGAATTCACTTTATCTGCATGCTTAGTTGGCACGCGTTATCGGACAGGACAATCAGATGAGGCCTATAAAAGGAATCAGCGGTCGCTCACAATTCACTAAGCAAAAGCAAGCATTTTGTAATCCTAATAAGAAAGGAATATAGTACTAAGCATCTCTAGCTGTTCAGCTGCCCAGCCCCGCGGGAATTTATTAGGACTTCATCAAAATTTCTCATTTCTCCGCTCTCAACTCTCAAGGTAAGCTTTCATCTTAAACAAATTAATACTAAGTACTAAAAAGTCGTCCTACCCCTCATGCTTATCCTTGATTTGCAGCTGCTGAGTGTTTGTGTTTTTACATTTTACATTTACTGGTATTACTATCTTTCCTTTTACCTTTTAACTCCTGGCCATGGGTGTTGGCTGTCGGGTTGGGGTGAGGATGACGATGACACACACAGACAAACACCAAAGCAAGAGTGAAGTAGCGGTAATATATATACTAGTACTAGTAATTACTAAGCTCAAGGACGATGCAGGGTGTGATCTTAGATTGGGTGAATGCAGTGCAACAGTTACCGATTTTACTTTTATATGTAGGGAATTAATGTTAGGATTAGACAGACAGAGCAGTGTTTTTCCACCTCCCTGTTTCAGTTCCTTCCGGCGATTTATGAGCGGTAGCTCTTCCGTGCAGCTGCTGCTCCGGTCCTAAGAGAAAAAAAGTTGACTGGTTTTTGAGCGAGTCATGGGTTATGATCTCGTGACCATGCTTCAATCTTGTGCAGACAGGCGTGAGCTTTGTCGGATACTGCTACTTGAAAATAATAATTTTTAGTGGATCAGATTAGATCTTTAACTCTCAACAAATAGTATTATTAGTAGTATTATCTTATCTTATGGGCTGAATTGGCAAGGCCTTGCTTTAGTTTTATTTTGAAGTTTGACCCATGCCATCACAGTTCTAAATATTTCTACTGCTTGTAAGTTCTATGTCTAATATTTGGGCTTCAACACTTTTACTATTATTACTAGGGAGAAGGAGATGCTGATGTCGATTCTCCCATCGGCTCACACAATATACATCATTATGAATCCACCGCCTTGACAATGACTTAGGCCATTGTGGATTTCGTAGTCCTTGGTCTGCTCTGGATGTTTGTACTTAGTAGCATTACACTAGTATTAAATAACAAAAAAAAAAAAAAATACAGCTACTACTAGTCTACTACTACTACTTATACCATTACAAACTATGATTGTGACCGAATAAAAATGTATTATATTCTTTATAGGTAGATAACAATAGATTTTGTTTGAACAAAACTCAAATTATATTATTACAAACTTATTGTTAACGATAACGAGATGAAATAGCATTAACTACAGATGAGATGATGATCTGTGGTTGGAGTTAAACTGCAGATTTATTTCTAGATATCAGTTTCAAATGAGATGAATGATGATGTTGGTTAATAATTACTGCTTTAATCTGATGGTATATGTTGGGATAATGCTAATAATGTTGATTCAGTGTATATATATTTTACATATACCACGCCTAATAAGGATCTTTCTATATTTCCATATTCTTGTGCTATGAAATACTATACATGTATGCATGGATTATATTCTATACTATGTCTTTATTAGAAGTATTAGTATTTTTTTGGATGTATAATTGTCAAATGCAGCAGGAAAAACCTGCTTCAAAAGGTAAAACAAAATTATAATAGCCAGAAACCGTAGTTAGAAACAGCCTTTTGAATTTATAATTTTTGTCATTAGTTTATATCCTTTTCCTTAATCACACTGATTTTGAATTAATAAGTGCAGCAGAGCAGAATGGTTGGTGCAAGATTACCCCAATGGTTAAGTCTTCTGGTTTATGTGCTTATATTACTGAAAGCAGAAGGCGGTAGCGTAGGTATTACTTATCTGCAGGATGCCGTAGCAAAAGGAGCTGGTAGGAGATTGCCTTTCTTTTTTCTGTTTTATATAGGAGCAACATAATGTAGTGTATTTGGTATACTTTTTAGTGTTGTGCAGTTTGTTTGGATGGGAGCCCGCCTGCTTACCATTTCGACAAGGGCTTTGGCACTGGGGTTAATAATTGGTTGGTTCACATGGAGGTTAGTCCTCTTCTCACACCGATTGCTTGTGTATTTACTTATGGAATGCTTTGACTTTTAAAAAGGTTGGTTTTAGTCACTCATCTCAAAAGAAAGAAAAAGAAGATTGGTTTGCTTTACTCACAGTTAATAACACAATGACACTTACTGATTGGATGTGCAAATTTATGAAATAATCTTATGTGTTTTGCATGACTTCACAGGGTGGAGGATGGTGTGAAAGTGTCGAGACTTGCCTTTCTCGTATGAAAACTGATTTAGGCTCATCAAAGCAAATGGTCAAGCAATTTGGTTTCTCTGGACTTTTGAGCGGCCAGCAAAAATCCAATCCAGGTAGGATTAGACAATTTCCCTCTGGTTTAGTTCCGCTATTGGATGCTTTCATCTTAACAGATTTATTTTATTGAACATGTAGATTTCTACAATTGGAATCGAATTAAGGTTAGGTACTGTGATGGATCATCATTCTCAGGCGATGTGGAGGCAGTCAATCCAGTAAGTTATTTGAATTATTGTGAAAACAAATACATAATGCATTTTCTGGTTTTTAAACTAAGTTTTGTGGTCAGGCTAATAATCTCTTCTTCAGAGGAAATAGAATTTGGGAAGCTATCATTGATGATCTATTAGCAAAAGGAATGAGAAATGCTAAAAATGTAAGACCTTGTTTAATATTTGGTAATTCATTCAGTAACCTTTTTCTACTTGCTGATAACTTGTTGGAATTTGTTTATTATAGGCTATTCTTTCTGGCTGTTCTGCTGGTGGATTGGCTTCAATATTGCACTGTGACAGATTTCGAGCTCTCCTTCCTGCTACAACTAAAGTAAAATGCATTTCAGATGCTGGCTTCTTCCTCCATGCGTAAGTTTAATTGAACTTCTACCCTGATCTTATTTATATCTAAAACAATGGCAGAATATGTTAAATATGGTTGAGTTTTCTCTCATTTAACGTTACATAATTCTTTATTTCTGGCAGGAAGGATGTTTCTGGAGGGCAGCACATAGAAAACTTCTATGGCCAAGTGGCTAAGTTACATGTACTGTCTCTATTCTCTCTCCCATTTTCTTTTTCTTTTAATGGACTTTATTGAAGCTTTTAAATGATTGTGACTTGTGAGCTGCTAGATTAGAATTGATGCATTTTCTTTTTCTCAAACAAGACAGAAATGGACCCCTTACATGTCTTTTAAATGTAATGTCTTGTGCAGGGATCTGTTAAAAATTTGCCAGCATCTTGCACTTCAAGAATGAGAATGAGACCAGAGTTGGTATGTGTGGCTATTTTGATTCCATAAAAATATAATGATAATATCCACTCTGCTGCACATCCTCTTCATTCTCACCATTGTTCTTTGCAAAATTGCAGTGTTTCTTCCCACAGTACGTGGTGCAGACTATGCAGACCCCAATCTTTTTCATAAATGCAGCTTATGACTCCTGGCAGGTCAGTATCTTTCTGCTTCTCAAGAGTTGCGAATAAAAAAAACAAAAAAAAAAAAAAAACATGCCAATTGAATCTAATATGACAGTACATTTGCGTTTATGTTACTAAACCCAAAATCATAAGATGTTCACATTCGATTGAGAGAGCTATAGGCTTCATGCTACAGTTCAATAAGATCAAACATTGGGAAGAGAAAAACATTGATGACATGTATAGCATTTAACATGTAGAGATAGAGCCAAGTTTTGAAGCTTGGATGCAACATTGCGAATGAAAATGGAAAATTAGTTCAAAAGTTGGTTGTCTAATGGCATGTGTTCTGTGAAAGTATCATTACACTAAAGCTGTTTTTATGCAGTTCTCTTATTTGCAATCGGCATATGAAGAATATCCATAACATATTTAATATACTCTCCTTTAGTAATCTCTCGCCTCATGCTAACTGCATTAATCATCAGATTAAGAACATTTTGGCGCCCAGTGATGCCGACTCTGGTAAGGCGTGGAAGAGCTGCAAGCATGATTTAAAGAAGTGTACAACTGAGCAGCTCAAAGTCATCCAAGGTTGCAATGCTTCAAGTTATTTATCTCCTTAATGAAAGCATATATACATAGAAGCTTTACATGGAGTAAAAATATTGTTATTACAGATTTCAGGGCCCAATTCTTAAGTGCCCTGACAGGAGCTGGCAACTCTTCATCTAGAGGAATGTTTATAGACTCCTGCTATGCCCACTGTCAAGCAGGAAAGCAGATAACGTGGTCAAGCAATAATTCTCCAGCAGTGGGTAACACGGTAAGCTTTGTTGTTCCTTGTCTATATCTAATTTTGTTGGTGGTTTAAACTCTACTGGATCGATCTAAAGCATTATTAACTTATACATGTGAGGCATGCAGAAAATTGCAAAGGCTGTTGGAGACTGGTATTATGAGCGGAGTCCCGTCCAAAAGATAGACTGCCCTTACCCTTGCAATCCCACTTGCCCAAAGACTGATTCTGAATCACAAGTCCCAGACATATAGACTACTTATCAGTCATAAATAATTCACGCATATCCATTATTTGTAGTTCATGTATCTCTCTCTGGTTTGTTATTTTTATCAAGCAAAATGAAATATATAATAAACTTGAAAACAAAGAAAGCTACAAGTTGTTTCAACTTGTATTATTACTACTAGACATTAGTAGAGTTGTATTATCTATGTAATGTAATTGGCACTGAATTAGAAGAATAAATTGATTAAGGGTTTAGATATTTTACCAGTCTCATCTTGCTTACTTCAAGCATTGCATGCTTAGGAAATGTTTTTTTTTTTTTTAAACTATTCTTCTGTGTGTAAATTGATAAGTATATGTTTTGCCAATAGCAAGACCTGGGAACAGAGGAATGGCAGAACAAAAGCCATATGCTGTGTTGGTAATAGTATTTGCAAAAAGGTGGAATAACTTGCTATTACTATGCTATATATATCCCCCAACTTTTAAAAATGAAATTAAAAGCCAATTAACAAGCACCTATGCTATAACTACCTATGCAGATATCTCATCATCTTAATATCTTAGGAAAAAAAAAATTAATGAAAGTATATTAAATGATTAGTATTTCTTTTTTTTTTTTTTTTTTTTTAAGGAAAGTAAAATGTTAGTGTTTGTAAACAGTAGCCATGAAATAATAGATAAGGAACAAGTTAAAAAATAAAAATTGGACTGGGGGTGGTATATATCCAGTCCTATTAGTATAGGCATTACACTCTTTTTTTACTCGAGTCCAAATGGTTAAGAGTTAAAATATTTATTTTAATTCAAATCCAAAATTAAAAAAAGTATAACAATTACACTAAATCCCTTAAAAAAAAATTATACATATAACTTTTGTAGTCAAGAAATTTCATTTAACAAAAAAATTAGTACAAAACGATATAACATAAAGACAAAGAAAATAAGTTATGAAAGACTTAAAAATAATTTAAGGAAAATATTTGAAAAATCTTGGCAGTTTATGTATTTGTATCCGTTTATATTTTGTCTAGTATATTTAAAATTAAAAAAAACATTATTATATCATAATTTATATGAGTATATCAAATACAAAATATATTTTTATTAAATTTTAAATTATTATATTAAAAATGATTAATGTTACTTATAGTCCATAAATTATGAAATATTTGATGTAGTACTTAAATTTTAAAAATTTTTAATGTGATATTTAAATTATAAATCTATTAATATATTTTTCACTTTTAATGTAGTTCTTTGGTTTCATTCGACTCCTTCATAGAAGATAGATAAAAATAAATAAATAAATAAAAAAAAAATATAAATAAGGCAAAAATGAAATGAAATAAGAATTTGGCTCGTAACATTTATATTAACTTTTCTTTATGAATGCATTCAAAACAATTCGTTTTTTAGATGATCTTTCTAGAAGAGTGGGATTAAAACAATTTTTCTTGTTATTTTCTTCTTTATTTTTATTCGAAAAAATCTTTAAAAAAAACATTTTGTTTCCACGGAGCTAAAACAAAATATAAATGACAACTCATGATGAATAAATAATTTTTTAAATATTATATTAACTAATAAATTTATAATTTAAATATTAAGTTAAAAAATTTAAAATTTTAAAAATTACATTAAATATTTTATATAATTCAAAGATGATTTGTGATATTAACCCTATTTAATATATATATATATATATATATATATATATATATATATCCAATGGGAGAAAGTTGGGCCGAAAGTTGTCCGACTACAACCTTAAGTGTGGTATATTACACCCATAAACCTTTGCGCCTGTTATTATTATTATTATTATTTATTGGAAAAAGTAGTAGTGCGGATAGGGGAGGGGGATCAGCTGCAGTTGCAAGGGTAGCGGAAACCCCAAATAACAAAGAACAAGTAGTCCAACTGAAACTGGAACTGAAAGCAGCGGCCAATGCTTTGGTTGAGACACTCCACTTTCGTGTTAGGAATCAAACAAAGGAGTCCTTAAAGTAAGCACTTTTTCTGTCTCTTCTTCCCCACAATTTCGTTCTTCTTCATTTGAGATTTCCGATTTTCTCCAAAAACGATGCTCCTACTCATGTTTAATTCAAACAACAATTGCATGTTTTTAGGGGAATTTAATCTCCTCTTAATGCTCTAAATTTTCTACATACTAGCTTTATTTGTAATGTGCTATAAAATGGGCTATTGTTCTGTTGCTGATTAGGGTTTAGCTTTAGGTTTAACCGCAATGGATTGGTCTTTTGTACAAAAATCTTGGGACAAGTGGGCTTCCACCAATATTGGCACCTCTGGTAACCTCTATCTCAACTTTTCATCCCTTACTTTTTACCATATATATATATATATATATATATATAAGTATATATATCAATTACTAATCTTGCTTGTTACACATTTGCAGGCGAGCCATTGAAGGCTGCTTTGCTGATTAACTATGACCCACTCAGACCTTCTCGTTTGTTGTCTACTATGTAAGATATTATATACCAAGTCATAGGTTGTTGTCTACCATAGCTTTAATTTTATGAACCAGCTCATCCACCATGCCTAAGTCATACTTAGTAATTATGTTAATCCCTTTCTTTTCATAATCTTCACATTCAAAACAATGCTGCTGGCTGCATTTGTTGCTTTATGCTTATGTTTTCTTAGTAGCTTCTCAAATTTAATTTTCTACAATGAATGTGTTTGCCGCCAATGTGTCAAAAGATGTTCAACAACTCTGATTTGTAAGTGTGACATTTTTCCTGGCATAATCTAACTTAAGGTTATCTTCTTCATACTTCTTGGTTATTGTCAAGTCAAAATACCTTTTGAAATTATTCCATTGTTTATATGTGGCTGGTAGATTTTCTATATTCTTAGTCACTAAGGAATGCTTTGTTTTTTGACAACGGAAAGAAAACTCACATGTTCATCTCATGTTGCTTTCCAAATGTACAATTAAATGCAAGTCAGAAGAAACATGTTCTTTACATGCTTCAAGTTTTATCCTATTATGTGCATCATCACACCTCTCTTTCCGCCAAGATACTTATTCTGTTCAGAAAACTGAATATGATGGTTTGTCTGACAGTGCCGAACAGGAAGGAATAAAGATCAGTCCCATTGAATTGAGTGAATTTATCAGTTTCATCAAGCGCAACAAACTGCAGAAAGAGAGCTTTGTGATTGGGCATAACCAATGTAAATTTTTCTGAAGCTTACATGCCTTTCTTTTTTTTTAATTTATAAATTCATTGAAATTAGACTCTCTCCTTCTCTCTTTTAAAGTTGTTGCTTTACTCACCATTTGAAAGCACTACAACTTTCTGCATGTGCACTGGAATTTTGACTCCTAGAAAAATAAATCCATCTCTATATAGATTCATGGAGCACCTTTTGTGGATCACTAGTGCATCAAAATGAATAATTTGAAATCTTTAAATGACATTTCTATTTTGGTTAGGAGAAGAGAGAGAGAGAGAGAGAGAGAGAGAGAGAGAGAGTTGAAAAGCCACATTTGTTCTTTTCAGTTTGGTTTTGAGTGCTTACATTGTAACATCTAAAGAGGGAAAGAATGTTTAGACTTTATTTCCTTTTTTTTTTTTTTTGTCGAGTGGATTTCTGTTATTTGTGGTATAGAAAGGGGGTATAAGTGGTTCTTTGCTTACTGTTATATATTTTTGTGTTTCACTCAAGCTAGTCTTTGAATAGGTGACTGACTTGTTTTAGGCTTGTTACAGCCTCAAATTTGGTTTTCTTTTATTTCGGGCAGAGTCTATTTCCCTAGATTACTTTTTTTTAAGATTTAGCATGTAAAGGAAGCAAAAACTGAAGAAACTTGGTAGAAATAATCATTTCTTAATTAGCATTGTGGACCAGTGATTTGGTGTGCAATATTGTTAATGTCTTTTCACAAATTATTGTTTCTACTTTTAGGCATGTTTACCAATAAATTGTTAAATTTATATGTCTGGTTTTAGTAGCAAGTTTGTTTTCAATAATAAGTATATTGCCATTAAAGTTTGGAAGCTGGTATATGGATGACAGACATGGTTACATCAATTCATGAAAATTGGTTCTGTGCAAGGTGCCTGAACACATCAAAACCTGTTGGTGAAGGTGCCATTGTCATGCAGACATCAGCGTTTCTCTTAGTTGCACTGTAAGTCTGTTCTACTTTGCATGATGTAAGAGCACTTGAGTATATAAATGTAGTTTCTTAATATGGACTGGGATTTCACTTCTCATCCACTTTTGTCAGATATGATGGGTCAGTTGGCACAGCATCTCGTGCTATGGTGTCTGTCGATCAATTTGTTTGGCTGTTGAATCGAAGAAACCTGTAACCTTGGCTTCCATATCAGATTAAGTGTAAGTTTCTGTGCTACAAGGATGGGCAACTTCTGTGTGTCTCTATTTAATAAATCTCTATTTATTTCTAGCGGCCTTGTTTTCATCTTTTAATGAGAATGGCTTCGACAATATCTCATGAATTTTATAGAAATTGACTACTTGTTGGAAGCAAGTTGTAGAAATTATGGATAGACTCCGAGCCCATTTGCATCCGATTTGCTGAATTTCAACGTCAGATTCGTCATACACTGATGAATGAGAATCAGTCCAACTGAAACGATTTTCTTTTTCCTTTTTGCTAGAAAAGGATAAAAAAAAAAAAAAAGTTAATCGTCACTGTGCTAGTTAATCTTTCTGATGAGAGAAGCGTGGGCAGGGACCAGGGAGAGGATAACATACTTGTTGAGCATATTAGTAATAAAATATTTCTTGGTTAAAAAGAATAAAAATGAACAATGAATTTCTTCTCCCCCCCTCTCCCCTTTGTCCTTTCCTTTCCAGCTGAGTTCTGCACAAGGGCACTGCAAATTTTAAGTTCAGCGCTTTTCTTTCGACCCAAAATGATCTTTATTGTGCAGGCAGGCAGAATTCCTGATACATCATGCTCAAGATTATCAGTTCGATTCTCTCCCTATCATGATCAACCACAGATGATAAAAGAACATGCGGGTTTGCCAATGCTCCTCAGAAAGTCTGGAGAAAAGCTGGAAGCTCTAGTTCTCCACAGGCGACGAATCAGGTCTGCAAATATCCCCACGACAAAGAGGGCACACTCTGCAAGCCATCAAACAAGTCAGCAAAGTGTCTACACATCCCTAAAACCAAAATAATCTTATTGCAAATGTCGTAGCACACAAGGGATGGAAAGAAAAGAAAGGAAACCAATGCCACCACTCAAAATCGAATTCAGAAGGGAACAAATGGACTAGTCAAGTTATGGAAAACATTTTCCATTTTTTTTCCTTCATTCTATCGATTTCCATCTCCGTTTGTACTTTATACATAATCAACCAAAATGTTGAAACTCTTGGTTTTAACTATAGCTTGGAAACCCTTGTTTTCTAATTTTCTAGTTCTACTTGATGTAACATTATTTTATTGATCATAATATTAAAGTAAAAATGGAAATAGAAAATGAAAAACATTTTCCAAACTGAACAGGCCCTTAACATTTTCAAAGGTTGAAAAAAAATAGACCGTTAGTACAAACTGGGAAAGCCTGTGCGGGTGTTTGTTACAGATATTATGCAAGCAAGTAGAAGAAAACTTGTAATATTACCTTCCAGGCCCCAGCTCACTGTTAGGGAGAGGGAACACTGTTTACTAGAAGCCAACAAATATATAAAATTTCTATTTTCAGTGGGGCCAAGTGAACAACCTTCCTAAATGGAGAACTTTACAAGATTTTCTTGCAATCCTTCCTAAGTTTACACAATGAAAGAGTCAATAGTAGAAATTAGCAGGGCTCTATCTAGCCAAAAGTAGTTAAAAGAAGGTGGATATAACACAAGAAAATATTGGTTAAGGCCATCAATTAGATAAAGATACGAATAGCCAGAAAGAATTAGTTCCCTTATTGGTGTGGCCTTGCACTTTTGTTAATGTTATGCTTATGAAACGAAGGAATCTAATTCTCCATACATTCTACCACCAGGTTAGGCAGCAAGAAAGTGTGGCAGATCCTTAACAAACATATAAAGGATCAAGATGCCTTAGATTGGATAGCAATCAACAGATCATTTAACAGGAATTATAAAAAAGGAGAGTAAAGGGTAGATTAATGGGAAGGAAAAAATAATGCATGCATCTGCATGCCATTCCAAAGGCTCTAGGACCTACATCCTGTATGTAATGTCCGCATCATCCTTTGACAGTTATATATTTGTTGTATTACCATATAACAGAAAAAATTCATTTGTCTAAATTTCAGAAAGGGAATATCATCTAGATGAGTCTTTCAAGTCTCATATGACTGTTGGTCTTTCTGTTCCACTTCACTATTCTTAATGATAACCCAACATGTGGCATGCAACCCATGTTCTCCATCAGGGGAAGAAATGCCATTTGATCAAAGGACTATTGGTAATGCATGTCTATTTTAGCTATTGGTAATACATGTCTATTTTATCTAACACTCAGTTAATCACATAATTACAATCACAATAAATTACAAATAATTGCAATAATAGTTATCCATCTTATACCTGTGAATCTCCTTGAGCCACTTGTCTATACAAATTCTGTGAAATTCGTGATTACAAGGCAATATCCGCATGCTATCCCCTTGCTCATACTCCACAAGGCATATGTAACATCTGTTATTTGAATATAAAGACAAAAAATTAGGACCAAAAAAAGCCTGATTGCAGACTATTTCCATGGGAAGGTACTGAACGAGAAGGCATACCGAATGGTTAAGACCCTTAGAAACCACATATCTGCCCCCCACTGTATAAGTGTATACAGATGCGACAATAGCTAAATCTGATTAAAATTACATCTCTGGCTCCCCCAATTTCCTCTATTATTAGTATTGGTTTAAAGACCAATACAATCATTAACCTCTAGCTAGGTCACTTAGGAGGTCTGAAACTTGTGGCATCGATGCTCAAGGTTAAGAAATCTGTATATTGTTTATCATGTGAATATCAATGCTTTCATTCTAGATACTTCAAGTAATTAATTTCACATCACATCCATGTTATCTATACATATTACACCAAGTTTATCATGGCCATATTTCAATTTTACACATTATTCATAGCCGCTAAAACCTAATAGATTAAAGCCAAATTAGAGTCCTCTATGCTGGAAAATTGCATATGGAACTCATCTCAACTGATATTGTGGGTAAATGACCGGATAATTAATTATTCCTTCTCTCATAAGTCTTACACAAATCATGCCATTTAACTTCATATATTACATAGAATTAGACTCGGGAATCCACACGAGGTTGCCCATGAGGTCTGCCAACAACAGAGCTATTGCAACGCACAACATAAACCCTGTTCAAGCAAGCTCATTAATAGTTTCAGACACCAAATATTCTTGAGCCTATCGGTGAATATAACCAGGAAGCATGCCTTTTAACTTAGCATCCAAAAAGAGCTAGATTTCATTATCTCCATAATACTGAACTAGCAACCATTCTTTTTTCAGGTCTCATTAGTGTACTAAATTAGCTGATTGAAAATTGCAAAGCCAACCTCACTCTTAAAGCATTGTTTTAGTTGAAGCAGAAGATATCTAATGCTAAAGAAGATGAAAAAATTACAGATTAATTAACTACTACCTGAAACCCCAAGCTGATTGGTATGTTTTCCCAAGTATATGATATATCTAAGAACATGATTTTAGATTAAGTCACTTAAATAACAGAAACGCTAAAAAACTAATAAGAATAATTGCAAAGGTATCCTCATACAAGTTTTTTTGGTACGAAGGAGGCCAAGGCCTAAAGGAATTAGGGAAGGGGAATTCGCAAGTACTGGGGATCAAACCTCAGCCTTGTGGGAATCCACCTCCTAAGAGAGATGTGTGAACCATTTGGGCTAAACCCTAGGTTCATCCTTCAATGGTAAACATCTATCAAATAGCAGCAGAAAATAAATACTTACTGTGCAGCCTCATCATTCTGAAGTTTGTCTGACTTGTTGTATACTTTGACAGGAAGCGATTCCACAACTTCATTAGGTGCAGGAACAGATCCAATTGAAGACACGGAAGGTCGAGAAGATAAAACCACAGATTGCTGGTGAATTTCATCCAGAACCTAATTAAGATTCGTAAAAGTTTAACTCCAAGAGATAGGTGCAAAGAGAAAGGAGGAAGATCCAACAGAGAAGGCAATAAAAACAAATATAAATGACCTCAAATAAAGCTTCAGCTAACATAACAATTCTGGATATGCTAGCCCTAGCACTGGTGTCATTGTTTGAATTGGAATCTCGATTATTTACATGACATGTGCATCGACCAGTTCTATGTTGACCAGATAAAATGCAAGACCTTTCATGTCCAGAAAAGTTCTCAAAACGACTTCCCAGCCTTTGAAGAGCTCGAACCTAAAGCAGTTCATATGTCAGTAACTAATGTAAACAGACAAGTAAGTATTTGCTTTCACCGAGATGAATAATTTTCAATCAACATATGGCAGAAAGGAATGGAGGCAAAACCTAAAGAAGAAGCAGACACAATTAGATAGAAATAAAGCACCAGGAAAAGGGTTAGCCTAAGTAATTGTTGTAATTCTAATTGTTAATGAAGAAAGTACAGTTAAAAGTGGTTGATGAGATGCTATCTGTATTGTTCAGTAATCATCAGATATTAAATTAAAAAGTGTAGAGGGTTGGGTCATAGGTGGAAGAAGATTACAAACCTGAGATCGTATTCTTCTCCTCCTTTCAAGGAAATTGGATCTGTGCTCGAGTAAATCATGATACCTGGCTTCTCTAGATCGTGAAGTTTCAACTTCATGGCCCTGAATGTTAAAAACGGAGTTGTGGGAAATAACGGGGGGAGTATGAGAGGAAGTGGTTGTGGATGGAGAGGTAGCTGATTGCCGTGTTTCCCTGTCTCCTTCAAATGCGTGAGTTTGATTAGTGTGTTGTCGGCCTTGTTGCAAAGGGCAGAATGTGAAATCAGATAAGGAAGCTCTACGAAGAACACGATCACGAAGCCTTCCAACACTTAAGGTTCTGCTAAAACGAACATTCCTTTCAACAGGCTCTCGACTCCCAACTCCAACACGTCTATCCCTATCCCTATCCCTATCCGCGTCATTGAAGATTATGGGAGAATGTAAGTTTGCGTTGTGAGCAGAAGAAGAATTGTGGGGTAGTTGTTGAGGTTCAAGTGTAACAGAATTGTCATCACGGTTCAACATTGCTAGACTTGTAGGAGAAACAGGATATGTCCTAAACGACCCCAAACTATTAGCCCTGCCTAATCTAAAGCTCACGTCACCCGGAAGGAAGCTAAAGCCGGAGAGGCAGCGAGAAGGAGAGTGATTCACTGCTGCGGCGGTTCTACCAGATCTGCTACCACTTCTCGATGCATCTCTATCTATATCGCTGGAAGATATGCATGGCATTGGCATTTCATCAGCAGATGCCGCTTCACCTTTAACATTTCTGTAACGTTCTCTTTTCACGTGATCCGACTCCGACTCCGGATCTCTCCGGTTTCGGTTGGTGAAATTAGAGCCGTGGTCTTTATTCCGGTGATCAATAACCTGAAGAGGCGAATTTCTTTTTCTTTTATAAGGAAGAGGCAGAAGCAAAAAACAAAAAAGCAGAAATGAGAAAAGCGACGGACCTGATGGTCAAAGTCGGCGTAAGCAGATCCAGATGGCGCTCCCAGACATGAGGACTGGAAAACTCTGTTCTTCCCCTTGGATCTTTCCCACCGGCCACCGCTAGATGAGGAAGCTACAGATGCACCTGCTTCTCCTCCTCCTCCTCCTCCTCCTCTGCAAGAACCCTTGCTCCCACCGGATCCCATTAGTGGCTTTGTTTCACTTTCACCCTAAACCCAAACAAAAGAAATGGAAAAATCAGCCTAAATTATGTCATTGCCATTTCTGATTGTGCTTATTTACAAGCGGAGTTTGAAATGTGATATACTACTCACTGATACATTCAGATCTGGACGAGGGATACATCTCGAAAGGAGTGTCTCAGCTGAAAAGGTTTTTGTTTTTTTTTTTTTTTTTCAGATAGGAAAAGGGAATGAAGGGGTGAACCCTTGCTTGGGGAGGGAAGCAAGTGGCTCTGCCTCCGTACGTGCGTAATAGATAGAAGGGGGTGGGGAGGTTATTGTAATAATTGTTTAAGTAAATGATATAGTTGTAAAGAAAGAGAACATGGCATGGGAATGGGATGGCGCCTTCTCTCTCTGCCTGTATTTGGCTTGGACCTCTCTGCCCATTGCTACCCTTATGACTCCTCCCGCCTCATTCCTTTTTTTTTCGTTTTCAATTCCATTTCAAATTATCAAAAAGAAAGTTTAAAAAGCAAATTGTAAATAAATTTGTAAATATAAGTACTTGATATATATTTATATTTATATTTATATTTTAAATAAATTTCTTTTATGAATAAAGAAAAAAAAAAGCGATATTTTTTTCTTCTTTTATTCTCTTTTACTTAGATTAGTAATTTTTTTTTCATTTTTTATCAATCCTATCCATTCTTACACTTTTTCACTTTACAAAACACTAATAAAAATATTTTCCTTTTCATTTTTCTTTTCATTCTATCCATCATCCATCACCTTTTTTCTCTATCAAGAACACCTAAACTGCATAATGGTATTCTTTTTTATTTCATATGTATGCCTTTTCAAAACCTCTTTATTCCTCATCTTCTCTAATTCTTATCTAATCTATGCTAATATTAAAATATTTGATTGAGTTGATGTCACAATCACCGATTTGATTAAAAAATTACAAAAAAAAGTATAATAACAATAATAAATATAAAATTTAAGGATATAAATACCATTTTACTTCTTAATTTTTTTTTTATATTTGAATGTCAAAACTTTGATCATTAAACTTAAAAATTTAACACTTTATCAACAATAAAAAAATATATATCAATAAAATTATAAACATAATTTAGAAATCCTTATTTTAAAACTTAATTATGCCTATATTTTCTCAACATTTTTTATAAAATTATAAATATAAAAAAAATCATAACCATAGATATTACATACATATATTAAAAATCACTAAATAATAAAATCAACAAATCAATCAATAAATCAAAACATAATCAAATAATTCAATATAAAATTAAATTAAATTCACACACTTTAACTGCCTCGGGCCTAGTCCGTTTTCTCAATTTAAAAAATATGTACGTTAATTTTTTCACCTTTTAAATCTTTCACGGTAGGAGGTAACTTTTTTTTTTTTTTTAATATCTGTATTTAAATAATAATAAATAATGATACTAATTAAAAGAAAATGTATTTTTAAGGATATTATGCAAACTTAAAAGTATCTAATAATTAAATTTTGCTAATATACAATTATATGATTAATTGTTTGATTGTCATATATATTATTATTTGGTTATCATGTATCGTATTTTTTTTCACTTTTAAAATATTTAATAAATATTTATTTTAAATTATAAAAAATATATATTTTAAAACATTATATTTTTATATATAGAATTCATTTATATTAAATTTCCCATTTTAAATAAAAAATTAACAAAGATTTTTTAAAATCAACTTTTAGGTACCATTTAAAGTTCCGTACGATCAACAGTCTCGTTCTTTTAGGTTATCACAAGTCATTTCAGTTTTTTCTTTATGTATAAATTTTTTTATTACTTTATTTTTAGGGCTTTTTTAGCCTTTATTTTTAAATTGTTTGGTGAACGTATTTAAAGTAATAAAAATATATATTTCTTACAGATTTATTTTTTAATGTTTGAATCCCTTATATTAAACTTTTTTTTGTTTTTTATTTACTCTCTTTATTTTTTATTTTTAATTTTATAAAATATTTAATCAATATTTTTTTAGATTTTATTTTTTTATAAGATCTACTTAATACTAATATTATGTCACGTTTTTTTTTTAATTTTATGATTTTTAAAGAAAAAAAATTTACAAATGTGTTAATTTTTACTCAGATTTTTTTTAATGTAGTGTATGATTTAAAAGGTGCCACGTGATACATTCTTGTTTTTCTTTTTTTCACTTTTATGTTTATATTTTGCTTTTTGAGATTTTTTTCCTTTTTTATATATATTATATATGTTTTTTAAGATTTTATTTTTTAAGACTCGCTTATATAACATTATTTTATTTTATTTTTATTTTTTAATATTTTATTTTTTTCTTAATTTGAAAAATTTTAAAAAATGGTAAATAAAAAGAGTAAAACAAAAAAAATAGAAAAGGTAAAACAAAAAAATTTATGATCCTCCGCAAGGCACGAGTATTTCACAAAATTATTATTAATAGATAAGTTATTTGATATATTATTAATTAAAATTTTTAACTCTATAAAATAGATTAATAAAATGATATATATTTTATATTTTTTCAATTAATTTTTTATTTTAAAATATACATCACTTTTGTTAATATCATTTATAAAATTAAAAAACTACACTATCAATTTATATGGTAATTTATCTTATTAAAATTAAATAACAATAAAAAAAGCACGCAGTAGCAGAGATCAGAATCCATAGGTATAGTGAGAGTGATACAGGAGTTGAGATGAAGGACGATCGATAATTCAATTCAAGGTCAAAGGATGAAGATCTGACTCACTCACTCACTCCCAAACTAAAACACCAAAACAAGAAAATGCAAAATCCTCCATCCTCCACCAATGTAAACCTAGATCCCACGATGGAGCCCCAACCCCAGCCTCAGCCCCGGCGACCCCGCGGATTCGCTGCCACGGCCGCAGCGGCTGCTGCATCAGTCAGCCCCACTGTCACTCCCTCTGGAACTGCCGCCGCAAGCACTGCCTCCTCCTCCGGCAAGGGGAAACGTGAGAGAGAGAAAGAAAAAGAGAGGACTAAGCTTCGGGAACGGCACAGGCGAGCCATCACCAGCCGTATGCTGGCCGGCTTGAGGCAATACGGCAATTTCCCTCTCCCCGCGCGTGCTGATATGAACGATGTGCTGGCCGCCTTGGCGCGTGAGGCTGGTTGGACCGTTGAGCCCGACGGCACTACTTACAGGCACTCTCTCCCTCCCCCCCAACATCAACAACATTTGGTTTGTTTTCTTTCTTTAACTACTAAACCTTTTGTTTTTTTAGTCTTACTTGCTAAATGCTAATGCCGACTGATTTCTTTGTTTTCAATCTCTTTGCTCATTCTCCAGTGTAAAATCTCCGACCATAGTATTTAGCATAAGTTTTATCACAGTTTTACTTGGGGTTTAGTTCCGAAGACTTGGATATCATGTGGCCAGTTTTTGCGCCTTAGCTGGTTTATGACTATAATGTCTATGCAATTGCTAATAAGTTGCTAGAGTTCTCAATTTCTTTAGTGGGATTAATACATGGTTATGCAGCTCAGCCTCAATTTGTAGCGTTAACCATTAAGTTGTCTTTTCAAAACCATAATGTTCATTCTATGCACATGATGTATGTTGATTTTATAGAACTGAGTAGTGTCAGCTTCAAGCATGGTTTAGCTATCTTTTTATCTAATTATTTGTTGAACCACTGGTGCCTAAGTTTCTCGTTTGGTGTTTGCCTTTTATAGCTGTATATTCTTACCTCTAGTCAGTTTGTTTCTCTACCTTTGCATGAAGAATCTTGATCATTTCTATGGACATCCATATTGTAAATGCCTTACCGTTGCCACTTAATGTACATGGTAGTTGATTTTTCTTTGTGATCACCACGTTTTGACCTGTGGTAATGCACAGGGAGCATTTTCAGCGAGGTCAGGTGAAAGTCCATTATCAGCTAGTTCTTTGAAGAATTGCTCTGTTAAAGCAACATTAGACTGTCAGCCACCTGTTAGAATTGATGAGAGTTTGTCACCAGCATCTCTTGATTCTGTTGTTTTAGCTGAGAGAGATACAAGGAGTGAGAAATATCCAAGTGCTAGTCCCATTAACTCAGTTGAGTGCCTGGAGGCAGATCAGGTAAACTTTGAGCTATAATAAGGAAATCATTATGATAGGCTAGTGTACCTTATTCTAGGATTATAGACATGATTGAAGATTAAAAATGAAAGCGTTAGATATGGTTCATCTGTATGTTATTCAATGGACTAGATACCCTTCAGCTACCATTTTTTGGACTGGCAATATGGTTCATCTGTATGTTTGTCAAATTTTGCTGTATTACAGAGCCTCTGACAGTGTAAATAGATCCGATAATGGTTATTGATTGATGCAGCTTATACAAGATGTTCATCCCACGGAGCATGAGAATGACTTTACAGGCACCGAATATGTACCTGTTTATATAAAGCTTTCAGTGAGTGCTTGCTCTTTGATTGTTTGGATTGAGATCTTGAGATTCACAGTACTTGTCATAGCTTGTTAATTTTCACATTGACTTTCAAATTGTCTTGTTGTACGCTTAACTCTTTTCTGTTCTTTGGCAGACTGGTGTCATCAACAACTTTTGCCAGTTGGCTGATGCTGAGGGTGTTAGACATGAGCTAAGTCATATGAACTCCTTAAATGTAGATGGAGTCATTGTAGATTGTTGGTGGGGTATTGTTGAGAGTTGGAACCCTCAGAAGTACGTGTGGTCTGGCTACCGGGAATTATTTAATATTATCCGAGAATTCAAGATGAAGATACAGGTGGATTTCAACTCAATGGAGTTGCATTTGTCCCTCCGCCTTTGTTTATGGTCTGGCCTTAACATTATTTAAGAGTTGATAGAGTAGTGGGAAATGACTTTCATGACCATTACCATATGAATTACAGCCTTACTGAATCTATATTTAATGAAACTTGTTGGGAGCTTTTTAAGGGATGCATTTCTCTCATGACATCTGCTTGTTTCAGTTCCTAAATATCTGCAGTTAGGAGTTCATCCTTTATTAAGCTTATTTCTATATGTCAAAAAATGCTTTCTGTTTGAAAGGATCATTGGTTTTTAACCATGTATTTGTAATTTTTTTACACGTATTTGCTTCTCAAATTGGAAATGATACAAATTGTTGAAGCTTCAAAACTTTTATTCTGCATTTGTTGGACTAGCCCTTTAGTTTCTGGAATTTTCTTTGCTGGTTTTTGTCTTATATAGAAAGCATCCATGTTAAAGTTAGTGAATCGCTTTTAAAGTTACATCTTCACTTTTGCAAGGTTGTAATGGCATTTCATGAGTATGGAAGAACCGGCTCTGCTGATGTACTGGTCTCCCTACCCAGTTGGATTTTGGAGATAGGAAAAGAAAACCAGAATATCTTCTTCACAGATCGTGAGGGGAGGAGGACTACTGAATGTTTATCTTGGGGCATTGACAAAGAACGTGTTTTAAATGGAAGAACTGGTGTTGAGGTATTGAAATAGTATCACTAATATCTATGCCAATGTATATTTTCATAGTTAATTTCAGCCTCCTTTATATTAATAGGTAGGTAAAGGTGATAAGTCTATCCATTAGCTTTTTAAATGGAATTCTACTCTTCTGCATTATTCAACAGCTTTTGATCTATTTTTCCCTTTCCCTAACCAAAGTTATGTTCAGCACATTAATCTTTTAATGCATTGGACCAAAAATTTGCTCAGTTATCTCTAGCATATGCTGATTGTGTCACTTATTATTATTGTCAATTATTTGCAGGTCTACTTTGATTTCATGAGAAGCTTCAGGACAGAGTTTGATGACTTGTTTGCAGAGGGTCTTTTTTCTGCGGTGGAGATTGGACTTGGACCGTCTGGGGAGTTGAGGTATCCCTCTTTCTCAGAAAGGATGGGTTGGAGGTATCCTGGCATCGGTGAGTTTCAGGTATCTGGTAACTTTAACTTCATGTTTCTGTTTCTTTTCTCTATCTAACAATGTAGGTTTGGGGTGTAAATTCTAAAACACATGTTGAATAGGTCTTCTCTGTTATGCAAATGATAATAGATACGATATGAAGAAGCAGTCCAGCTACTTGAACTCAACTCTATTAAGTGCAATTATGATCAACCTAGCTTGAGCTCAAGTTAGAATGCTTGCTTATTCATATATATATATATTACATGTAAGTTATTATGAATACATATAAGAACTCAAAGCGTGTTAAAATGGTTCAATTTGGCTTCCTTAACTCAACTGTGTGCATTCAAGTCAAACCCAATCAGCCTGCAAATAGATATGCCAAAACTAAAATGAGGATGAATTCATAAAATCCACTCCAGAAAAGAATACTAAATCAGCTCATTCTGTGCTGTACCTAGTGCTTTCGTGTTAAATGATGCTCATATAGTATTTATGGTTTTCTATTTTAGTGCATGCTAAAGTTTTGCAGTCTCTCTAGTATGTAATCGATGTGTTTAATTGAAGACTCACTTGGCTTCTTTGACTTCACATGCCTGTATGCCATCATTATACCTGATACCATCAAATCTGTTCAGTGTTACGATAAATATTTACAGCAAAATCTACGGAAAGCTGCTAAATTGCGTGGGCACTCTTTCTGGGCTAGAGGACCTGATAATGCTGGTCAATATAATTCTCGGCCGCATGAAACCAGTTTCTTTTGTGAACGAGGTGATTATGATAGCTACTATGGGCGCTTTTTCCTCCATTGGTATGCCCAGTCACTAACAGACCATGCTGACAATGTCTTGTCTCTAGCAAGTCTTGCTTTTGAGGAGTCCAAGATTATTGTTAAGGTATGCAATCAGTATACAAAAGATGCCTGTAGAAAGCTAGGTTTAACTTTTATACTTTTCATTTGCATGACTTGTCATTTCTTGACTCATTGTCATTAAATGGTACATTGACCATTTTATTTTTAATGACTTTTCATGCAATTAAGCTTCATTCTCTTTGTCAATTCTCTTCTAACATCACACCTGACTCCTATGCTTTTGATTGTCCTGGTCGTTAACCGGTTTGAAATCTAAATGAATTCGCCAATTACGTGATCCTGAGTGCATTATTAAATTCTTCCATGAAAATTGAATGAATTTCATATGTGAAACTCTGGTCATATATAGTAGTTTTGATGTATGGCCTGCTTAGTTTTGGAACTGAAATAAAGTGGAGGTTGTTGTAGTCTGTGGGTGGCTCCTGAAGATGATTTCTGATTAGAGCTAGCAAAATATTAGAACACAAAAAAAAAAAAAAGGAAAAGAAAAGAAGGACTAATTTATGATGCTAATATGCAGATACCTGCAGTTTATTGGTGGTACAAGGCTTCCAGTCATGCAGCAGAGCTAACAGCAGGATATTATAACCCAACCAATCAGGATGGATATTCTCCAGTTTTTGAGGTTTTAAAGAAACACTCTGTGACAATGAAGTTTATGTGCTCTGGGTTACAGGTTTGTAGCTATGAAAGTGATGAAGCATTTGCTGATCCAGAAGGTTTGAGTTGGCAGGTGATAGTCTTTCCGATGTCCTATGACTTATTTAAAATCCAGAAAACCCCCTCAAAACATTCCTAAAAGACTAAGGATCAAAGGGCAAAAAGTTGTGTTTTGAAACAAGAGGTGTCAAAGTGCCTTTAAGGGTGTTTTGAAGGGGTTTTTTGAAATTTACCCCCACATTTAAGCTAAATAAACCCCAAGTTCGTTGCAATTTAGTCGCATCCAGGCCATCTTTTAATTTTAAGGATAGGGAGGTTTGCAATAATATTTTTTGGTGCAGATAGTGTTAAGCATCTAACCCAAAACCGGTTGATAATATATGGAGAGGTCCAATTGAATATAAAGTTGCAATATCCCAAGGTTAACTAGTTTGGGAATAACATCATAACACTCACAAAGACAAATGGGCCTATGACATGGATTAAAAATGAGGCCAAACAATTAATGTTAACTAGTTATAATATATTAGGCCGAGCAATTTGTTTGGCCTAATATATATTTATATATATATATATAAATATATATTAGTAATTAACACTAATTGATAGGCCAAACAATTAATATCCCCAGGCTAACCGGTATGGGAATAACGTCACTTAACCAGTATACCATGTGCAAATATGTTTACATATAAGTTATGTAGTTATGAATGATTATTTTTAATATATTTAATTTTTAAACTTTACTTTTATTTCAATTTTAGAATTATCATTATTAACAAAATATAATTAGAGTAATATTAACATATATTAAGATATGCAAAAACTATATATAATACTTTCAAATAATAAAAATATTTAAATAAAAATGTTTACTCCTGCCACAGGCAAACTACTACTTTCTAATATAGAAAGGGTGTCATGGTTTATACTCTTTAAGTTTTAACTGGTAGGTCAAGCAATAATAGGTGGAGGGGCTCCTCCGAGATATAAGGTCACAATAGACCCAAGACTGGTATGATTTGATTGAACCACTTGATCCATAAATTGTATGCAATATATTTATGAACGTTCACTTAATGCTACAGGTCATCAATTCAGCCTGGGATCGAGGATTGGCTGTTGCTGGTGAGAATACACTTTCATGTTACGACAGAGAAGGGTGCTTGAGAATAATTGAGACAGCCAAGCCAAGAAATGATCCTGATCGTCGCCACTTTTCGTTCTTTGTGTATCAACAACCATCTCCTTTAGTTCAAGGAGTAATATGCTTCCCAGATTTGGATTACTTCATTAAATGCATGCATGGTAAGAATCTTAAAGTCAACTCCTTATCTTTTTAATTGACTTAATTGAATGAGTATCTTAGTTCAATCTTGTACTCCATCTCTTTCATATGTGAAGGCCTTATGAAAATCTTATGCGCTTCTCAAAACCTAGAAATGAAATTTTCATACCTGATTGTGAGGTTACTGTGAATGATTACAATCAAACATTTAGACCATGATATGATTTTCTAATTGAATTTCCTATAGTATTGGTCTTCTTGACAAATATATGATTGATGTAACTAAGCTCTAGTAATTCTACACTAGCATAGCCTGCTTGCGCATGTTCACTGTCCAATACATACGTGGCACTTAAAAATGTCATGAACTTAAATGTTGCTGTCATGGTTGGAATGTTCCCACAAACTATATGGCCCTGCTATGAAAAGTAGTGATCCTCATTTTTTTTTGTAGTTTGAACTTTGAACCATAACATTCTGAAAATATGTTACCCCAATATAAAGCTAATTTTCCTAAGCCAGTTAGCCCCAACATACAATTATGTTTTCCTTAGCCAATTAGAGTTGTTAAAGTTGCATTCATTGATTCACATCATTTAGCTTCTCATGAATTATATGATTTGTTGCATGCAAAATTTACTTAAAATTTCTTTTCTAAGTTTTTTTTTTTTTTGGTAAATATGCATTGCAGGAGATATTACTGGTGAGCTAGTACCTTGATGAGGGTGGATTTTCCTTCTTTTTTTTTTTTTGAAATGGAATGATTAAAGTGAATCGCCAATTTCAACTGAAGGCTAATAATGATGAGGTTTAACAATAACGTGAAAGGTGTAGGTTATGTTAGGTGTCAGCACCTATTAGAGATTTTACTGAATTTGGCTTGTATTTTCTGTGTTCATATGTTCATGTAATGTGATTCTAATTAGTAATTATATATGTTAGTTTATAAACTGAATAGAGCTACACAGGCGTTTTACAGTTTACACCTTAGATGTATAATGATACGGGATATATTGCTGGAATTAAGTAAATATGTGGTACGTTGTCATTGTCTCATCAATCATCAAAGGTAAAACCAGAGGCTGAAGCACACAAAATAAGCAGAGAAAAAAAATTTGATTTTGCAAACTACAAGTTTAATTCTGATATAAAGCAATGTTTTGAATTTGCTGGTTTTTCTGTTTCATATATGCAATATTTTAAGTGTTGTGCCTGTCTGTCTTCTCATGGATCATTCTTCTGCCTACTCGTTTATATTAAAGATCTTAGGTGTCCCCCATATTAGAGGCAGGATTCCTTTTTCTTTTCTCATGTTTCTACGGTAATTCAAGTATTAAATAAATTTGGACTACAATTTTGACGGAGCCTTCTTATCCATATTTTTATACAAAATTAACTGTTTTTCTTTACAACATAGTTATTTACTACTGAAGCTTGTTGAGTTTTTTTTTCTTCATTTGGAGCCCAAAATAAAATCCAAGTATTACAAGGGATGAGAGTTAAATTTTAATGATAAAATATTCCAAATCGGGCCTGGTAAACACTAGTATTAGTATTCGGTAATCTTGTTCATATTTGGCAACACGAAGCAAAATATGTTAAAACTTCAATTAATAATAATAATAATAAATTAAATACACTTTGGTATTGTTTCTGTCAGCCTCTTTTTAAGTGTTCTCCTTGAATGAGAAGTTACTTGAGCCTTTTCTCATTGTCTTTTATTTTTATTTTTTTATTTTGTAGGGGAGAGAAAACGGGGGGGTTGGATGTGGCAAAGGGGGATTGCGAGTGATAGGATGGTTAGTACGTTACAATTAAGCAACGTTATAATCTTTTGAATGCTTTGCCAATGTCCGTCTGTTGGAAAAATCAAGTTGTCACACAATTTGGTTTTGGAATTTGTAGTATGTTTCCTTTTTACTTTGGGTATCTGAGAAGTAAAAAAGCTTCAGCTCTAGATTACTGGGTCAACATATGAAGGATTCACTGTTGAACCAATATCGGTGACATGACTTGTTAACTTTTAATTTGTTAATCGATGGAGCTCTCTCTAAGCTAAGCTTTTTTATGCTTCTAGAGGTGAAGCATAATTAAGCAATAACTAGTGGTTTATCTCTAAAATATATATATATATATATATATATATATATATATATAATGACTGAAAACATAACGAATTTTCCCAACATCCTACCAGTTTTCTGAATAAGAAGAGATTTGATATGTTTACCGGGAGAACACATTAACCCATACATGATAAATATTTATTCATCTTCCAGTTTTCGAGCAATTCCCCACTTTCACGAAATGCTACCCAAGGCCTTTGCTTTCTCCCTCAGTATAAACTTCTGTATTTTTCCTGTAAGTTCTTGGCAATTCCTCGAAGACCACGGTCTTGGGAGCCATATAATGCGGCAAGCGATCCCTGCAAAACTTGATAAGTTGTTGAGCATCAGCTGCAAATCCCTCCTTTAACTTGACAAATGCACAAGGAGTCTGTCCCCAGTGATTATCTGGGCGTGCAACAACTGCAGCTTCAAGAACTGCTGGATGATTATACAAAACTGTTTCAACTTCCACTGTGCTTATATTCTCTCCCCCTGAATTGATGATATCCTTCAACCGGTCCTTTACTTCTATATAACCATCAGAATGTTTCACAGCAAGATCCCCACTCCGGAACCATCCGCCTCTGAATGCTTCCTCCGTTGCTTGTAAGTCTTTGAGATATCCGCTCATCACAGTGTTTCCCCTGAACATAACCTCACCCATGGTTTTAGCATCAGCAGGTACACTTTGCATGGTGACAGGATCTTTTATGTCAACCTCCTCTAAACCAATATGCTGCATTCCTTGGCGGGCCTTAATCGTTGATCGCTCATCAGGAGGCAAAGAGTCCCATTCAGGTTTCCACGTGCAGTATGTCCCAGCACCGTGAGTTTCTTTGAGGCCATACAAATGAGTTACCCCAAAACCCAACTCCTCCATCATAAAGAGGACGGGTGGAGGTGGTGGAGAGCCGCCTGTCAATACCTCCACTCTATGAGGAAGTGGCTTTCGGTCCCTGAGCGGGGAATTGACAATCATGTTAAGGACAGTAGGAGCCCCTCCCATGTGTGTCACATTGTGCAGGGTTATATTCTCAAATATGCCCTTTGGAGAAACACCCCTAAGACATATGTTAGTCCCACCTTGGGCAGCAACCCCCCAAATAAGGCACCGGCCATTGCAGTGAAACATAGGCACTGTCCACAAATAAACAGGCATTGAAGGCATCTCATGAAGCAAAACTGTGGAGAGGGAGTCGAGGTAGGCTCCTCTATGACTATAAACAACTCCTTTGGGCCTTGATGTTGTGCCAGAGGTGTAATTCACGCTGGTAGGATCCCATTCGCTTATTGGCCTTCTTATCTCAAATCCAGTATGTCCAGTTTGTAAGAAACTTTCATATTCGTTTTCGGTAGTTGCGCTTGGAGATGTTGAATCATCAGATGCATTAGAATTAGAAATTAAGATTAAGATGGCAGGTTTTATGTTGGTTTTTGAAAGAAGATGGAGTGCTCCACGAGCAATTTCAAGTAGCTGGTAATCTACGAAAATGACCTTGGCTTCTGAATGTCGGAGGAGAACTGAGACCATGGGTGAATCAAGGCGTGCATTAAGCGTACAAAGAACTCCTCCAGCCATGGGAACCGCAAAGTGTAGCTCATACATTGCTGGGACGTTAGGGGATAGGGTTGCAACCTGCATGCTTAAAGTTAAATATACGATGGAGTTTTTTTTTTTTTTTTCAGAGCTGAAAGTGAAGATGGATGGTTAGGCCGGGGTTTAATCCCAATTGATTCTTAATTCATAAAGATGCCATGCCTCCGTTACCTTGGAGGGTGTAGCAGATTTGACTAAAATTATCACACAAAAGCACAGGAAACGAGAAAAGAATGTGTATATAGAAGGATATATGGAGTATATCATCATTCATGACTGGTTTATCCACCATTCTAAATTTAAAAAAACCAATGCAATTTAAGAGGAATACAGAATCATTTGTATCTTGATGTTAAGGTTTAATATCCAAATATCAAATTATCAATATGTGAACCAAAAATTCGACTTATATTTAAAATGTTAAAACATGTTACATAATATTGATATTTAATGCCTTTTAGTGCCAAAAAACTTTTTTTAAAAAAATTGCAAAGTTGATATAAAATATATATACACACATATATATATATATATATATAAAGTAAAAATCTGTAGGCATTGATCTAGAGTAAAAAATGCATAATGTTTTAAGACATTTAATTTTAAAATGATGAAATAAGGAAGGGCAAATATTTTATTTTGAGCCAAAAAAAGTTATAATTGTAATTCCCAAATTCCAAATAAAATAAAGAGCTAGCATCTGAGGGAAATAATGAATTTGAAAGAACACATATCAACTAGAAGGCTTAATGAAAGAAAACAAAATGATGATGTTGAGGATATAATAGTGGAGGTGAAACTGCGTACGTCTACTACTTATATATTGATATTTTGATTCCTTCTCATTCTCACAATGAATATATTTATTTATGGACAATACTATAGCAAGCAGCGTAGGAAATAAATGGGAAGCGAAGGTACCAACCACATTGCCGCGGGAAACACCGAGGAGGGAGAGAGCAGAAGCAAGCTTCAGACAACGGTCATGGGTTTGTGCCCAGGTGTGTCTGAGGGAACCGTACACCAGGGATACCCTGTCCCTGTAAACCTTGGCTGCTCTCTCCAAGAAGCTTATGGGAGTCAAGGGCACGTAATTCACGGAGCTACGCACCACAGTACCCTCCAGTTCCACCTCCATTGGTGATGATTTCCCGTTGGAGTACTCCCTAAACCAACAAAAGTCGTGGCAACGGTAGGTTTGAGTCCTGATGATGATCTTTGATGAGGGAATTTTATTAATATTAATATGAATATTGGGATTACGAGTAGGAAGAAATAACAGATGACGAGTCCATGAATTTCTCAAGAAGCGATGCACGGTTGGGCTGTACTTTGTAGTTTGTAGGGAGACAAAAGAGATAAAGATATGGTGAAAAGCAAGTGAAGCTGAAGCAACAGCAATTACCTTCGATATTTCAGACCAGCTTTAAAAAAGTGTATATATGTACATGCTTCGGATCCAACAAGTGTTCTGCCTGCCTGGCTTTTGAATTACACCGTACCCAGCATGTGCCTCGAATCATACGTTGATCTCTTTGCCTAATTTTGTCGGGTTTACTAGTTTCTTTGAGATATGCAAATCATAAAAAATATATATAAATAACCTCTTATCTTTGAGAGTCAAAAGTATTGAGGAAATTGGCATTGGCAGGCAAGGACCTCTCCTTACCTGTAGGAAGGAAGGAAGGTAGCCAAGTCTCTTCAGCTAAAATCTAATTATTCATGAATCTAAAAATAAAACACTGAATGCCACAACATATCCACCAAAGCCTAAACCTTGCACACCTGACGAAATGTGAGAGATACGATACGACTAGTTTGAGAAAATTTTATTATAAAAATAACTAGAAGCGGAACCAGTTTGAATCGATTATTATTGGTAGTAAAGAGTAGAGAAGATAAAAAGCAGGGAATGAAGCGTGCTTGTACTTGACTAGTTGGGATGGGGAAGACAACGGAACTCAGCACACGAGCAAGATGAGAAATTGAGAATACATATGTACTTTTTCTTAAAGCTTAATAATTTATAGGAATAGGATGGAGAATCATTTTTTCTTAAAGCTTAATAATTAATAGGAATAGGAAGGAGAATCATTTACAAAAGCACCGTTGAAATGTAAATCACACTTCCATACCATTCCATATCAAGGAGACACTCCTACACATGCCTCCTTACCAATACACCAAACTCGACCCCTACTCGGTGTTGCATTTACACAGTTTGCTCTACCTTCATTGCACGATAACTCCCTATCAGAATAGCTGCTTGAATCAGACTCACAGTACTTCCCTTCTGCTTTGTTCATCTGATCAATCAGAGACTGCCTTGCACGCTGACCACAAGCTGGACTTTGCATATTTCTCTCCACATTCATTCCAGGGAAGCACAATGTTGCCACAGGCGAATTTGGGTTACTCAAAGCATCTTCTTGCAGAATTTCTCCAATCCTACACATTATGCTGAAAGCCAAGTTTCTGAGGACGCGTGAATATGCTTCCAGAATGGAATGCCCAACATCCTGTGAAATTGAAAGTGGTTGATGAGAATTATCTTGAATTTCTATCGCATCCCCATGAAACAATGGGTAATGATGAGAGGTCTCATTCTATGAAATTGTTTCCTTACTAGCATGCAATGGAAGCTTTATAGGAAGACCATTAGGCTGCTTGTAAATTTTTTCCTTTGCAATTAAAATTTGATAAATACAATACTAAAAAGACAAACTTTCAGATTGTTAATATAGTATAATATGGGTTCAAGTTTGAAAAATGTAGAATACAAGATGCTATGATTTGTTTTGATACTCATTTGTTAAGGAGTTGATACTTCAAGAAATGGAATCTACAAGCTTATTTTAAACGCCCCGTACTTACCTTGCCATATTGAATCTTTGTAGCATCAAGAAATGTTTGAGGAAGATTCGGATATGCGCTCTTTATCTGTTGTAAAACTGCTTCTGCTCGGTCCAGTAGTAGCTCCATCTTATCCATCTCAGACATTGGGTCCTTAATGAAAGACCATGATTTTCGCACTGGGGAATTACCACTAGCTTGTTCTGTAATTCTCTCTTTCCATGCAAATACAGCAGCTTCCAACCTATTGATGGCTGCAAGGGCATCATGTTCAGATTTCAAATTGAGTGAAATGTACATTTCTTCAACAGAGCTGGACTCCACAGTCAAAAACTTGTACAGGTCGTCACCCAGGTTTGCCTTCCCAGACTGTAGACACGTAGAAAGAAATTGAGTTACAATAGAGGCAAAATGGAACATTATATAAAACTTCATTTGGAATTGTTCTCATCATTCAAAATGATCAGACATTTGATCAGATTTGAAGGTAGAACCAATGTCAGCTGGTTCCAAGTAAAATCTTTAGATTCAATTTCTCTATTTCCTTCGAACAAATGTTTTCCAAATTGATTCACATCAAGCAAGGACTAAACTCAAGGATGACTCGAGCCTGTTCTCTAAGCAGGGCTTCTAGCTAAGTAACAAGTATTGCTTCTGCTACAGATGGTTAAATGGCTGGCAAATGGAAAAAAAAAAAAAAGGGGGGGGGGGTGGTGAGAAGGATAGGGGTCATCCTGATTAGGATTGTAAAATAAAAATGACTTGTAGATTAGGCTTTTAAAAATAAAGAAGGATTTCATTATAAAAACTATGTGAGGATACAATATTTAAAGTTAAGAATGATCCGGAGGGCAGTGTATGCTCACCTTGGGTAGGGCATCCCTAATAATGGATGGAAGAGGCATTTCAAACAAAATATTTTCATTGATCGCTTTTGCAGCCTTGAATACTTGATGTACCACCTTGCCCTTACATTGCAACTTCTTCCTTTCAGTGTCCGAGAGCCCAGTTTTGGGAACTTGTGGCAACGGGAGCCACCACCTCTTGCTCTCCCTCGCACTCTTGTTTCTTCCTTCTGCCCGACTGCCAACTTCCGCATACCAAAACTCAGTATTCACCATTGATTCCAGTGTTTCCTGTCAATTTTCAAAATTTTAATCCGGCAATTGTGGGCATATGTTAACAGAAAATATACAGATTATAAGGTAGAATGAAGAGATCACCTACAATAAGCATAGAATCCAACTTTTGAAGTGCTGGGAGATTCATGTGAATGTCTGCACGGGCTTTTGGAGTCATTATCTGCTCAAAACAAATACATAAATCTCACCACATAGCAGAATGCATATTGTCCTGTTAATCAGATCAACAAACATGAACAGTACCTCCATAGTCCTGCCATTGACACCACTTTGCTTAGCAGGTACTAACTCCACCATATAGTTGGTAGGGGAGACTAACCAGTCCATTTCTCTTTGCCATTTATTTTTCCTTTCTTCAGCCAGTGGCTCCAATTTCCACAACTCCCCAAAAACTGAGGCTGCAAATTCAAATTTGCGCACCTTATAAGTTGAACAATAATGAAAGAAGACAATCCAACAATAACAGAAAAAACACATCGAACTTTGTAAAATGTACTTGCTTTTTTATACTAAGTTGTAACTCTTTCTCATGATGTATGTTTCTAAAATATCTGTTTCTCCCACTTTATATCTTCTATTTTCGGTAAACTCTTTTTCCTTATTGTAGGATTAGGCAGGTGGCGGATGCTATTTGTGAGGTCAAGGCACTTACAACAAGATCTACAGTGCATTTGATCAAAGCTCTGAAATGCTTCGTTACATGGAGACACAATGAATTAAGTACAACACGAAGTAAGATGGCTTTTCTTTAACATATTTTTCCAAGTTCCATTCCAGAACAAAAGTTTCTGATTATACATGTTTATCTTTCTAACAATTGTAACAACAGAATCTCAAGCAAAAATTGTGAAAGGAGAATGATGAATAAGAAGGTCATAGATTAATAAGGAACTTGAAAGAAACACACCTGCAAGATTTGTTATGGCATTTGACAATGCTAAAGCTGTGGAAACACCCTTCCGTCCACCTGTAATGTCTTCCCCCAATAGAAGCTTTGCAAAATTTTCTTTCATTGTCTTAACATCTGAAGATTGAATGGCATAAGCAGGTTTCTCTTTGACATAAAAATGTTTGGGGCTTTCTGAGGGCTCCCATTCATCTGAACCTTGTTCATCTCTCTTCATCCACTTGGAAGAAAATGATCCAAAAGCATCTTTGCTAGAAGAACAGCTTGAGAAATCATCATCCAAGGAATCAGATGCACATCCGTCTCCTCTGCTCGTTCTGCTTTCGTTTTCATAAGACTTATTGTTGAGAATACAGCTCTCAAGGCCATTATATGTCATTATCCCTGAAATATATGAATTTAATTTCCATTCATTGAAATCAAAAGGATAAGTTATGAATTTATTCTTCTGAAAGCAATTATCATACCACAACATATAGAAGCATAACCAGGTTGACACCTTTGCAAAATGGTTTACACATGTGGTCATCAGCTTTTGGCAGATAATGATACAACATATAACTAAAGCAAAACACACAGAAGCTTAAGTTTCTGTTGTATGTTGCTCCTGCTACATAAACTCTAAGTGCAGAAATGTAAGCCTCATCATGAAGATTTTATTTGACATTCAAGTTGTAACCAAATGTAATCATTTTATAGAATGAACGCTGTGACACTTTTCCTAAAAGAATTAGATATTGGAATTCTAAAAGCAGCCATTGGCTTTTTCTTTGTTTCAAGAGACGAGAATGTGAAAATTGAGTAAACATAGAACCAACATCGGGAAAGAGATATCAGTCAATTTACATGATGCAATTTTATTAATTGGGGAGGGGGGGAGGGGGTTATGATTTTCTGCAGTCAATTTTTTTTTTTATTGAGATCTTAATGAACACTCAATCAGTACAAATGCACAGGCTCTAGCAATCACCTCCATCAGTTGCGGCAACTTTCTAAATTTATGATTCTTGCAAGAAATAGTGAAGAAAGTTTCAAAGACGCTTACTTCACATATTTTTCATTTTTGGAGCTGTCATTGATCTCATAATAGATTTGATTAAATGCCATTTCCATCCATATTTATCTAGACAGGTGGGTATGCTAAGTAAGTAATTATGAAGGTTATCATAGATCAGAAAAACCAGACTCTCCAAGTTCACATATGCACCCTTTTCATTTTGAATAAAATAATTGAGATTTGTCCTTATTGTAGAAAAGTCAGATATTAGCACATGCACATGCACATGGTAGTGCAAGGGCGAGCGCTATTCCGCAGTTAGGATAGATCATAAGATAAGATGATTCATTTTCTACAAAAATTGCGTAAAATGATTGGGTTTTATGATGTGGATAACTTTAACTGCCCACCTCTTTCCCTATGGCTTATACCCATGTTTAAAAGTTATGGCTCAACACGTTTGTTCTAAAATCAATCATGTGATAAGAAAAAGCATTAACAGCTAGCGTTCTTGCCGTACATGATGCATTTTCCTCTTCAGAATGAAGACAAGACAAGAGACTACAAGGCAGAAGTTTCCCAAGTTTTGAGAAGTAGGCCCGCATAAAAAAACAAAAAAAAGAGAGAAATTTCCTGAAACAGGACATCTTATATCTGAATTCGAGCCTGATCAACGGCAAACTCAAACTCCAGAAAACGCGTGCACTTCTCAAAACTTAAAAAGATGGCCAACAAAAGAAAGTGGCTAATTTTAATCAAAGTTTTTTGTTTTTATAGTCTAGAAAGGAATTTTAATAAAAGTTAGTATTATTATCCTTTCCACTCCTTTTATCTGGCGTGTTGCAGCAGGGTATTTTTCTCTTTGCAACCAGAAAATACTAATTTTGAATAAATGGGTCGCCCCGATGCTAGGTCATCCAAGTATCAATAATTAATTACTAGTACTTCATCTTTTTAGGAGAAAGAAAAGTCGTCCGGACATGACTTTTGTGTCCCCACTCAGTAACTTCATTGTCTCACACTGTTAAGTGAAGAGTTTTAAATGATAACAGTACCATATGAAGGGAAGGGCCCACCACTGACCACAAGCAAAAGAAAAGTCTTCAAAACCTAACCTATTATCGATTGGAGGGAAGGGAGGGCAACCAATGCATTTTCAGGAGGTTCTGTACCAGAGCCCATAGGCAATTTGATAGCTAGTAACACTACTAGAGCATTACGATACTTCTTTTTTTTTTTTTTTCCCGTTTGTCACCGTATCCTAGCTTGAAACTGGAAAGTTCAAACAAAACCAAATAGCTTCAAATGATGAGACAATCAGACCTCGATGAGGCGTTTCCTTTGGGCCCACTGAGGGGACCGACCATAACAACAAAGAATATAACTTCATTAAAAATGCTAGTAATTGTTTGAGGCAAGTGCACATCTTTCTCAAACAAGGATTACTCACCTTAGTAAAAATTCATGAGCATGAGTATCTATTGGACATCTTTCTCAAACAAGGTTTGCCCACCTCAATGACCATGCGTATCTACTCAAATACTAAACAAATGGGGGCTGCATCTAAACTTTAGATACTTAATAATCTGGTGGATTTGAAACTCTGCTCATTTATTAAAGAGCAGATTTTGACGAGAATTAATAGGGTTGCTTGCAATGATCACGGGTTTCTCATCTTTGTCTTCAAAAAGTGGTTAACTCACACTAAAACTCCTAGATCCACCAAGAAATTCATTGAATATTTAATTTAATGATAGAAGCATGATTCCCTGCTGTTCAAAAAATTAAGCTTGAATAATATCTCTTTATTCTTTTTCAAGTTAACAGAAAGAAAGAAATAATGGGTGTGGGTTGTAGTGCAACAGAAGAGAAAGGCACATGACATTCACACCTCCTCTTAGGGTACCATAAATGTTCAGCTAAGAATTAAATAGAGACAGCATTGCTGCATGGCAATGGCAGTGACTATTAAGTGAAGATTGAAGAAATGGTAATGGCCAACCAAAAAATGAGAACTGCTGGGTCACCTCCTCCAACAGTCCTACCCCCATGGCCCATGGTCTGCAAGTTATGGGACCCTCCCAATACTCTCCCCTCAATCCCCAACCTTCTAAGTCATGCAATACAATACTTCAATTCTAATTAAAGCAAAAACGAAATGAGAGAAAGAAGTTTACATGCACCAAATATAATATACATGAGTGATACATAATCCATACATGCTAATTGGCATTCACAACAGACTCAGAAAAGAATAGAGTGGAATGGTTTACTAAGCACTTCAGAATATGAACTATTATAGATTATGAAGATGAAGTGCGTTCTTTAAAGAATAGTTGGCTCTTTAGACAAGCAAAGAAGTGCTTTCAGTCCATGTGTAAGGTATATCATGTTCGACAATAAAACAAAATTTTGAGGGCTAGCTAATGGGTAACGTGGAAGAACCAGCTTCCTCATCTTGATCTTGGTCTTGGTCAACAAAAGACTAGATTCAATCACGGAAAAAAAAATGGTAAAACAAAATGACAATAGTCGTATTAATTAGTAATTAATTAAAGTAACTAGTAGGACTACTTACTGTCTTGCTCATCAAAATCGAGGCTAATCTCTCTGTCGCGGGTACAGCAAGTCAGTCTTTTCCTCATCACCATCATGTTCGTTGTATTGCTTTCACCTTTTTCGTCTTCTTTTTCTTCTTATTCTTCTTGATCTCTCTGTCGACGAAAATGTATACACGTACTAAGTAATCAATTTGCTATCAGACCAAAAAAAAACGGAAAACAGAGGAGAAATGGTTGATTAAGGAAGGCAATCAAACGTGTCTAGAGAGAGAAGTGAAGTGGGGATTTAAGAAAGCTTTGGTTTTTCGTAGTGAAAAACAAAAGTCTGTATAAAGTAAAAGATAAAGCCGACCCCTTTTACATTCACGCGTCTTTACATCCCAAAATTAAGAGAGAAAAAAGGGGCAGATAATGGAAGCAAGGGAACAAAGCAATAAGCAAACAAGACTTCACTATATAGGTAAAGGAGAGAGAGAGAGAGAGAGAGAGAGAGAGAGAGAGAGAGAGAGAATTCTTTCTCAGAAACAGAAATGTTAAAAAAGAAAATACTACATAAAATTAAGGATATCCCACAACTTCAAGTCCACATCCAATCCATAGTATATATATTGGACAAAAAAGAAAGAAAAAATGAAAAACTGCATTGGGAGAACAAACCTATTGTGTTAAGGAGGCAAGGTGAGTGCGGTGAAGGCTGAGGGCTGAAGCTGCTGCTGCTACATTTGGAGCAATGTAGAAAGAAAGAAAGAGTCAGAAAGTAGAAGGTCAGTAAGTTGTGTAATAGTGTTCAGGCTATGAGGCCTCCTTACTCCTTCCTTAGTCAAAGACCCTCTTATTTATTGCTTAGACAGACAGAGCGTAAGAGAAGAGAAGCAGATTTAATCACCCAACAAAACAATTCTTTAAATTTTAAACTAGATAGAGTTGAGAAGAGAGCGTCAGGGCAAGGCTCCTCTAGATCGAGATTGAATTCCAACCGTACATGGAAAATGGGGCCCAACTTCAACGGATGATAGAGATTGGTAGCTGTCCTTCAGCAACAACAAATCAAATCCACAATAAATATATATATATTGGTCAATCTCAAATCATTCACGAACAGCTTTTCTTCGTGTAAATTACAATCCTTTCAGAAACAAAACAAATCGAAACAAAGAGGAAGAAAGAAAGAGAAGTTTCAAATTTCTTTCTTCATGTAATTTGTGGAAGGCCAATAGGGCCTGCGTTTCACTATTTAATTTGACAATGATTAATATGAATCTATCTGTATTTACTTAATTTTCCTGCCTTGTTTTCTTATATTCTACTCATACCTCTGTCTACTTACTATTTGTAAGTAATAGTATTTTGGAAAAATGTACAGGGAACCCAACCGCAAATTTGGAATCCAATTTTGACATCAATTCTTATTCTTCTTTTCTTTTTCCACTTTGAATTCAAATTTCAAATTTCAACTTAACCTACTACATTTATCCATATATATATATATATATTTGTATTTCTACATGCATTAATTGGCCTCTCCATATTACTAGTGTTGTTCCTACCTTCGGCTTCGATATAATTACATAATACTATTGAAGTTCAATTTTTAATTTTAAAAATAAAAGAAATGAAAAATAAACTGCTTTGCAAACTCAAACTAGTACTTTTATATATAAGCACTGCTACTTTGAGAGTAATGAGGATTTTTGACAGATCCCAATTCCATTCCCACCGCCTTTTGAGGAACTCCTATCTTTAATATGCAAGCACCGTCCCTTGCAAACTGCCTTTGCCAATTTCAAATATTCAATTTTTTACTATTATTTTTACTTCTAGTAAAATACACTATCTAATTTTATTAATTGCAAGTTAAATAGGAAGCTCAAAAAGCCAATTAATGAACACTACTTTACCTCATATTTCACCCTTTGCTTGAATTTTAAGTTTGAATTGTTGAAGCTTTTGTTTAATTATCCTACCCACCCAATCAAGTTCATATTTCTCTTTTTAATCTACTGTAGCTATATTCTTAAAGTAGTATTTCAATTTGAACGAGTGATGGAGGAAATTGGAAGCGGAGGGAGGCAGCCTCGTTCCACGTTTTATGGGCCAAGAAAGATGCCGACGGTCAGGGACGTTGTCTATTGTCTGCATCTGTCTAGTGCTCTGGGCTATGGGCCGCTCTTTGTTCATTATTTATTTTTTTATTCCATCAACCGAAAAACCCCAGCAGCTATAGCGCACCATCCATTTTTATTTGTCCGGTCCCCATCAGGCCGTCACCATCAGTACCACTTATTATTATTTTTACGTAACTTTTCTCTTTTCTTTTTTTCTTTTTTGTGATGGGGTCGGGGGCAACTCGAAACAGTATATTGGAATGTTACTGTGAATTGTAATCGGTGCATTTGGTTTGAAAACAGAAAGGTGGGAGCAACCTTCGGTTGGGTAGATCTCTTTTCGTTTTTATGTTTGTTATACTTACCCTGTTCCAGGGGAGTTTGTTTGGTTTGGAGACTCTAATTTTGAGGAATTCCATTACGGTAATATTATTAAGTTTTTTAGGATTTCCGAGACATATTTTTACTACTACTACTACTACTATTATTACCGTACACGTGCTTTGCATCCCACCATTAAGAGTTCACAAGAGGGGTAAGGAAATCAATTTCTTTTAATATAAAGTTAAACACATTTTTCTATTGTCTTCTTTGGTTGTCGAATGTTGTATTTCAGGTTGACTAATTTCAATTTAATTTGAAGAGAATAAATTTAGACAAGGCAATTTTACAAAATTTTTTTAAGATAATAGTTTTTTTTTTTTTTTTTACTAAAGTAGAAGGGAACTCTTGAAAACATTATCTAAACGATATAATACCCAAGTCAAAAAAATTTAAGAATTTATTGAAAATACTTTAATTATAAATTAAGAGAGAGAGAGAGAGAGAAAAAATAATAATAATAATTATTGATAGATTAGATGTAAATGTAATTGTGTATTTAAAAGAATGTTAATTAAAATATTTATAAGTTTTAATCGTTGTTAAATATATCCTTTCATAAAAAAATATATATATCTTAAGTGAATAAAGTTGACAACCCAATTTATTCCTAACGAGTTTCGATTCGACTTGATTTTATAGGATCGATTTTTTTTTTAAATCAAATTTCTGGTTGGATCAAATTAGATAAAAGTTTAAAAAAAATTTGGTTCGAATTTTAGATAAACCGATTCGACACAATATTATATAAAAAATTTTAAATTAATTATTTAATTATAAATATTTATATTTAAAAAATAATATTTTATTAATTTCAAATATAATCAAGTACAATTTATATAATATCAAATCGAGTCTGATTCAGATATAAAAAAAAAAATCGAATCAAATTGAATCAGATTCAAAACGAATAAAAATTCGTCTCAATTCGATCTGTTACCAATTTTTAGTGAATAATTATTATTTTTAAAATAAAGCATCTTGGTCAACAGAAATTTTTTTTTTTATTTTCAGAAAAAAAATCGATTGAATAATGACATTTGAATGCTTATTAATGACATTTGACAACCCACAAGTCAATGACACAATCTTCTAAGGTGTAGTCGACTAGTCTCGAATGTCGATAAACATGGAGCAAGCATGATGCCCATTAGTCGTCTTTCTCACAACCTTGAACTTGTAGCACGGGCCTAATTTTGATAACAGCTTAATAAAGCTTTATCAAATCTCATATATACTAACATCATTATATGTTAACTAGGATAAATACATATAGGTACAAATTAATTAATATTAGTAATACATTATTGGTATATATGGTTATGTAATGTTGATGGTTGAGCAACCAACTAATTGCAGTGCTTTCGGAGCTCTACAGCCTGCCCTACACAGCTTGGGCAATGGGCGTCGGCATTACCGGCCTAATTCCTAAAGTACGGGTGCAATTTTTGGGCATTCATCTGTACTGCTGTGGGCTAGAGTCTATTTTTCCAACCCTCATTCAAATTTGTCCATTATGGGCTTCGCCTACATAATGGGTACGGCAATTCCTTCCTCTCCTTGAATTGTTTTCAGCTTGAGGGTAGAGGCTTGCAATGGAAATAGCCCCAGTTGGACCACCGTAAACGGCCTTGCCCCACCCAAAGTCCACGTCTGCAAACCCAACTATTGTCTTCTGCTATCCGCCGAAAGGTATTTCAACAATGTTGTATACTTGGATCGACCTTTGGTCACCACATGATCGGCCACTGATTACACGTACTCCTCACTCATCTGGGCCTTGGCATATTTTACTAACTGCACCTCATATCCTAAAGGATTTTCACCCAGCATTCCAGTTTGGCCCTTGAAACTGCAGTTGGATAGGCAAATGCATCCCCGTAGTAACCAGCAGGAACTTGCAACCCTTGCTTGCCGCGTGCAGTAATCATGCATGACAGGCTAAATATCTGATTGATTAGGCCAAGCTCCAGAGCAATGGTTGGATTTCTCCAAACACATGCCATAAGTAACTCAAAATTAGTTGAGCTGGTGGCTAGGTGAGGAGGAAGAAATTTCCGAATTTTGCTCAAATCCTTGAGACCAAAGAAGAAAGACTTATGAACCATGTTCTCCTGCTTCATATTCACTACTCTTGGTATGCTGGTGTTGTGTGTTGCTGTTGCCCCTCGTATTCATGATGCACACAAGTCACATGCGGGGGGTTTCGAGAACTAAAGATCACTCTTTGCCGTACAGGTGGCTGAGATGGTTTGTTTTCCGCTCTTGCCATCGCTCCAATGGTGTTCAGAAATTGAACAAATCGATCCAATTAAGTCGCAGATGGCATGGTTGAGGCGAACTGCGAAGATGAATCCTCCACATATCAAGCGGGTCACCTGCAAATTAAATCATGTTTAAATAATTTCTTCGGTAGTATATATGAATAATACACTTATTGCACATATAGTGATATTAGTATAGTTGATCGAAAACCCAAAGGCTACTAATCAGCCTCACTGTCAGTGACGATTAATCTCACATTTTGCATCTTCTGAACCGCATTATTTTCGACAATGTCAATTAGTTGGGGTCTATACACAGTAGCATTAAATATATATATATATATGTGTGTGTATGTATGTATCGTACACTTGTAACTGAATCAATAACAAAGGACATCCAAGGACACCTGAAGAAGCAGGAACATCAAAAAGCACCAAATCAACATATGGAAATGGGGGCTGGAGAGTGTTGCCAAGCTGGTCAAGACTGATATCAGCATTAGCCTCAATGAACAAGAGCCCTTCAGCGGTGCAGTCAATCATGAGTAAGCCTACCAGCTAGTAGGTAATAATAGACAAGAGCTTTAGATAGTGCATCTCTAATAACCAATTCGCCGGGTCTTTTCCACCTTGCATAAAAGAAACTACTATTACCATAGAACATAATAAAGGGAATCTGGAAGCGAAGACCCTCTTGGTCATCTATATTTGATGGGTACTTACTACTTTACTTCAAATGGTGTTGGTTTTGCAAAAGCAACTGGTTTCGGCTCTTGATGTCTAACAGAGAAAGCCGGTGCTGCGGGTAGTTTTGCCATTTTCATGCTGATCATGATTCACAAATTGATAAAAATAATACCATTATATATAGCATATATATATATATATATATATAGACTACAATAGTACTTACAATTAATAGCATAAATTAATTAATTGTGGATAGCTTTAACCACTCCCAATATACCCAGTCAGAATGCATGCATGACTGATGACACAAACAAATTAATTAGATGTCATGTAAATCTTGACTATGGGTGAAAGGGGGTGGGGGACCAAACTCTGTTTTCTTGAGGGGACCTCTGGACAAACATAGTATAAAAGTCGTACATTTATTAGTTTAATGATATAATTTTCATTCTTAATTAATTAGTGTTGGGGCTTTCACGAAGACACCTAGAAACGTGTCAAAACTATTGAATATGGCCGTGCATACAAAGTTAATGTGGTTTCTTTGCGGCATGTGGGTGCAAATAGCAATGCCATATCAAGTTGCCGTCCAATTCGCGCAGTCCATTCCGTTGGGAAATTGAGGAAGATCCCTTCCTCTCTCTCTCTCTGTCTCTCTCTCTCCTTGGATTTCCATGGAAATTAGGTCGTCTGTAAGTAACTGCGCACCCTACTTTAGCTAGTTTTGTCGCTTTTTTGGGTGAGAAACATGCGGCTGTTAGGGCGCGTGTTGGACTTTTCATCACCTCGCCTCCATTAGTACCCTTTTGCTTCTTATGCATGTGGTGAAGTATCATTTAGCGTACCGAATTTATATATTTATCTCAAATTCATTCAGCTTATTTCTAGCACCTCATATTCATTGCAAAACTCTCGACTCTCATTCAATCAACTAGATTCTGTTAATAAAATTTATAACTGTAAATAAATGAAAACAAAAAACAAATTCACTTTGGTCCTAGGATCGTCACGGTCGTTGTCAATATGTTGAAACTATTTTCAAACAACCAAATCATTCATTCAGATGTGCCAATTAATTTTGAACACAAATTATCAAAATTTTAATATGTGACATTGGTAATTTTTAACCTTTGAAACAAAAGAATAAATTGCTTAAATCATAAAAAAAAAAAGATGATCTACTAAAAACAATTTAATAGAAATTGAACCCGAATAAAATAGAATATAGAAATAAGAAAGCTAACACTGTTCAAGCTCACAGCCACAGCGTTTTCTTCCACAACGTTTGCTTTTTGAGCCGAATTGATAGACCGGCAATCAGCCAAAAAAGAAAAATTTTGTGCATCCGCTGTTCTTCACGTGAGCTTCAGAGAAGCTTCTGAAGCAACAACAGCTCACAAGCACGTAGCTGCACAAAAGCTAAAACAGAGAAAGTCCCAATCAAAACACCATCCTGTTCCTAAAAACCAATTTTAGTAGTTTCAATGGGGCATATACTAGAAAGTAACCGTGAGGCACCAACATAAAAAGGGGCATTTTTTTTCCCAGTTAACACTTTCAAATAGGAACGGCAGTAAAAATAAAAATACGGCCTCATTTCAAGAGAGAACAATTAACCAAGAATCCTCACAGTCCTGAGCTTGTCATCTGTGATAAATTCTAGCATTCCACAATAATAACCTTTTACTTCGTCGTCTGTATCTACAATAAGGACATTAACAACGCATAATAATGTGTCCACAACTATGACAACAAAATTATAGGAAAGATTCTAACTCCATACATTCACAAGACGAGGTCAAAGAATTGTGCTAACCATACTAAGAATAAGCTTTGATGTAAACTTGCATATACATGCATCAATGTACAGCTCCTGCACATAAATAAACTTTTAAACATGAAAATCCTTTATATTGGCAAAAACAACTTGAACAATTGTAGAGTGCTAAATTTTCACACGTAGGGATAAGAAAGGCAGAAAAGAATAAAAGAATGTGAGAATAAGCTAACGACAATTGATTCATCAGTTTACATCTCTCTTGCCATCGAGAAAACATCCATACTAAAAGGTCCTTGCAGTCCCAGTACCCTTTCACAGTCTCACATCTTCCCACCATCATTTTCCAAAATACATACTGGACTTTTCTGGCACCAATATTTTCAATTTGTCAAACATGAATTTTGGGTGGACAGGAAACCTACCCCTAAGGATGATGCTAAGGCTTTTTGACCTTTACTCACTAAGAAAAAGACACTAAAAGAAACAAAAGTTATGTTGAAAATTTGAAACCAGAATGATGACTAGATGAAGAGACAGCAGCATTCCATTGACAAATTTGGCAAGAGCATCGTAGAGTCTTCAGACATCAATTAACTTGACTGACAAAAGGCTCCACTGCTGTATATCAACAGACAGGGAATAAAAGGTCTGTTTTCATAAGCAAATATGTCAACATTCACCAGTAGAAACTATATATCCATTAGTTAAATCAATATGATCATTAAGGATAGGAATTACAGATCTGTTAATAAGCGTTAAGATCTTTTTGAGAGCAGGCTGTTAAAAACAATGTAAACCTAGCAATGCAAAAAAATCAAAGGCAATAATGATTCAAACATTTCTTAGCAAACAGGGGGGGAGGGAATTTTGGGTTTGTTAGTGCTAATTGCCAAAGACTTGGTGCCGATTAAATTAGGAATTCAAACAAGACAATTGTTGCCATAAGGAATCAAACAACAAGCACTTCAACTAGAAAAGACAATTTAATCCTCAATGGATATTTCTAACAAGAAATTGCTGTCTTCACCAGTAATATTGAATTTCAAGCTACGCATCATCTGAAGTTGATAAAATATTAACAACATTATTATAAACATGAGACAAACCAGCAGTAAAAAGAAAAGAATAACCATTCACACTGAATAGTGTTGCAATCTAACACTTTCAAATACTAATACAAAAGTTATTCAACACTTAAGGCTGTAAACGAATTGAACATGAACGAACGAACGTATGTCCGTGGTTTATTCGTTTATTTTTAGGAGTGTTCATGTTGGTTAAGAAAATTGCTCTGTTCGTTCATGTTCATTCCTTTATATAATAGGCTGTTCATGTTCAGTTCGTATTCGTTCAATTAAATTAAACGAACTCATTTGTGAACATTAATCAAACATGTTCTCAAACATGTTCTCAAACATATATAAACAAAAATATTCATGAACAATAAACAAGTTATAATCAAAACAAATCTAAACAAACAAACCCTAAATGAACATAAACGAACCCAAATAAACATTAACAAACCTTAAAATAGGATTAATGTAAAAGATAAAAATGTAATTTTATTAGTATTATTATAAACGAACAGCAAATGAACAACAAACGAACAATGAATGAATGAGCTTTAAACGAACTTTAAACGCGCTTATTCACAAACATAAATGAACCAAACAAATCTCTGTTTGTATTCAATTAATTAAATAAATGAATATAAAAATATTGTTCAAGACTATTTGTTAAGTTTAATAAACGAATATAAACGAACGTAAACTGAACATGTTCATAAATAGTTCATCCAAAACTCTATTCATTTACACTCCTACCAACACCTCCATCAAGTAAAATCTCAGAGCCTTTAAATGAATCAATAAATAACCGACAATACTACAAGCTTACACTGTATCAGGCAAGGAAAACAAAACTAAATTGAAATAAGGAATATTCCTGAGCAAAGAAACTGTAGATCTACTCTTAATGGCATTTTGTATGATTTTCAAACTTCAAATTGGGGGCAGTACATCAAATTAGAATCACATTGCAGAAGACACGCAAAATCAAAACACCAGTACAACCAACCATTTGTATCAAATTAGAAGCAAGAAAAATACACAAATATTTAAAAATGAGGAGATGCCCAGACCAGACATTTATCTAGATAGACTACCAATATGTTAACAAAAAACCAAAATATAGAAACTTAATTTAATCACTATTTCAAGGATGAAATGCATCCTCATTGAACAATAAATGAAGCCTAAACCTGTTGTCTACCCAGGTTACCACCCAACCCTGAAATCTAAAGAAACAAGCCCAAATATCTCGGATCATACAATATAACAGACAGCTCCCCTCCATGCCCCACTTAAAGAAATGGAGAGATGATGTTGGAATGTCCCCGCCTTCAAATTGAAACCTACAACTCCAAACTTGCAAAGATCAACAGAGTTAAGATAAAGTTCAGTAAGCTAGTTTTTTCTTTCCAGTTAAAGAAACCATACGGTAGTAGGACCAAGTTTTAAATACACAACAGAAACTTAAAGTTAAACTAGTTCTAAAATTAGCTCAACTTAACCAAAAGTTTAAAATGGCAATTTTAGGACAGCTTAGCTACACCCCCACCCATTTTTTTCTCTTCGTTCTTTTGAGCTATAGAAACGAATTGAGCAAAGGTAGAATGAATCAATATTAACAAAAGCATTATACCGACGACTGAGATTTATTCCCCAAGAGGCTTGCAAGAGTATGGTAAGTTGCAACAAAAAGTGCTCAAACAAAAACTAAATAAAAACATAGATCCTAGACTCATCAAATAAACAAAATATTAAAACTTATGGAAACTAGTAGTAGAAATTGTCTTCTACTCAAACAGTGCAGTAACAAGTTTAATCAATTTATGGGGTTTTAATTTTCTTTATGAATATTCTTGTATATCAAAAATTTGAAAAGCTCACCTAAAAGAACACTAGACCAGTTCTGACCAAAGACATAAAGATAAGGTATGAAAGAAAAAGTTTGCACCTAAATAAATGGCTACTAACATAATGGATGTTGCTCTTAATTATCAAGAATTAGAAATTAACTAATTCTTTATCGTAGTAATTCCAAGATTTAAGTAAAAGCATTTTGCTATATATCATGTGTTTACTTCACTACTACAATAACATCATTTGAAAAAAAAAGAGAAAAATCTGAGCTATTTTATTAGCTCTCTGGCAAGATAATTGCCTTCAGGTATTTGCTAGTATTCAAAGGTTTCATTGTCCAGGTATAAATTCTAATCATAATCAAACTCTTTTAAAATAATAATAATCACCATCAAAATATATTGTCAATAGATCCATCAATGGCTAATAGCCTTCTTTCGTGTTCTTTTTCTTTGTTTATTTCTATTATTAGTGTAGTAAATTTGGAAACATCATCTACAAAAACTCCAAAGAAAAATAAAAATAAGGAATATATTTGTATAAAAACAAAAAGAAGTCCTAAATCTAAAGATTCGGAAGCAAATCATTAAAAAAAAATGGGGGAAAACAAGCAAGAAGCAAGCAAATCGCAACCTGAGATCTGAAGCATAACCCCCAAAAAAAAAGAAGGAAAAGAAGGCAAGATCCATGCACCCCTCACCGCGGTCTCCGATTCAGTTGATGCAAGGCGGGATCCAATTCGCGCTTCCTCCAATCACGGCCCGCCATCTGGCTTAATTCAAAATCAAATCGAATCCAATATTAAGGAACAGCCAATCAGTTCCCGACCTGCACCAAGCGAATTAGAGACCGCCGGTAACTGAATCAATCTCCAGCTACTCTCTTCTACTTGTTGGTTTTGCTAAAAGAGCGCAACCCTCTATTACTATTACTACTTCTATAACCCTATCACTGGGCTTGAATTTGAGGTTTTTTGCTAGTTATTTATAGTCACAACAGACCAATTTTTGGCTCGCACGTGTCGCTACAGGATTTTGGTTTTTTAATAAACAAAAAGAAAAATTTCGAATCGAAAGTGTCTTTTTTTTTTTTTTTTTTCTTGAAAAATGACTAACACGGAAAGCAGTATTAGTATAATCAGCGGTGCTGGTGACTTTTCATATATTAAATGAGGAATGAAATTAGCAGAGGCCACTAGAAGGCCGAGGTGGAGCTACAGTAAGAGCACGTGCGCTGGGTCTGCAACTGGAACGTGGAGTTATGGTGTGGGCCCTGCTGTTGAATTTATTCTTCTGCTCTTCCAATAACAAAGTGACACGTTCATTTATTCTAATAAATGAAATTGTCATCCACATCCAATACTGTGTTAGATTGTGACACTGGATTTGTTGTTTCAATTGTTCCGTGACTTGAATTTTTGTAGCCTTTAATAAGGTAAGAGATATTAATTAATTGGATATTTGGTTTTATTTGATTTGATTATATTGAATTTGAATATTTATTAATATGTAATTTTGGGATTTGGATAAAAAATTTATTATTTGTGTAAGATTTAAATGGTATTTTTACAGTATTGGATATTTAAATTCGTTTAATATTTTTTTTATTTCTTAAAATAAAATCTATTATATTATTACATTAATGTTTTATCTTTTTTATTTATGTTGGGTTATATTCAATTGTTTATTCGGTTTACACATTTATCGTTGAGGAAGAAAATAAATTTTCATAAGTCGAGGGAACGTTATTATTATTGTTTTTAGTTTTTGAAATGTTTCAAGTTGATTATTTCTTTATCAAATTAAATTAATGTGTTTAGTTACATAAATAAAATTTTATTATTTAAATTGTTGTTTGTTATTAATTAAGAGTGAATTTAAATTTTATATTTAGTTTTTGTTTGATTTTATATGTTTGACAAAAGTTTCAAAAAATAATATTCAAATTCACTTGATAATTAACAGATTAAAATATTAAAAAAATAATAGGATTCATATACAAATAATACTTTAAAAAGAAAGGAAATCCGATGCTTTGCCATTTTTACCTTTAACTACTCCAGCCAACATTGCGAACGGCTTAACAAATCTTGAGCAGTTTTATTATGGCATAGGAACAAACTTTTGAGCTGACCAACAAATTTTCTCAAAGCCATATGCAAAGCTGCAAAATATAAATATAAAGAAAAGAAAAAGTGTGGAAAATCTATGACATTTTACGGTGAAGATAGAGAGACCCTTCACCCTCTGTTTCAGAAAAACCAAACTCAAATAACGTTGAGGGTTGTTTGTTGAAAATTGGCATGCAAGAATAACTGATCCATCTATTTATTTTATTATATAATTTGAAATAATTTGAATATTATATATAAAACTAGAAATGAGGCGATCAATTTGAAAAAATATTTAAAGCAGCAGAATAAAATAGAGAAGGCAATGCCAGCATAGCGCAAATCGAGGAAAGCTTTTTCCCTTGTAGACTTTGCTGGCTAGAAATTAGAGAAGGTAATTTGATGGTTTCGATTTGATTCAATTTTTTAGAATCGACTTTTATTTTTTGAAAATTGAGCATTGAATCCGGTCGGTGATATAAAGAAAAATTTGAAGTCAGGTAAATTTGATCTTAATCTATCTGATATATAAATTATTTTTTAATTAATTAATTAATTTTATATTTATTTTTATATATTTTATATATTTAATTTTATATTTATATTAAAATTAATATTTTATATTTAAAAAATATATTTTATTAATTTCGAATCGGATCAAATTAAATTAAATTTAAATATAAAAAATAAAAAATTTATTAAATCAAATCAAATTTAAATTTTATATATTTAAAATCGAATTAAATTTCAAAACGAATAAAAATTTATTTTGATTAGACTGTTGCCATCACTGTTTGATCAACGAATGGAAACGAAGAAGGTGCAAAAAAAGAATGATGGCCCACATATTCGCATGCAAGTGTACTATGCTTTCATTTGCCGATGTTTTGGTTTTCTCGATTAATTTATTTATACATTACATTAATGTTGGGTGGGAAAGTATATAGGTCAATTGTACAAGGATGATGACCTAACTTTCAAGCATTACTTTCCTTTGATTCCCTTCCCTGCCACACAGTCAACGTTGATGGATTGTTATCAGAGAAAATTGTTATGTCATTGCCAATTTGTCATGCCCAATGTTGCAATATAATATACGTAAGTGATTGAATAAAGGCTTTTGTAAATCAATAAAATGGAGACGAAGCCAGAATAATAGTTGGCAATCCATGGTATTAGGCAAGGCAGGCAACCCCTCTAATTTCCCCCAAAACCTATAAAATAAAATATTGGCAACCCAGCTACGTGGACTCCATTTCAAAGTTTTAATATATTTGAATTTAAAAAATCATACTTTTAATGAGAAGGTTAAACAATTAATTAATACAACAACAGTTGTCTTGTGGGCTTCAATTTTCAAATTATTCTAATTAATTAATAGAAGCCAAACTCGATTAAAAAAATATAGCATAAATGAAGGTTTTAACTGTTTCTCGGGCGGACATCAATCTGAACGTTGCTTTTTTGGGAACAAAGCGTGAAAGCGCACATCAAATTAAAAATTGGACAATTAGTTAATGTATGGAAAATCGTGCATATTACTTTACATTAGTAGTATAATAAACAACATAAATAAAAGAAGGAAGCAAAAATCCCCCAATGTACTCATCTTTCTCCATAATTACTAGTATTATAATAATATTAAAGGTGATTTAGGGTTTTGCCTTCTAGTTGAAAGCAAACCTTATCTAGATCCTATGGACTTTATTTGTTTTGGGCTTTTTGGCCTTATTGGGACATATCACATATGAGAATTGGACAGAACAGGAGGATGCACATGCGCGTGACATGAAAGAGACCACAATGCTTCCTAATTCTTCTCAACTGTTTAACCATATATTTTTCTAATTACTAGACTTAAATGTGGTACTATAACACCAGCATTGTAATGCCCTCAATTAGAAAGAAGAAGAAGAAGAAGAATGGCACCAAACAGCAAAGCATAATGTGCAATTAGATGTATACATTAATACTCATAAGTTATTCAGATTCGATTCGAATAAAACTTGAATTCAGTTTGATTATTATCGAGTCAAGCTCGAACTTAAGTAGTTCAACTTATCGATTGAGTCGAGTTTGAGTATTTTTATACTTGGTTCGAGTAACTCGCGAGCTTAATCGAGCTTTTATATTTAAATTTTTTTTTATTGTTTTAATTAATAAAATATATTGAATTCGAGTTCGAGCTCGAGCACAAATAATCGAACTCTTGTCGAATGTAAGAATCAAATTTATTTTAATATATTAATCGAGCTCAATCGAGCGAGTTCGAGTAGCTCGATTTTGATCACGAATCAAGCTCGAGTTAAAAAAATAAAACTCGATCGAGTTTTAGCCGAATATCGAATTTCGAGTTAGGAGCCAAACTCGAGTTCAAACTTCTCACTATATCGACTCAATTCGGCTCGATTACACTCCTCGGTACAACTTTATTTTCGCACATTCAAAGATATTATTCTGCTACAAGTTACTTTTGGCCAAGGAAACAAAAGAAAGGAAAAGATATTGATGAACCTTTACCCTATAAGTTAAGGAGAGAACGTATATTTTTCAATGGAACTCCATGGTCTAGTCTGTTGTGCACAATGATGTATTCCAAGTGCCACATACATAAGCTAATTGAATGAGATACCAAGCCAGTACGCTAGTTGAGCCAGCATCCGGGTAACCCTTGGCAGTGTCGGATAACTGAGTGTCCCAAGTATGAACAGGGCAACTGCATCAGAAGCAGGTCTGTTCTTTGTAGTGAAGAAAAACTGAACAACACTTTTAAGTGACATGCTAACAACAGTGAAGAGAGACACCACAAGAGGCATGCAAGGATCTTCGGCTTCCCAGACAATCATTCCAACCAAAAGTGATAAAGTTGCACTAAAAACAGTTTGTGAAAGTGCAACCTCTCTTCGTTGTTCAAGAGCAATGTTGACATCTAAATTTGGAATGACACTGGGTGTAAATGGTTGCACAGATCCGCTTGGTGCAGGGCTAGCTTTTAAGAAATCCAACAGTCCAATATTACTCGTGCTCTTACCCTCCCATACTTCTGTGTTCATCATCTGGTCTTGGAAGGAGATGCTGCTTCCCTTATAACTGGAAATCCATGATGCAATACTATATGGAATGACATGATTGTCAATAGTATTTATACTTTTGTTCTTATTTGTCGCATCATGACCTTTAATGCTCCGTGCTGCATTACCTTGAATTTCTTTCAGCTGAAGGTTTTCATCCTTTAAACCCTGCAACTGATAGGGTGGAGAATATTTTCAGCGTATGCAGTATCCCTGCTGAAAGATACATTCAATGCGTGTAGAAAACATATGAACCTAAATAATTATGTAGAAAACATGGGTTAGGTTCTTCCCAACTGCATCTTAATAAATGCTATAGCAAATTGGAAACGAGTAGAAAAGCATATCAGCATATCCATGCCAAATTATTGGGTTTTAGTTTGATGGCATATTTTGTGGTTCTAAGATTATTTCTGTGTCCATTTCTAAATCCTTTATGGTGTAAATGACTGATGGTTCATATTTTAATATGATTTTTTAATAATTTCACTCAAATTTTTGGTAATTTGTGGGGAGGGAGAGGTCTTGTTCTAAAGCCTACTATATTTTAGAGTTTGCGTCATTCAGACACAGGATTTTGCTGTCTGATTATGGAGTTTCTTCTCTTTTGCTATGCCCACCAGACAGTAAAATAATATATATATATATATATAAGAAATTTGATATTCTTATAACTTCCAAATAGTTTAAGATATTTACCTCACCCTCTAATAGTTGAATCTTGGCAACAGCCTTGTCATGTTCCTCCTCAAGTTCTATTAACATTGACTCCATAATTCTGTGTTCTCTAACAGCTGCTTGGAGAAGGTCCTCAAGCTCCTTCCTGTCCCAAACAAGAGTCTCCAACTCAAACTGCATCTCATGCAGATGCTGTTCCAGCTGCAAACCATACCATGCTTCTTATCTCAATTATGAGGAAGACTACGGGCAAGAATTTAGGACAAGTTAAGGAACTAGGTTTATGATGACTAAAGTATAGTGACATATTGAAGTGTAGGAAAAATTACTTGTATCAGGAGCAGGTAATTAAAAATAGCCATCTCACAGTCTAAAGCAACATTAATTTGTATATCAACTTTTCAGTCTCTAGTATGGTTAAATAGGCTGAGACTTCATCACAATACTAACCAGTCTTTCCCTCTGCAAGGCAGTCAACACTCGTATAGGAAGAGATATAAGAGCAACCGTCCCAATTATTGCTTTCCAGAACATATTGACATCGAAGGAAACTGCTGCCTTTACCAACTCCGTCCAGGTTTGAATAACAATAAAGACGGTTTTCATACAAAACGTGAATGCCAATTTGCAAAGTGAAAATGGCATGGTTACCATGATGATTGGGTTGGTCATTAACTTGGGAAACAGCATCATCAAACCAGCCATTACAAACCAAGAGAGCTCCTTCCTTAATAATTACATGCCCACATACTGCATAGCCTTAATTAAAGGTTCAGCTCACAATACTCTGCATAAAAACGAACCAGTCAAGGGAGAAAAGGAAAATTTTTACACCTTCATTATGTATAAGATGCCACAAAATTATGCAGACCTTGTGAAAAACACAATGTAACAAAGAAACAATGTAATGCCATAATATTGTGCGTGGTCATCTTTGTGAAATCAAAGACATCAAGTCATAAGAAACCTTCTCAGAGACAGTTTTCTTCTTCTTATCTAATAATTATTATTATTTTCGTACATAATGTCATCCTTAAAACTTAGCATGTGATACGCCATTAATAGACCCCTGCATAAGGGACAAGCTACATCAAGAAGCAAAACACAGACAAACAGAAACTATCCAGAGACCAAAAACCTAAGCGCCATACAAGCTCCTCTGCACAATATGCATTATACATTGCAGCTATAATTGTCTGTTTTTCTTCTTTACAAACTTAACTGGATCATATGGAGATAATTTCATTCTCTAAATGAACAAAATCTTATTATATCCAAGCTCTTGCAGTCCTAAGGCATACACATATTAACTATACTAAATGTGTCAGTAAAGTTATATAGGAAACATATAGTAAAATTTCTGTTGTGGCATCAGACCCATTTTTTGCCTTGCTTCCATACCACAAACATTTTTATGCAAACTTACAATTCTCTGTTGAGATGCAGAATTGTTTGCCATGAAGACAACCAACAATGATTTATTTTTATCTTTTAAACTCCATTCTCTTTTTGCTAAAGTGAATCCTTGTTGATCCTGGATAGTGTAATATTAACTATGAAATTAAAATAGAAATAAACCAAAGATACATATTCCTATTCTTGTTTACCAAACAGCCTTAGAACTAAACTGACATATTAAACTTTCAAAGATTCTTCCAAGGTCTACAGATCAGGTGCGAATTATAAAGATTGCACAATGTGTAATGTTATCTGAAAACCAATAGATAAGAAGAGAGTACTGGAATTAATAATACAAGAGGTCGACAATCAGAACAAATCCATTTGAAATAGCAGAGTCCAAAAGTCAATACGAGCAAATATAAAGAACGATACTCTCAAACATGAGAATCTTGCATTAAGGAAACCATAGTATGGGTTTTCTCTCAGATTTTATTTTCTTCTTTTTTCTGGAATTATATTTCTATTCGTGATGCCTCAAAAACCAAAGGTGCAAAAATTGTATTTTGTAAAATGGTAATCCAAAACCTCAAACAAGAGAAGCGTGAGAAAGCACTGACAGAAAGAACAGAAGCAAAGCATCGGATAAAGCAGTTCAAGTTTGAAACGAGGAAGAAAGGAAATGTTTACACTTTTACATACATACATTCATACATAAACACATACATTTGTAGCTTATAGTGAGTTCAGAACGACACGGATGAAAGAAGTGCTTACAGAGAGCAGAGCAAAGTAGTAGATTTCATTAGAATTTACAACACAAAGTCCTTTTGAGTCTTTTCAGAGAAAGAGAGACAGAGACAGAGTTAGGAGAAAGGTGTAGCCAAGAGCGCGCCATGGCTGACATCTATGCAAGTTTTCATGTATTTTTTAATTTTTAATTTATTTTTATCTTCAATTTCCAGCTTAATTTTATTAATTTGGATTAATTAAATACGATTTTTTAAAATAATTTTAAAATCATATCTAACTTAGTTTTCCATCTAAATTATTGGTTCTGTCATCATTTCCATTAAAAAAAATTTTTTTTTTGAAAAAGTTAAAAACAAAAGTAAAAAAATGTTTGTGAGCTAAGGATTTTGTTTTATATTTTTTAATAATAATAAATATTTTAATTTTTATATCATAATTTTTACTTTATATGTATATAATTTATAAATTTATTTATAATATTTTAAAATAATTTTAATCTAAATGACTCCGCAATATAATAATCAAACTCTAGATATGAAGCTTTGAACAAATAATTAGTCCACCCTCTTATAATAATTATACTTTTACGATAAGTTAGACAAAATAATGTGTATCGACAAAATTTAAAAGAAAAAAAAAACAACACTAATAAAAAATAAAAAATGTCGCGTGAACACTATATTGATTTTTTTTTTCTTACAACATTGACCTTAAAGATTTGTATTTGTATTTGAATTGTGTTGATTTTTGTTCGCCGGCTATATTGGGATGGGCAAGGGATAAGGCTAGGAGGAAATCCAATCCAATAAACGGCGGTGGTTACATTCGTATCTTTTGCCAAAAATAAATAAAAAAAAATATAGTATCACTATCAATTAGGCGGAATGAAAAAAAAAAAAAAAAAAAGAGGGGCCAGGCCATTCCAGGAAAAAGAAAAACAAGAACAAAAAAGAAGGTTTCTTTTGTCACCCTCTTTTTTCGTTTTTGACGACCAAATGCAGAGACGTTTCATATTCATATATAAATTCGTATAAAAAGTTGCGTGTATCCATCCCTCCAATGATTAATTTCTTTTCAATTCTTCATTCCCAAGCATTTGAAGCATTATTACTATACGTTTACTTAATTTCTAAGAATATAATTAATTTATTAATTGCTACAACATCTTTAAATAATTAAAATACAAAAGCCACTAATTGCATGCATTATATATAATATTTAACAGAAATTGACTTGAACAAGTCTCCCTACCAATAAACTAAGAATATTATTACTGGCATTATAAGTTCATAATCAATGTATCTCAAAACAAAAGAAAAAATAATAATAATAATAATTTCACTAAATACGCTAAATTACTTTGTGTGAAATTGATTTAAGGAAAATGAAGCCTCAACATATGATGATGAAAGACGCAAGGCAACTGGGCAGGGTGGAGAGCTTGAGTTGCTGTTGAGTGCATACAAGGAGGAGCATTGCATACAAAACAAACAGAAAAAAGAGAAATTATTTGGCCTTGGAAGTACAGCGAGAAGGAATGTAGGTTCCATTCAAAGGATGGAAACGCAACTGACAAGCGAGACGACACAAGAAGCTAGTCGACCCAAGACGGCCTACTCTCCATCTCACCCTGGCGCTTCCTTTCAAATCGAATGTAATCAAATCCCTCTTCAATGCCATGTCCACATCCTCTGATTGTTCTGGATCTAAGGGTATGGGTGATGATTGAACTACATAATTAAAATTAACCGAACTGTTCTTACTTACTTCAAAGGGTGGTGCAACCAACCGCGCTACGTCTTCCCCATTGAAGCTAAGGGTGTAGCCAGAACGTGAGAAACTGGCATGCGCCTTTCCGTTCCCATTCTGAGCTCGAATTACTATCGTAACCTGAATTTCCAGAATACCCGCATAATCAAACTGCATCTGGTCTAAGTGAGCGTCTATGACGCTGACATAAGGCACCCTGGGGTGTATAACCAAGTATCCTACGAAGGTAACAATGCCGGCGATGATGACTGCTATGGTGAGGATGGTGCAGATGATGGCAGCACACCACAGCAAGGGATGCGTCCGTCGTTCCTGACCGGTTGTGAACTTTGACTTTGAGAGCATTGGATCGGAGGCGGGCCTATCGATGTCAACATTGGGAGGATTTTGGTTTTGGTTTTTGGAACACTTTTTATCAAGGAAGGAGGTGTGATGGAGATTGAAGGGGATGCTCTTTTGGTTTAGGGTAAGGTATAGAATTATCTCTAAATGGTAGGGAAGGTTTTGGTATCTTCCTTTCCTTTCCTACATTTTATTTTTTGTTTTTCAGAAATTCTTTTCCTACGTTTAAAGCATTTCCTCTTGTGTTTTCAATTAGTATAACCCACTCTATTAAGGAATCAAAGGCCACTTTATCCATAAAAAGCCAAAAATACCTACCTTGCTTGCTTGCATTAATGCCGTTTGCCTAACTCTTCTGCCTTCTTCCCGCACAAACGTCTGTCTATATAAAATGCACATGCTAATGCAATATTACCCCTCCTCCATTATCTAAACCATAAATATACCAAATAACTATATAAAATTATATTATATATTATATAATTAATTAGGCAAGCATCTTTACTTAATAATAATTTTGACAAGGGATCTTATGTCCATGTTATATGCTTCCAAGTCCAAACAAGAGTTTTAGCATTCTGCGTCTACTTTTTTATCGAATGATAATAAAGTTAAAAAAAAAAACATGAAATATAATCATTTTAGAGGCTGCGTGGTCTACAATTATATATACTAACTAAATTGTTGACCATAAAAGTTATTTTAAAATAAAAAATATTTTGACAAACATATACAAAAACTTTGTTATAAGTGCAACCAAATAATATATATTTTTCTCTAAGTGTTACTTGTAACTTTTAATTAAAAGACTTGTAAGAAACAAATACAAAACAATACATACTTAGTATCAACAAATTCATTCAATTCAAATTCTTATGCATAAACTAAAAATGAAAATTTTTCTAGTAATTTAAAACCAACTATTTATACTTTTATAAAGTATTAAAACATTAAAAACAAAAAAAAAAAAAAAGATCAAACTAGAATAAAAGTTTTAAATATATAAAAAACACAATCGTAATTATTACTTTTGTCTGAAGAGTTTAAATTAACACACTGAAAGAGTATACTTTCGCTTTCATCACATTTTTTAACCAGCTTCAAATTAATTATTATTAATATGCTATAATAATGCAATGCAAGCATCATCATCATTCATTACACAAGAACGGAAGAGTGAAACCTGGGAGCTACACACTTTGGTAAAACAAGGCCAAAGGAGAGGAATGCAACAATGTTAACGACGGACCATTTGAGAGTAGTTACTTTTATACTACCTAAACTTTAATCATCTTCACCTAGTTACCTCTCATTTCATCACGAGATGAGAGGGATTAACACCCATCACCTTAATTTTCAAATAAATACATGTGCTCCCAAATAGCAAATGAGACCCCATTGTCAATCACCATTTTAAACCACTTTCATAAAAAAGGAATAAATAAAAAGAACCAACTCATAAGCTAACTAGCTTCATCTGGTTTCACCATTAATTACTTCTACCTGCAAATAAGGTTCGATGCATTCAGCTCTCCCTTTCTTGTTGACATCACCTTTGGTTGCATATACAGAGAGGCATTCAAACCGTTGCTATGCCAACTCACAACCAGTGCCTAATGGAGTATTTATTTCTCCAAGTATTGCATCAACAAGAATCATGATGATAATAACAATGACAATAATATAACATTTGCTACTTGTTCAATCAAAAAGTTTCTCCATAGCTTGCAAATTCATGAATATATCATTTGGAACCATTGATCTTAGCATTATCAATCATCAACTCTCCCCACATTCAAATTGTCAAAGTAAATAACAACACATCATGCAATTTAATTATGTGTTTAAATTAGTCAACATGTGGAATAAAACATGAGTATCACCAAAAATAGAAGTCAATGAAAAAGTTAATGCTAATCATAGGATAATTTGACCACAGAGTACTTCTCTAAACACCTCTATACCAACTAGTGGAAAGAAGTTGGCAATAAAAGAAGGGAAAAGAAATTTTCAGAGGCAAAACATATAGGACATGGAAAATTCATAAAAAAATGATACCAATTGGAACGTTGGTTTCAAGTTTCAACATGAATTCGAGATTGATTGTTTGGATTAGAGATTTATCAAATAAGGTTTTCTTTTGCAAAGCTAGAAACATTGTTCTGACTCCCCGCATCCATTTTCCTCCAACAAACCATCAAACCACCAAGTCATTAATTCAGTAAAATCAACCAACACTTTGCAAGGAGATAAATTAATGAAAACAAAGAGAAAGAAAATGCAAAGAGAGATAGATTGAGAGGACATATCTATCAATGTTGGATGATGAAAAGATTCCATTGTTGAAGTCATCATTTAAAGAGAGGAAAGACAATGATATGCATGTAGGGTGTACTCAAAGTCACAATAAACTGGAGAAGATGATGTTGGCCGTGAAACAATGAGATCAACAATGAAAGAAGACTTTAAATGGCCCAAATCCAAGTAGGATGAAAGTTTCTATCATCTTCCTCAGTTTTGATTGTTATCAAATTGAAAGAAAAAAAACACTAGTGATAGTGAAACAACAAAATATTGAGAAAGAGAGAGAGAAAGGGGGGAAAGAGATCAATTCAGAAACGAGAGGTAAAATGCTTAAGGAGAGAAAACATTTTTTTTTTTAAAAAGACAAAGTTACATGAAATAACACCATGTGTAAGCTATCTAACATAGGCAAGGATCTACTCTTAGATTCCATTATGCTAAACTCTTTTAGCAACTTGACTATGTTTATGGATTAGGAGAGTTACGCAACCTTTTGGATCTATCCTTATAGATCCTTATCCCATTATGTGCGTTGCCTCTCTTATATCCTCTCTTATATCCAATATGGAAATCTTCTTTGTATAGCTAAATCTACTATAGATTGTAGCATAGGTACTTGGTTTCCAACAAGCTATATGCCATCCACATAAAGCTTTATTAGAACAATTATCTCAAGGCATTATTTCAAGCAAGTACTTTAGGGTTAGCAAATACTTTCTTAAAATCCTTGAGCATTTAAAAAATCTTTTATTTTAAGTCAAACAAAGTAATTTCTTTTTGAATATCCATCATACAATGCATTTTTAGCCTTTATGTGGTTTCAATCCACCAATGCAACTCTTGAAGTGAATATGCATTAAAAATGTGCATATATATTGCCACTCAAGACAGCATCGGATCCAAAATCAATTAGAACTTTTGAATTATGAATGAGTAAAATACACTAGGTTACTTGTCTAAGGCACTATCAAATAAACATCATTCTCTCAATCCTTATATGATTGAAAATTTGAACTTTCACTAGCTTCATCTCAATGAGTTCCCCAATTTTCTTTTCACAAGCTTGTTGTTGTACTATAAAAAGCAAACATATACTCCCCATTGCAATATTGCGTATAACGTTAAATCTCTAGATTCCTCAAATATTACATGAGAGTCCTTCCAAAATTATGATTGAGCTTGTAGATAACATTCATTGTGAGTGCTCTTTAGGGCAAATATGAAATCACAATATCCATAAATTTTCATCATTAAAATATAAAACAGCGCCTCTATTATGTTCAAATCATTTGGTTGGTGGGGGAACCACCCAAGGAGCATAGCAATCCCAAGAAATCACTCTATGCAACTCCATCATGACAAGTCTACCAAAATCAAGTGTGACTTAGCTAACTAGCACAAAAATTTCCCTTGTCATAGACAAAGTAAACAAGCTTGGGGTCGTAGTGTCTCTATTTCCAAGAGTCTACATACATCAACTAGATATCCCAATCTTAACCACAAAAGCAACTAAATGACCATTAGATCTCATTACCATGACCAAGGAACAAAGCCAATGGAAAAAACTAATGCTGCATAACAATAAAAGAAACAAAAAGGTAGGATGAACCATCCCTTCATTCCCAAAGTAGGGACAATCACCTCAATTTGATAGTTTAAAGGAGGAATGATTGTATCACTTGTTAGACATGCAGATTTTGGAAGAAAAAAGAAGTAACGTGTAATTTTTTTGTAACATTTCCAAAATAGTAATAATAACTAAAAATACACAAAAATTTGATAAACTTGATTGGGCAAATATTACGACAAAAAAAGAAGGGTTGACTTACTTATCTAGTTATCTTGGTGATTGCATTTCCATGCAATAAGATATCCCGATGCTCAAAATTCATTTGGGTCACACATCCAAACTTCAATCAAGACTACAAGTGATTTTGAAATCAAACAAAAGACAGGACAAAGGAAGAAAAAGAAAACAACCAAGAAGGCATTATACTTGGGAAAAGAGAGTGATTGCCACATCACAATGTAGACAACGACATATCATAAAAAAATAGCACAAGCTGCTTTTACTAGAAAAAAAAATTATTTCATATTAGACTAGCACAGCTCTACATGTTATCAAAACGAGAGCAAAGATGCAATGGAGAAGCTTCTATATAGAAATATGTGACAAGAAGTTTAAACCGTTACATCTGCATAGCTTTCCATCTCCTTGAAAGACTATCATACTTATCTCTAAGACTTCTGCCCTCTTTGTAGAAAGCATTCTTTAATTTCTCCATTGTTGAATAAAATATATTGATCCTTCTATCAAGAATTGTTTCGGCAAACGTTTTCACCTCTACCAACCTACCTATGTTACAAAGCCCAATGAGCAATTCATTTGCACTTTCCTCAAGAGGTGAGACACAATTCTCAGTCATGTAATTCCATATATCAATTGCCATTTCAGGGTCATCATTCTCCAACAACATCTTAATAGCCACAACATAATTAGCACTTGTCGGAGGCCACTCATTCTTGATCATCTCGACAAAGAACCGTCCCACATCGCGAACCCTCTTATTCCTTACCAAGCATTGAAAAATCATGTTGTAAGTCAAAGAATCGGGAAAAGCTCCATGGAGCACCATCTCATCAAGGAACCGAAAGGCATTATGCACATCATTGTTATTGCATAACAAACCAACCACTGCATTGTACATAATCAAATTGGGCACCAGCCCACCACCCAGCATTGTATCCCACAAGGGAACAATGTGGGTTGAGTCATTCCGCTTAACGAGAATATCAAGAGTATTAGAGAAAAATTTCAAAGCCGGTGAGCAGTTATGCCCCTCCATAACTTGCAAGAACTTGACAGCCTCATCAACATGTGACCCACGAACAAGCGTGGTCAAAAATGCATCGTAAGCAGGAATATTATTTGGACTCCACCCAAGTCTGACCACCATCTCGCCAAAAGTGTTCTTGGCCTTAGCCACATTGCCTTCTGTCTCCCACCCTTCAAGCAAAATGGCGTAAGTATCCCCATCAGGTGGGATCTTCATCTTGATTCTATCAAAAAATTCTATCGCAACTGACATCTGATTGTCCTCGCGGCAAATTGCACTGAGAAGCGAATTGACCGCGACAACATCTTGTTGCAAACCGTATTTACCCATGACATCAAAACTCATGGTAGCCTCACTAAACCTATGCGCAGTACAATAGCTGCCAAAAACAGAAACAAATGTTGCTAATGAAAGAAGACCCTCTTGCTTCATGGAGCGCACGGCGTCCCACATGGGTTCAAAGCTTTGATTCTTTCCAAGCAAATCAACGATGAGATTCCAGGCATAAGCAGAGGGCTTGACAAAGCGGCCGGCCCAGCGGAAGAACTTGACGGCAGAGAAGGGGTGGTTATAAGAAAAGCTAAGGACTTGTTGGATGACCTCGGAAGTGGGGGTAATACCGGTGCAGGAGAGCGCAGATTCAATATCGTGAGGAGAGACTCGGCTGAGGAGGTCGCAGAGGATTCGGGCTGTTGGGGAAATATCGGGTGCATCAAGGTGCGTGGGGAAGCGATGGGGTTGGAGATTGTTGGGGATTGAGTGTGGTTGGTTTTGGAGTTTTGTTGGGAGTGTAGTGCTATGATTTTCAGCTATAGCTTCCTTTTTCATTTTGACTAAACAAAACCAGGAGAGTTCAACTACATAAAAAAAACAACCCTAAAAAATTCGGATTCGAAGAAAAAAAAAATCAATCAGGCAACGGAGTGAGAGTTGCAGAGAAAGAACCTGAGAGCTGACGATCTTGCTTCTGCCCAAAAATCGAAAAAGCTTTGAAGCCTTTGGGTCTTTCCAGTGGAAGCGAAGTGGCTGAGATTGGGGAAGGCCGGGGACGGAAGAAAATCTATTCACCTCGTTTTACACTGCATAGCGAATTGTCATCTTCGGGCCAAGCTGCAGTGCCATTGCAATTTTCTTTCACAAAAAAGAACAGTTTGTTCTGCTGATCGCGGAAATCAAACTCAACTCAATTAATACCATTACCTTTGCAATTTTGTGAAAGTCATATGATTATTGTATAAATTTTGAAATCTTAATTAGTTGTGCATTGAAAGAGATTTTAGATGGGAACTTTGAATTGGTATAAAGATAATGATTTGGGTTTTTTTTGGGGGGGTGGCCAATAGACTGGTATTAAAATGAACGCACCAAATCATATTATCTGTCAGTCACTAGGATATTAGATTATATTGATGATTTGATGTGCTTGGTGGTAATTGAGTATTAATTATGAATTTTAAAAAAATTATCCGTATAATATCATTCTTATATGAACCAAAATAGATAAAAATATAAATTAAATATAAACTATAAATTAAAAATGATTGTATTTGGTATATTATGATAAGATATTATATAATCACAACACCAACTATATAATATTAATAATACTGAGTATATGTGAAGTATATAATGAATTAAAGTTATCTTTGATATATAGGATTCTTAATATGATAGATAATAATTATTTTATATCATATTTGATTTATATTTAAATAAAATGTAGAAATTGTAAGGAAGATTAATATTTTTTTAGTATAAAATTATTTAATTTTTTCAAAATCAACAGAATTATTTTTAATTTATAAAATTAAATTTACATGTTCAATTATACTCTTAAAATTTAAATTAATAATTTAAATTGTATAAATTTTAAGAAAGAATAATTTAAAAAAATAAATAAATTATATTATCATAATTCTTATATATATCAAATATAAAATAAAATGATATTATTTAATTTAATCTTATTTATAATATAATCTTATCATATTATATGTATCAAATATGACCTAATTAGACTATAAAATATGCATGCCATGTGCAAGTATAGGCGGCATTACATTTATAATTACATTATAACTAAAACTAATAATGTGGGTGAAAATTAAAAAAGAAAAAGAAATTGTTTGATAATGTTAGATTGGGTAGCTTTTTAACATCAAAAGCTAAACATTTGACTTTTCCCTCCTAACTTAGTATTTAAGAAATTAGTTGAAAGTTATATAAGCGTGAGTTCTATTCCGTCATTCTTCTCTCCTATCGGAAAGGCATTAGTTTTCTTTTGAAAAAAAAAAAAAAAGCTAAACACTTTAATTACATTTTATTATTGTATTTTTAATTTAACTTTTAAGTAAATTTATCAACTGCAGTAATCTGATTAAATGGTGATGCCAATTCAATAGCAACTTTAATATTAGTATAAAAGATAATTTTTTAAGCCCTTTTTAAAAATATTTTTAAAAAATTATTTGAATCATAATTTTTAACAAAAAAAAATCATGTATTAATTTATTAAGTCAAATATTCGAATATTCCCGTAATGGTTTAAGCATATTTTTACTTTTTTTTTTTTTTTTGTTTTACGTTCATTTCAAATTTTATTATATTACTACCAATACTAACCTAATTGTTATAAGAATAAATTCTATCATCATGTCCTCAAATATTGTCCAATTTATTTTCAACTAGTTATTTTGTATAAGCAGTTATGAACTCTATATATTAATTAAACGGATGAAATGGACTATTGGCAATCCAATAGACTATTGGTAAAAAAATCACAATAGAATGATAAGATATTGCTTATATATATATATTTTTTACCAAGGAAAATACAAATACTAGACTAAGTGTGTGTTGAAGTAACACCACTATTTAGTTTCATTTTTTCATTTTTTATTTTTTATTTTTCAACCGTCACTTGATGACTCATAAGTCACGGATGAAATAAGTGTACAAGGATGATTATACGTGGCTCCCGTAGTCCCATTTATGTTTGAAATTGGATGCAAAGTGCCAAGGAAAATCTCCAATACAACGCTTGGTCGAGTGCTCCTTAGTCCATCCATGAAACCACCCTCGATTCCACTCCAATTCTGTTGGCTCATTCTTGGCTCTTGACTCTTGATGCCATTGCCACGACCCTTGGTTTCTTTTCTACCCGCCAAGCCCAACCATGAAACCACCTTCTCCTTTCAATTTGGCCCCCAAACCCCTCAGAACCACGATTCCACTGACGCAATTCTACAACAATTCTTGCAAATTGGGACCAAGTTTCAAAAGGGTATCTAAACTTGAGCCTCATGTCGCTAAATTCCCAGCCAGCAAAAGCTCTGAGAGTCAAATCCCATTAGTAGCCATTGCCGCAACCAACTCCCAATTGGACAGCGATGTTTTTCAAGGCTCATCTAACAAGTTGGAAGCCATAGAGGAGGACATAGAGAAGGTCAGATATTCTATATAGGATTCGTTACAGAAGAGATTGTTTCAGATAATGGACACTTACCTCTTTTGTTGGATATATTTTGCAGGTCATTTATCGATGTCGGTTTTTGACTATTCTGGCTGTTTTTGGGTCTTTAACAGGATCATTTCTTTGTTTCGTCAAGGTTTATTTTTTGAACTCCTTTTAAGCTTGTCATTCATGTTTTTGGAACAGACTAATATATCAGACTCAAACTCAAATTTATATGCTTTTTTTTTTTTTTTGTATTGAGTTACTCTTCTGATGTTTACTTTATTATCTTGCACAATTATTCGGCTTCATGATTTCCTTTCATGAATACAATATTGTTTTCTTTGTTCTATGTTTTCTAAGCTGACGTTGAGGTTCAAGAACAGCAAAGGAATATATGCAGAGCTGTTTTCTCTTTTTTTTTTTTTTTTGTCCTTTATTTTGATATTCTAAAAATTGAAATAATTTCAAGGAAGCTAATAGTATAAGGAGTTGATAGATCCTGGATAAAACGTAATTTATCATGTTTTATTCTATGTACTACGTGTTAGATGAGTTGACTCTTATAATATTGCATTAATCCAATTATCTTAAATGCATTTATTTACACTGGGGTTCTCTATGATATGCAGGGTTGCACTTATATTATGTCATCTTTCATGGAATATTTTGTGAATCGTGGCAAAGTGATTTTTTTGCTGGTTGAGGCCATAGGTGAAGGTTTGCCTGTTATGGTCAAAGTATTTTTGCTATTATGCTTTTTGCTCTGATTGATGATAGAATACCAATGAAAGAAACATCGGATCTTGCCTTTATTTCTTACCCACAATTTATTTGATGCTGCTTCAATTATTGTTGCTAAAATCACCAGATACTAGGCTGTAAATTCAAATTCAAGGAATGAAAAATTCAATACTTATTACTAGGAATCATAGATAAAACTGATCCTACAGTTTGTCTAATGCTTAAATTTTCTGGAAGACAAGCAATTTCATTAAATTGTTTGGGCTATAAGCAAGTTCTCTTGTCAAAGTTCATTTGGGTTTTACATGAGAACAGTTGCATTAGCATCAATGTCCATCAAATTGTTTCTCTTTTTTTCTTTTTCTTTTTTTTCCATTGGAAACTTTTTAAAACTAGTGATCCAATAAAAAAATGATCATGGTATGGATCTGGTGTAAAGTCCACAGTAGCTGATATCAAAGAATTTGTTTAATCATTTACTGCTGTTAGTTTATGGAATTCCATTTGGATTTTCTATTTCTTTCTAGAAACTTTTATCGATTTGGAGTTTAGATTTGTATGCTTATACTTCTTTTGTGTGTGTGGCAACTTATGGTTTTGCAAGATTAATAGACTTAGCATTATGTTATTAATTCCCGAATTTATATGCTACCCAAGTATGTTCCCAAGAAAGTTTGTAACCAACAGATCGATATTCATATAATACTTAGTTATACAAATGATAGAATCTTTTAGGCAATAATATTCTTATAGGAAGAGCCTGCATCTTAAAATAAATATTTACAATACTTTTACCATTCGTTGATTTCTATCTACTTCCTCACTATCTAACATTATCTCACAATCTCTGTTTATTTACTGTATAGATATAATGAGAATATGCAGATTGACAAAAGTGCTACTTATTTAGACAGAGACATATGAGTTGTCAGTTAGTTTGCATTTAAAACTTTCCTTTTGTGTTGATCCTGTGTCATGGAGGTGGGACATCACAACAAGTATACCCCAGTGAAAAAACTGTTGTTTGTGCATAAATTTGAGACAAACTCTATTCTTTAATTCTGATTGGTGGTAATTTTATTTTCTTCGGTTGGAATGCTTGATTAGAGTGTTTTATATTTTCTTCTTCACAAGGTGGGAGTAGCTTTAAAATTTTGTGTCCATCTGCTTGGTTAGTAGCCAAATTGAGCAATATGACTATGCTTTAAGGCTACTAAAGCAGTAAAGTCTAGATGCTCAGCCTGTGGCAGAAACAAAGTTTTCCACCCTAAAGTAACTGCCTCTTGAGCTTTGGAGGCTGCATAGATGTCTTTACTCTTTTATTTTGAAATGACATCCGTGTCCTTTGGTGCCTCATGCTGTTGCATGCTACACTTTGTTTGTGCCATTAATCATCTCTTGAGGCAGATTATGGAGATCCTGATGTACGTTCTAGCAGTGAGGCTGGTTGTCGTCTTTTCCATCTTAGTCTCACATTCTTTTGACTGGCTATTTAGCTAGCACTCTTCTAGCTTTCCTACTTTTAAAGATAACATGACTTTTGGTTAGTTTTCAAGGTGCATTTACTTGACGCTTCGGACCAGATAAAAACCTTATACAATTCTAAATCATTTTGAACTAAATTATTATAGATATAATTGCTGCCCTGCATCTCATGTAGCTAGGTATTAGATCTATGACAGTTTCTGAAAGTTTTATCTATTTGTTTTAAAGGCGCTGAGTGTATTAGAATTGTTCATGTAGTTGCATGCCAGTGCTCTGAAGTTGGTCATGCATCATGCATCTTGAGATAGTCAAATTCTTTTGTTTATGTTGTAGTGTCAAAAGATAGTTATGTCGTACAAATGTGCTTTATTGTTGTTCAAACCAAATTGATGTTTATATTTAAATCCTATTGAGCTGAGGCCATTGATTGCCACTGTATTGCTCTTCCAGATGTCTATCTACTGGGAACAGTAATGCTGGTTTTTGGAATGGGTCTTTATGAGCTCTTTGTCTGCAATCTTGATATAGCAAAATCACAAACAAAGGAAAAGATTTCATCCACATCAAATCTCTTTGGCTTGTTTGCTTTAAAGGTTAGTCAAAATTTCTCCCTGAGTTGGTTTAATTTTTCTTTGTTTCTAGTTGTGGTCATGAGGATCTTATGTTACATGATTGTGAGATAACTTATTTGTTGGTGAAAGAAAGAAAAACCTTTTGACTGATAGTTGCCAACTTCCGGAAATTTGAAGTTATTACGTGCATGTATTATCTTCTATATAACTTATTTTTGTGCTCTGACTCTAGTGTTAAGAAGAGTACATCAAATTAAAATATGCAAATAATTTAGAAATTGTCCTTTAATTCTCACACACCTTTTTCTTTTAACATGCAGGAACGACCGAGATGGTTAGAAATAAAATCTGTGAGTGAACTGAAAACCAAACTCGGGCATGTAATAGTGATGCTTCTTCTAATAGGATTTTTTGAGAAGTGCAAGAAGGCTGTTATAAACACTCCTGTGGATTTGCTTTGCTTCTCAGCATCTGTCCTTCTATCATCAGGTTGCCTGTTTTTGCTATCTAAGCTCAATGGCTCTACATGAATGTTCTGTAAAGACATTAGTTAGGCAAAGCTAACTTTGAAAAAAAAAAATGTAAATATATATGTTAGAAACAACGTGTTGTTCCTGATATGTATTATTTCTAAACTATCTAACGCACTTAAAAATTGTCATTATTCGTAATCTTATGTTTGAAGCCAAGGGGGGTTTAGCATTTTAGAACAGCGAAAAGAAAACAGTTTTGCCTAAATTACACAACCGCATGGTGATGCCTTTTATCTACATTTACAATCAACATGACAGTTGGTATTATTGGCTTTGATTTACTCATCATCCTATATACTTATAGTATATATGTCGTTAAACTCAAGCGGCACTGACAGCGAGAAATAAACAAGAATATATGCTCAATACACTCTTGGAAGGAAAATTCCAGGAATTTTGGGCCTCTTTATGTACCCAAAATTAAATTAAAGATAGCACTAATTAATGAAAGCTATGAAAATGGCATAACAACAGCAAGATCAAGATTCCGCACCTGGTCCTATCTATAGTAACTTTTTCTTTTAGGAGCAACTGGTCGTAAATAGTAATGAGAGCATAAGGAGAAGGAGTTGTTAATATATAGTAATAGCAGTACTTAATGGCAAGTCTTGTACCTTTTTTCTTTCTCTTACGATGCAAATGAAGCTTAATTAAGAAGTTACAGTGTCACATGACATGTTATTTAGGTATATATAAAATTATGATAAAATATGATAAGATAATATTATGCATAAGATTAAATTAAATAATGTATCATATCTTATATTTGATATATGTAATTATTAAAATAAAATAATTGATCTATTGATCAAAATTTTTTTTTTTTTAAATTTATACAATTTAAATTATTGATATAATTTTTAAATTATTTAAATTTAATCTATGGATTAAAAGTAATCTTTTTTATTTTAAAAAAATTGAATCATCCAAAATTAAAAAAATAATAATTTTTTTATAATTATATCTTTTTTAAATATATATAAATAAAACTTATAATATAAAATAATTATCATATTATTCTACCCATCATCTATTCCCAACATAACCTTAGTGTACGAAAGTAGGTTTGCGGCATATGGTTGGTCAGCCATAGAAGTGGATAGGCAATCAGCCATAGACTAGCTATATTAATCATCACCCTCCGCACTACAGATGGTTTTTGAAGTTAGGATTTCCTTAAACAAAAAAGAAAGGGATTGGGGTACGAGGGTTCGAAGTAGCTAGCAGCAGTTTTTAATATATATTCTGCTGTGAGAAAGGAGGCTGAAAAGCCATATTATATTGGAGATAATTAGAGAATAATGGAAGAGTAGAGCCCTTAGGACACAAGGAATCTCTGCACTTGGGATAGTGTGTGTGAGATCATAGTTTGAAAAGAGTATTTGAATCATTGAATGATGAATTTTTTTTTATTTCAAAATCTATATATATATATATATATAATATATATATATATAAACCCATGCCATGTAATTAGAGTTAGAGGCCGACAGCATCACAGTTGAATGGCATCAACAACGGTTCATTCAATTGTTGAGAGCACATGGCATATGTTTACAAAAAATGTCGAAGCACTTTTGTTTTAACAAAATGTTGCAACAATGTTTAAGATCTTTTTGCTAAAGTAGTAGTACACTATTGAGTTTTTTTCAATTAATTTAAGGAATCTAATATGATATATACGTTAATTTTCCTACGAGAGCCCTGGCTGAAACCTTTCAAAATTTTTATGATCAGGAAATAGAAGTGTGTGTTATTCCCTTGGTTTGAGTTAATTCATGGTCTGTATCTCTCTCTCTCTCTCTGCAGGTGGCTAGTTTGACATCGGTTTGTGTTTATTGCAATACAAATTAAAAGCACAGATGCATTAATGCAATATTCCAGCTGGTTAATACTTAATAGTTAAATACCAGACGTTGGAATTTGCATTTTAATTTGCAAAGGAGGTTGGTTAGGGTAGTTTAACGGGTAAAAGGAAAATGAGGCACACCAACTCACATAGAGAAATGCATCAGGAAATGATGGGCTAATGCTTAAAATTAAACCTGGGTTTTCATCTTCAAGCAAATTAAGTGACAATATATATTGAGGAATGAGCAATTTGCATTAAATACAAACCTAAAAAAAGACACACAAACAAAATGTATATTAAGGAGGAGAAAGAACAAGGCCATCAATATTTTATCTAACTAATAAGCTTAGTGGAAGAAGCATTTGCTTTTAAGACCTTACTTAATTACTTAGATATACGTTGTTTCAGATTTCAGTCCCTCTCAACATATATATACTATTAAATAAACAGAAAGTGTTAATGGTGTTGTCTAATCAAGATCCATGCCGTCCTTAAAAATTCTATAAGCTAATCAATGGGCGGCTGAGAGAAAGGTAACTGAATTGGAATGAGAAAAGAAATGCTAAGCTTGCCATTTATGGGAATGATTCCCATCCTTTCTTCAGTATTTCATCAATTATCGAAAAGACGCAGGCAGGTGCATCAAACTCTTATTTATGTCCATCTTGAAGACTAAAAAAACTGCTAGTGGGACCGTACAATCGTCTTAAATAGCAGTCTTAGAGATAGTGAACCGCAAACTGGTAACTAAGCTTAGAAGCTCTGATCTCATCTTGGTTCTTCCTATATTTCTTCATAGCCCTCTTTCTGATCAATCCTTATTGATGGCACACACAGCTAACATTTTTAGGCTTTCCTTGTTTATGTTTCTACTTTTACAGCAGCATTTTGACCTGATATCAGCATCACGGTCACTAGCATTTCGTGCTTCGCCTACCCCTAAAGATTATTTGAGCAAGCCAGGTCCTCCTTCCGTTAATCTTGATAATAGGTTTACTATAAATCGTTTTAAGAAGATAGAGGGCGAAGCTTTTCGGCCAACAAGTCCTGGTCATAGCCCTGGTGTTGGCCACTACAGCCCGCCATCTGCTCCTTGAGAATCGAATGATCTCAATCTCAAACGAGAGTGTGACAGAGTGATATATAAAATGTTGAATAAAACCCCCCACCACAAGTGCATTATGCAGTCTTGTAGCTAGTATGAGTTAGGATTTTCCCTTTAGCACCTTTATCGTTTGGCAATTGGCTATATTTTATAAGTTAGGATTCTGATGCTAGCTAGTTGTATTTTATGTCATCTTGGATTTTTTTTTTTTCTCTTTTTGAGATAATTATGTCGGCGTCGTGACTTGGATGTGTTGAAATAAAACGTCTGTACGTGTTTTGAGATAATTAAAGTCTTTCCATTTCTGGAGTAACTTCTTTGTTTGGATATACATGTCTGACAACTTCAGTTTCTCTCTCTTTCTTTCTCTGAAAGTAAAAAGAAATCACATCACATTACATTACAGATTTTGCCTTTTGCTTATGATTCCCAGCAAAAAGGCTAGCTAGTGCACCATTGCACTGTCCTCTGCTTTTACAGTAGGTTTACTAGGAGTATAAAATTATATATGCAGATACGCTTCTTAAATCTGATGTCGATAATAAAAAATATCTTTCCATGGATGCCCCACCCTGCAGATAGCAGAGCCACATGATATTTGATGTCCTTTTGTAATTTGCATGTTTAAATTAATTAATTTAACCCTAGAGGGAATTGTGTGCAATCCCAACCCATAGTAATGGGAGGCTTATAATTATGATTGACATTTGGCAGATGGCTTCCTAATTAGTGATTAGACGGGCAGGGCTACATATTTTATTATTTGTATAAGTTAATTGTTTTGGTGACTGAATAAGTCTCTAATTTTTCTCATTAATTAAAGATATGGTCAATGAGAAATGACAATTAGAATCTACAATAACAATATTTCTACATTGAGAGTCCTGCCTCCTACCCAAGTTTGTTGCACGCATTAATTAATTTCAACTAGAAACCCCCCCTCCCCACACACGTATTAAATTAATTACTACATAATGCATTTATAAATATAAATCACAATGAGAGTAATTTTTTTTAATGATATAGCAAAAATTGAAAATATTAAATATTATTGTTAATCATATAAATCAATCAAACTAAACTTCATTTTCAATCGCACAAAATCACCTCACAAGTCCCTAGTTGGTGTCCGGTGCTTTGGATCACTCTCACTACGAGCTCCCGAGTCTTGAGGCTGCACGTATGTACATGTCTCCAGCATTGACGGACTTTAATTTCTCCAAGGTCATCCGAACGTCTAAAGTCAAATTTGATATGGTTTTTAGTTATAAAGGTTAGATTCGTTTCAAATAAGTTTAAATCTTTTTCAATTGAATTATTTCACTTATAAAAGAATGTAAATAACACCTCTTAAGTTTTAAAAGATACAAATTTAATTGGTTGAACAAATCAATATAATTAAAGAGTTACAATTCTTGATTAAGTTTTTGTATATATATGAAAGTAAGAATCATTCCAACAAATGATGAAAAGAATATATTCACTATTTTTTTTTAATTTTTTATGAAATAGATCAAGTTTCTTATATATATAAAAGATGATTTTGTTGCTTACTAAAAAGTATTTAATGGTTTAATTTTATTAATGCAAAGTTAAGTAAAATAAAAATTTTATTATTCTATGCTTGTTCGATTTATCTCGATGTACGTTATAAATAATGTGAAAGAAATATATTTTACAAAAAATGATATTTGTAAATCATTTCCCTCGTATTATAGTTTTTTAATTTACACTTAATAAACTCACAAATACAATAACAATGAGCATATATTTTCTTATCAGTTAAAAATTTGTTCAAATTTATATATTTATAAATTATAAATTCTACAAACAATTAATAAGAGAGAAAATGAATTTGACTTTGGACGGAAAAAAAACAAAAAAAAAGGTAAGGAATGACGACATTGAAGACTTATGGCAAAGATTATTTACTTCTTAGGTACGAGAGGCTATCTCATCCATCGCTTCTTCTATCTGCTTGCCTTTATATGGATCAAATAGCATAATTCAACCTAAAATAAATACAGGATTGGTTTGAAATTGGTCGAAAGCTGGCAACGATTAGTAGGCCCGTACGTACTGAGATATATATTTTTACGTCAACTACTTTTAAAACTGGCAAACAAAATTAATTATTACTGTCAGGCTTTATTTTTTCTATTGGATGCCTTAATAATGAATACACATTATTGATCAATTACAAATTAATACTTCATTAATAAATAAAATTAGAAGTTTAAAAACTCTTGAAAATAAATACCAAAAAGGAAGTATTTAATTAGACAAAAGAAATTATAAGGATTTTTTATATTAAACTTTCTTTCTCTTCAATCTTCCAACTCCAAAGAAAATCGAAGGAAAGATAAAATATATATTAATAGAAATGAGATTTTTATGTTGAATATTGTTGGGTTTGGAAGAAACTCTCAAAGAGTATGAAAAATATATATATAAAAATAAATAAATAAAAGTAACATTATTGGCTGCGTTTTCATTTTGGACTAAAAACTTTGAGTTTTCGTGCCCCAAAATTTGTATATATCACACCTAGGCCCATGTGCCGCAAGTGTTGTTTTTTACGTACGCGGAGGATCATAATTATATAATTTGTCTTCTAAATCGGGATAAGTTAATAAAGAGGATCATACAACACCTTTAGTTGTGTTTGTTATTTAATGCAGCTAATTAAATTATATTATACATATGGATCTTAGTAGAATTAAGAAAAGGACTGAAATTTCAAAAAATGAAAATAAACGCTTAGCTGGCTGATATAATATTATTGCCACGTGCTAAACATAGTTACTTCATTTTTCATCCTAAAAGTCTAATCAAAACTGGACCACTTTGATTGTTTAATTGTTCAGAAAATTGCTTAACATAGAAAAAGAAAAGCGTAATAATTAAATTAAAAGGTGGCAGTTGCGTTGAGTTAATTAAGAGTAAAGAGGTGGCGTTTATTGTTACATGTTTATTTATTTTGATAGCGCAATTTGATTGATGCACTTGTGTCCTATTGCAATTTGATTACTCATCTTCTCCACGTGTTCTCGCCCTTCCACTCTTCCTCTGTATTCCCTCATCGTCAGCTTTTTTCTTTTTTTTAAACCTCAAGTGGCTACCTAATCTCTCAACTCTCAAGTAGTGATCTTATTTTATTACTATATATTAAGGCATATATGGCTTATATATAGGTAGCTGAACGTCAAGCTCTTTTCTTCACATAATAATACCATATATTTATAACCCATCTTTTATATATCTAATCTTAATTAGCTTAAGGTATATAATCCCACATATGGATCAACAAAATGGTGTTGGCAGTGGGAGAGATCAGGAGCAGGCGCTGATTGAGTTGAGTGGCGCTGCCAATAATGACAATCATATTATAGACACTGAGGAACTCCTGGGGGCGCCACCGTACTACTGCTACGTCAACTCCCTCTCCACCCGCGAAATGGAGTCTCTCACTGCCATCTGCGATACCTTACTCCCATCCCTGCCTGTCTCAAATCATGTTCATCATCATCATCATCATCATCATGATGCAGTTGCAACTTTTTATCAGTCTTCAGCTTCCATGTCTGATACTCCACAGCGTGTACGTATTTTCATCACAAACCCTACATATAGCTTGTCTGTTTGGTACGTGCATATTTCATCTTTGCTTATAGTTTCTCTATTGCCCTATATTTGAGTTTGCCTTGTGTTTTCCATCACTATCATTGTGCACTCCTTTCAAACTTTTTAATATATTGATTAAAATTTCGAGTCAAAACTAACAATATATATTATATTATCAACTTTTGCAAATTGATCAAGGAGGCTAATTTAGTTTATATAATATCTAACCGTGCATGATGATGTATGGTTATATATTAATGGGTTTGATTTTGTGGAAATATCTAAAAAAAAAAAAAAAAACAGATAGGAGGATTGGTGAGCGAGAGAGTGGAACATCCCAAGAAATGGTTGATAAGATTAGCACTGTGGCTGTTGTCAACAGGCCTAGGAACCTTCGTACTGTGCGGAAGGAGAAGCCTTTCAACCAAATTTCCCTTCTTTCATGCTTTCTCTCACTTGTCTCCACAGAAAAGACAAGACATTTTGATTTCCTGGTCTCTTAGTTTTTTCTTTCACCTTAGAATGCTCTTCAAGGCTGTGAAGCTTCTCACACTTCTAGTCTTCTTCTCCCAGGTAACAAATACTTAATTAATACTCTTCTCATTTAAAATTTAATTTCTCCTTAATTTCTCTCGCTAATTAATTGAAGAACTACTTTCTTTTGTTTCAAAAAAATGTACGTGATCTGACATCGTTTTTCGTGAGGGAAGCAAAAAGAATAGCTAGGCTTCTAGGGCTTAACATGCTTACATATATGGAAATTCAAAAAGAAATTAGTCAAATATATAAACCCGTGTTGCGACTTAAGGTAAGAATTAATTAATTAATTAAGATATTAATCATTTAGTTTATAAAATTTACTTACACAGATTCGTAGACATAGACACGCACTTTCTAATTTTTTATATACTCTTGAATCCCTTAATTAAAGAGGTAATTCATTAAAGTTGTGGTCGATTTTAATACATTTATATACACATATTTAGATATACATTTGAATTATCAATAATTATGTGATTTGAATTTTTAATTTTAATTATCATATTTACACTTTAAAAAAAAAAAAGGTTAAAATATTGCACATCAACTTTACATAAACGATAAATGCATCTACTGGCTATCGGCAGCACGGTTACTGGTTTACATTAATGGATTGTACTTTGATCACCAAAACTAGAAATTCAAATGTGTCATTTTATATACTTAATTTGGCTTGCAAAGAATTGTGGATAAAATATATATGAAATTTTATTAGTGGAGTTTGTGTAATTTTTTATTATAAATAAATAAATAAATAATTTAATAAAAAATTCAAATCGATAAATTAATAAAGAATATGTAACAAAAATTAAAAAATATTATTCAAAATTTAAAATTAATTAATATTTTATGTCAATATATTTTTATTAAAAATATTTATTTAATAAATATATTAAAAAAAATTTCAAAATATGCATGTTTTTATCTATACGATGAAATCTTCAATCTATCTATTTTAAAATTTATTTTGATTTTTATCTATTCATTTCTAATAAAAAATTTTATAAACTTCACTTATAGCACTGGATGTAAATCTAGTCCTTGTTCCTACTACTCCTACAATAATATTCGCTACTGTTACATAGAAAATGACATAAAACGAGAAACCAATACAACATTCATTAGAAGAGGCAACCGCTACTCATATTTTAGAGAAAAAAAAAGTAGTAGGATTTCTCAATTATATAAATAGTAAGTAATAAAAATAAACATAAATTCATAATTAGAAAATTGTTATTATATAGTAGTATATAATCGTCCGTCTCTCTGATGGAGTAATTAAAGATTGAAAACGCTCATCCTAATATTTGAGCAATAAACAGCATTCAGGAAGAAAGACCACACTTCATCGGATAAGGAAAGGATATTTTCTTTTTTATGAGACTTAATGACTGATAATTAAGTATAAACTGCATATCTTGATGATTTGGCCACCAAAGTCAAATAATCTCATTTATTGAATAATGAATAGTAATTTTTTTTAATATTGATAAGAAATTTGCTTAATTAATAATTTAAATAAATAACAACAAACCGACCCATCTGTTGATTTTACTGCATTCAGGTAGATGACAAGAATGAAAACTTGACATGGAAAGCAATAGGCTACTGCGGAGCTGACCCTGAGTTCAAGCCACATGCCTGCAGTCCTTTCAAAACATCAAAATTACAAAACTTTATCTCTAAGGAACAAGAGTACGAAGAAGACGGTGAAGGTGCGAAAGAAGAGCGTTTTGGTCCCCTCTATAGACATCTTATTAACCTAAAACACCCACGAGACATTGTCGCGGATAACCTAGGACGATTTGGATTCCCGGTCTCTGTTCCTCCTAAGAAGATCAAGACTGCAGCCAACTCATCCCGTCCTTTAATCATCAAATCTGATGCAGTAGTAGTTGGTTCCGGCTCTGGAGGCGGTGTTGTTGCCGGTGTTCTTGCAAAGGCTGGTTACAAAGTGATTGTTTTAGAGAAAGGGAACTACTGCACCCGAAGCAATCTTTCACTTCTTGAAGGGCCAAGTATGGATCAAATGTACCTGGGTGGTGGTTTGTTGGCAACTAATGACATGGGAGTTGTGATACTTGCAGGCTCTACTGTTGGTGGAGGCTCTACAATCAATTGGTCAGCTTCAATTAAAACCCCACAGCATGTAATCAACGAATGGTGTGACCGCTATGAGCTAGAGTTATTTGACAGCAAATTGTACAAAGAAGCCATGGATGTGGTGTGCGACAAAATGGGAGTTCAGTCTGAAATTCTTGAAGAAGGATTCAACAATGCAGTTTTGAGAAAGGGGTGTGAAGAACTGGGGTATCCCGTAAATGACATCCCTAGAAATTCCCCGCCTGATCATTACTGTGGTTGGTGTTGTATGGGCTGCAAAGATGGGAGAAAGAAGGGTACTTCAGAGACGTGGCTGGTGGACTTGGTAAATTCAGGAAATGGTGTGATTCTTCCTGGATGTGAGGCCATTAAAGTTTTACACAAAAGAAGGAAAGGAAGCGACCGAAAAACAGCAACTGGGGTTGCTTTCCAGTTTGAGTACGAAGGGCACAAAGATATCTGCATTGTGGAGTCTAAGGTGACCATAATTGCTTGTGGGGCTCTCAGTACTCCACATTTGTTGAAAAGAAGTGGTTTGAAGAGTGAGAACATTGGGAAAAACTTGCATCTCCATCCAGTGGCAATGGCCTGGGGATACTTTCCTGATGAACCTTTGTCCGGTTGTTGGCCAGAGAAAGAGAAGAAGAGTTATGAAGGAGGAATCATGACAGCAATGTCTACTGTTGTTGCAAATATGGACAAGTCCGGATATGGAGCAGTACTGCAGACACCAGCATTGCACCCTGGTATGTTCTCAACTTTAATGCCCTGGCTTTCTGGTGCAGACATAAAAAGGAGAATGCTCAGGTTCTCTAGGACAGCTCATATATTTGCATTGGCAAGGGATAAAGGGTCAGGAAACGTGTATTCACCAAATTCAATTAGTTATCAGATGGAAACTACCGATGAAGAGAATCTAAAGAAAGGATTAGACAAAATTTTAAGGATCCTGGCAGCAGCTGGAGCTGAAGAGATTGGAACACATCACTGTAAAGGGAAGAGCATAAATGTAAGGAAAGTAAGCTCACATGAGTTTGAGAGGTTTATCAAGGAGGAGAGTTCGAGGTCACTAAGAAACTTAAATACACAAATATGTTCAGCTCATCAGATGGGTAGCTGCCGCATGGGGATTGATCCAAAACTATCAGTAGTGAACCAGATGGGGGAAACATGGGAGGTAGAAGAACTTTTTATTGCAGATTCAAGTGTTTTTCCAACAGCTTTAGGTGTCAATCCAATGGTTACGGTTCAGGCTATAGCATACTGTACTGCACAATCGGTTCTTGACGTTCTGAAGAGGAAGAAACTGAATCGGCTGTCTCAATCATTGGGACGCCAGACTGTACCTCCACCTCCCTGAAGTGAAATATACATGAGGAAAATTAAGCTTGGGTGCTTCGGGATTGAATTAAGGGCTTAAGACTCTGCAGCATATATGTGCGTGTGTCTGTATATATATATATATCCATAGTGAAGCAACTCATCTGCTGACTTCCTTGCAAACCAAATATTGGCCAAGTGCGCTGCGGATGGCCTCAATATTCTTGAGGATCCTCGGCCTCAATTTCCCTTATGCGTGTTTAATTTTGCTTGTTAATTAAAGTACTGTATAATGAAAAGTTCAAAAATATTGTCTCCTTTTGTTGATCCTCTACTAGCTTATTATATATATCATACAACATGAACTTAACCTTTCCGCTGCAAAATTGATCGTATGTAACCCGAAGATTGGTTAAGGGACGATGGAGGTTGAAACTTGGAGCTCTAATTCTTATGTCAATCAAGATTTACCATTTGTCAAAGTAATTTTATTTTATCCTTTCATGAAAACGGTGGTCAACAAACGTAGTCAGATTGCAAGAAAAGAAATATATTCTATGAATATATAGCCACGGAATTCAGCATAATTAAAAAAGAGATGGATTATTTATTATTGGGTGATTAGGATTTTTAATTCTGAATCTAAAAAAGCTAGCAAACAAACTGCTGAAGCTGAAGCAGAGAAAAATAAAAATTCAATGGAATTGGAACTGGAATGCGTTCAAATTAACTAAGCCGCCTTGCCATTGCAGAAAGAGAGAGATGAGAGGAGGAGTTATAATTTGATTCCAAATGATTTTCCTTTTCCATTCTTATAGTTTGATATTGATAAATTAATTATTATACGTTGAGACCAAACTCCAACTCTATATCCAACTTGCACCACATTAATTTAAAGCTAAATAAATCTCCCTGGAAAGGAAAACCCTAATTAATAATTCTAGCGCCAACGTTTAACTATTCCCCGGCCGCTTCCCACTTTTATCTTATAATAAAAATAATATTTTGTTATATATAGTTGCACCAAAATATATCTATCAGACTATGTTATAGTTTATCATAAAGTACATTTAATCTGGTCTTTCGGCCATAAATTTAGGCGAAAGCCCAATTGTTAAATAATAGAATATTTATTTAAAAAATCCCTTAAAATGAGAATTTAAAAAAAGCTTTTGATTGACAAATTTTCTAGACTTTATTAAGTGTAAATAAATCATGGGTCTTTAGCACAAGTGTTTGGGAATTTCAAAATTATTTTTACTAAGTGGCAAATTTTAAATAAATATAAAGATGTAAGACAAAATTAATTTAAAAAACTAATTTAGAAAAAAAAATTTTCTTAGATAAATGAAATATATTAAAAATAATAATAGTAAAAAGTAGTTTGATTAATTATAAAACTTAATAATGAATTTTATTATATATATTATCCTATAAATAATTTAAAAAATTATAAAATAAATATATTTTATTGATTAATTATTGTTTTTTATTAGAAAGATCGAAATCCAATTCATCGAATAAGATAGATACATATAATTTTCATTAGTTCAAAAATCTTCGTAATTTATATTAAAATAAAAAATTATGATCCTTAGCGTAAACAGATAACTCAATAACAATAGCAAGATATTAGTATTTTACTCTTTTTTATCAATTAAAAATTTAAAAATATATATTTATCTATCAAAGGCTTAAAAAGTAGATACTCTTACAATATAATAAACATATTATTTTATACCAACCAAACATTAACAAAAAAAAAAGGGAAAGAAAGAAATTTATATCTTCTAATAATTGCAGATCCGGCTAGCGCCAGTTGTTTTCTAATTATTAACTAAAATCACTACACTTTTTTGTGTATATAGCAAATCTGTAGTGGACAATATTTATGAATCAAAGTGGATCGTCTTGTTTATCATATATTATATACATACACACACATATATATATATATATATATATATATTAGTAGAGAAAATAGAATGGAACTCTTGAGGTGGTTGTTGACCACCCCCACGTCAAAGAAAAAGAAAGGCTTCCATGTAATCTAAAACTACCTAAAAAGTAAATACAGTTAGGACTAGGGAACACGGTGTCTCTCCTTCCAAGCAATGGCAGAATTGTTTGGAAGAATAGCTCAACCACCGCAAAGGAAGAAACCCAAGGGACAGAAAGAGGACGATAGCCACCAACAACAACAGGTCTTTTCATCGACTTTCTATCCCTTGAGTAACTCCCACGCCTTCATTCTTCTTTCCTCACCTAAATTCTCTTGTCCTTTCAAGGCACTTCCAACGAAAAGCGGCCACCTGCCATGGGAAAACATCGACTTGGTTGCGTCTTAGTCTTCTCTGTCATTGCCTCCCTCGGCCTTGTCTCCTTCACCTCATGTCTTGTAGCAGAGGCTAAGAGACCCAAGGTACGTAGTTTGTTATATATATATATACGATTCATTATAAGTTATAAGCTTATTTCATTCATTGCAATTAATAAATATGAGTTTTAATTTCTTTTGTATGTTTTCCAAAAAAACTTTCTTGTCTTTGCAGAAGGCTGATCTCAAGTTGGATGGAAAGCTGTGTTTCTTACCTGCCAGTCATGGCTTTGGATTCGGAGTTGCTGCACTAATCTGTCTCTCAATCGCTCAAATCATAGGGAACGTATTAGTCTGTGCAAATTACTGGTCGAGATCAGGAAAGGCGAGAAAGGCTAAGAAACCAATTCTTACTGCAATTCTCCTGGCATTTTCCTGGTAGGTGATCGGCCTCTTCATTATGTCTGTTGATGCAAGCATTTAATCTGGATTGCCATGTTGTCTGAGACATTCTGATTTTCAGATAAACAAATTAGGCTGCTCGCTGCTGGTAGAATTGTATAGTGGACCCATATATTTTAGGTCGTACATAGTTTCATTTACTAGAAAACTAAAAACCTTCATTCTTGATCGTAGATGCCTATAGCTAAAACTGTAATCTCTATTTCATTTCTAGAATTTCTGGCCACCAGAATCAGAATAGGATAACAATGACCAGAAAAGGCCCAAGTTCATAACCGTTTCACATTTTCCACCTTTTCCCAGTGGGGCTAACGACAGTGTTGTGGGTCAATCTGATTGGGGTACAGATCAGAATCTAGAATGGCTTTGAAGAGATATAATGATATATATATATATATATATAGATAGATATAGAGGAGACCAACTAGTTGGGAAACCGAATAACACAACGTGGACAGCTGGAAGTGTCTCAGTTTCATAATCTCCCCTGAGATTCAACGCCTTGGAAAATATAATTTAAAAAGATAACAGAAACATGGCCTTGGGGTTTTTGTTTGTTTTATAAAAAAATGAAAAGCTTCAAATCTTTCAAATTTGCAGGATCAGCTTTGGAGTTGCAATCATCCTAATAAGTACGGTCACGAGTATGAGCAGAAGACAACCCTATGGAGAAGGATGGTTGGACGGTGAATGCTACATGGTTAGAGGTGGAGTGTACATAAGCTCCGGGTTTTTAAGCCTGGCTGCCGTGTTGGCCTTGCTCGGGATAGCTGCCATAACGATAACGACAAATCAAGTTGATCAAGGCCAGAAAGTATATGCACAGAATGCATGAAAAACAAAATAACCAGTGATAGGTTTGCCATTTTTGGAAGCTTAGTTTCAAGTGACACGATGGGTTTTGAGCTTTGAATGAAACAACCAAGTATGTATAATGTCTTCCACCAAGTCCAAGACCTGCAACTGCCAACAAGTCAACAACTGAAAATATATACGGTACAGAAGCCTGCCAGAAGCCCCAAACGAGAGGCTTCAAAAGCAATACTAGAATTCCTTTACATCTTGTCTTGTCTTGATATTAATATTAATATTATTATTATTATTATAAGGAGCAAACGGAAAAGTGATAATGAGTGAGGGCCAAAGCCCAAAGGGGATGTCCCGCTACGCACTCCACTTCTCTGGTCCCTTCCCAAAATCAGGAAAGGTTAGTTAGCTTCAACAAAAATGAAAGAGATGGTTCTTTTGTATTTATTCCCATAATAATAATGATAAATTTATTTGATGCCTCCACAGCGATAGTGAATTCAATTTAATTGATATCCTTACAAATGTATTCCCTATTCATTGCTTTAGTTCTGCCACCTCCCCCCCCCCCCCCCTTTCGTTTTTATTCGTAATATATATCAAGCAAACTAAAGTGCCAAATTTTAAGCTCCCTGGGCTCTACCCGCTCGTTACACCAGCTCTGTAACCGACGAAATTTTAAATCATACACCACTATTAACTAGACCTGGGGTTTCAAACCAGCTTGGGTTGAGTTCAGCTCCCCCTACCTAGGGTTGGCAACAAGTTTTTGTTTGTCTCGAATCCGACCTAAATTTTTTTTTTTTTTTTAATATTCAACTCGATCCGACCTGACATTATATAAACTATACTTGACTCGACCCGACTTGAATTCATAAAATATTATTTTTTAAAATATAAAATATTATTTTTTAAAATATAAATATGTAAATATATAATTATATAAATATATATAAATAAAAAACTAAAAAATAATTTTTATATAATATCGGGTCGGGTTGGTCTAAAATCCGAAACCTAATTTTAAAAAAAAACCGACCTTATGGGATCGGGTCGGGTCGGGTCGAAACCTGCCGGGGTTGAGTTGGATTGCCAACCTAACCCCTACCCCTATCTGCTTTCCTCAAACTTTCTCATGATAATGAATTCACATTTTTAGAAAAAAAAAAATAATAATAAGAGCATTATACAAAGTATGTTAACTGTCCCAAAACCTCAGTGCAGATATAAAATAAATGGTTGTTAGCGTTGTAGATGGAAATTACCTAAATCCAGCAAAAAGAAAAAGAAATGGTTGACACTCGATCATCATTCACATACATGCATCAAGCTACAATGGTTCTTTTCCATAAAAAAGTATGGAAAAAAAGGTCAGCTCATGAGCACAAAAAAGAAAACACATGAACCTGCCATACTATATCAGTCTAGTAGTTCCGAGCAAGCATCTCAGCAAGAAAATCCCAAACAACCACATTCATTTACCTCGAGATAATGTCCTAATAAAGCCAAAGGTTGATGAGGTAAACTGAGGTGACAGATGACAATGTCTCTAGCAGCCATGGGATTTAACAGAATACTGAAAACTCATATAGCATCAAAGATACATGTTCCCATGGCCCCTCCCACCATGGCCATATTCCCTGCCCCAGTTATAAGAGCCCCTGTAGTTCTGACCACGTCCAGAAACATAGCCACTAAAAGATCCGTAGCTGACATGAGACCTCTGTTGGAAGTTGCCAAATGTCTGGAAAATTAAAGATGCAACAAAAAAATCAATTGTTTAACAAACCTTAATTTTTCTAAGTTCTATACCTATTCTCTGAAAGATATAAAAAAACCTTTGATCAAAAAGAAAAAGAAAGAGAAATATAACAAACCTCACTATCTAACTTCATTCTCTCAGAAAAACGATTGTGTGCATTTTTTGCAACACGGGATTGAGAATTACAGGAAATCGTGTCAAAGAAGCAATCCTTTGTGTAAGCAGGCTGCAGGAAAACCCAACAGAGTTTATACAAACCTCTATGAACCAATAACTGTAGTCACACATTCATGTTAAAAATGATGAATATAGCAAACCCTGACTTGCATATAGAGCATAAAGAGAAAAACCTTTGGATCCAATTTTGACAGAAGGCTAAGACCCTGTTTGTCTACCAAGCTCTGATCTGACACATCATCCTTTATGCCTTCTGCTTTATCCTTTTGGTGTGCCTTCCCAAGGTAGCCCCACACTTCATCCTTTTTGAACTTCTCATTCATGGCTTCAAAGTCAAATTCTTCAGTAAACTGGGTGGTGGAGTATAGAGACTGCAAAAATCAACAATATGTAACAAGTAATTATGACTAAGATTTCAACCTATGCAATACTGTCTACAAAAATGAATGTTAAACACGTCTTGAACTCCATATTGATCCATTTATATAAACAATAAAAGAATCAACAGCAAAGGTTAGAGAACTTTTTCTGAAAAGATTCAATATAATTTGTCAAAACAGTACACATGTAGAAAAGACGGTTAACATCTGTATCTTTGTTTAGGCTTAAACTAATAGGAACACTTCAGAATATTTATGCATGGCTATTCACAGGCATAAGCTTTCAGATTCAACAGAGTACAAAGAAACTTAGGAGAAAAGAAAAATTATCTGACCTGTTGTGCAGGAGTTGGCAGTGGCAACAATGGTGGTTGAGTTAGTAGAGTAGAATTCACAGTCGGAGTGTAAGAGGATAGTGATGCAAAAGTAGTTGTATCCTTATGACCAGGATATGTACTCTGTATTGAAGAAAGCACATTAGGTCTGGTCTGTGCTAGCTGACCCGGAGTTAACAAAGATGGAGGTGATGCTTGCAAAGAACCTGAAGAACAAGCTGGATAAGGCATGCGGGTGGGAAGAACAGATGAAGGATCAGCGGCAGCAGGGCTTCTAACTAATTTGCCCACAGGTTGAGATTCATTGATGTTTGTGTCTTCAAAAGATGAAGGAAATGAAGACATTGTTAGTGATGCATATGCAGCCTGTGAGGCTGGCGCTTTTATGGATGAGCAGGATGGCATATCAGGGGACATGGAATAGTGCACTGGAGTAAAAGAGCCTGTGACCGTAGAATGTAAAGAACTAGATGTAATAGATGAAAGGACAGGGTTAACAGGTTCTGGTGCATTTATCAATCCCATAATGGGAGAAGAGTGAAGATCAGGAGTGTTTACATGACACTGCACCATCAAAGGAGATGACAACATTGAAGGAGATTGGAAAGGAATTTGGTTCTGTTGAGCTTGAGAAACATTTATTGATGTTCCCCTGTATCCGTGAAAATACAACGGCGTGGAAAATAATGGAGGACCGACATTTTGAGCAGCCTGGGAATGATTTGATGAATTTGCTGGATCCACCTGGGATGCAAATTGATGTGTTGGCAAAGTACTCGGATAGACTCTACTGGCTAATGCAGGGGTATCCTGCCACTGAGTTGATTCTATTGAAGTTCTACCACCAATTGTAGGTGACAGAGAAGGGCTACATGGCACACCTGCAAGCTGTGACTGCAAATGGAAGTAACACAAGAAGAAAATCAATTACTCTTAAATTTGAACCTTGGGAAATTTTAAACATCAATACCTGAATAATGGCAGGGTCATTGTGAAGCTGCTCATCTATTTGCACAGGAGGGTAGGACTTAACTTGCAAATCCTGGAATTGAATGTCTCAATATGAATAAGCATACACCACAAACCAATATCTTATAACTTTCCAAAATTTTACTATGAATATCTACATGCATATGCATGTGCATACCTAAGGATGTCAATGGGTAGGGCATGGGCCAGATAAAGCATTCTCCATCACTATCTCAGGATTTTTATATTATACCCATCCTTATACCCATACCTATCGAGTATTTCAAATCTATTCCCATTCCCATCCCCATCCCCATCCCCATCCCCATCCCACAAGTATTTAATGGGTATGAGTGATCTACATACCTGTAGCTTTTTTTAAAAAATAAAAACTAAAATTTATTTTTTTAGTCTTTTAATTTTTATCTTACACAATTATATAATTTTTATAAATATATATTAATATATATTTTTTAAATAAAAATATATTAATTGTAATTAATCCAAAATAAAATTTCATATTATTTAATAAAAAATCTATTTACTAAAGGGAGCTATATTATCCGTCATCGTCCTCGTCCTCGTCCTCGTCCCCATACCTAATAAAAATTTAAAATCATACCCATCCCCATTCCTATCCCTAAAATTTAATATCCATCCCCATCCCCAATTGGGTAAAAAATCAGGTTCACCATTAGGTATAGATAAGATTGACATTCTTACGCATACCCATACAAACAACTGGAATCAAGCAGAAGCTTCCCAATATGAGAGGCCAAAGGAAAGCCAGGGCAAAACTAGCTCTCAACTAAATCAGTAATCTTTTCCTATATATGATTAGATAAAATACAATCAGAATCAATGAGCAAAACATTGAAGATTTAGAATTACCTTGAGTGGACAAGATTCAACCCAAACCCCATTGCGGTGCCTAAATGGTTGTCCTCTGACAGAACTACTTCTACGCATACAAACCTCTAATTTTCATGGATGTTTACCTTAGACGCTTTCATTAAAAACAATAGTGTTTTCTATTACTTTCTTCAAGTATGTGACAATGTTTCTTGTTTCCTCTGATATTATCAAAGTAAAAGGCAGCTAAACATCATTTCATTTGCCTTTAAGAACTAATATTTTGATTAACTGCAAGCCAAACATTTTTAAACTTCAAATAAATGTCTTAGCTATCGGTTCTTTGACTCATAATGACTGTAACAAGAATAAAAAGTTATTACACAAAACGTTAAAAAAGAAAATGCATTAGTCAATGTAGACAATTAACTCCCAATGAGAGCAAATATAATGCGCAAAGAACACAGAAAAACTTTCAAATGCACGAGACTAAAAGGGCATGGCCTAAGATAATTGATTAACTTTCTGGAAATTTGACAAGACAAGAAGAAACCTGAAGCATAAGATCAATTGGACACTATTAGTGCCAAATACCAAAACTATAAAAGCAACATGCCAGACACACAAAACTCCCACTAATTATTTTCTTCAAGTATTCCAATGCCATTCTCACTTTGCACAATTATAGCCATATCAAGTTTGATAACTTACTGATGCTTCAGGTTTCATATTTTCAAATCAGATATCTTTCTTTTTTTTTTTTTTCTTTCCTGGTATTTATGCAAGACTCAAAAAATGACATCATCCTTCAGAGCAGAGCTCTCCAGCGTTTACTAAGATTTTTAATTTATTAAAGGATGCTGCAGCAAAAGTGGAAACTGGCACCAGAAACACACTATGATACATCAACTGAGAGTTTGTAAATAAATGCATGAGTAACATTATAAAAATTAAAGAAACAAGAATTGTTTTCGTCGGAGTAATAAAAAACACAGCTTTAAAAATGATAAGATCTACAAAGATGAATAATCATTAGGGAAAAGAGTTGCACTAGCAGAAACAATTATCACTTGCAATAGTCCTGCATAAGACAGTGGACAGAGGAATAAAATAGTAAAAGCCTTAAACACATAAACACAAAAATAAGCATGTAACTCTCAATGTATAACATGAGCAACAAAATGCAAGTGATCTGCTTAAAGCAGATCATAGATTGGTTGCGGATTCGAAACAAAAGAAGCTATGAAATGCTCTCACTTACCTTAATGTCACTTCCACGAAAGAGAATGTATTCATATACTTTATCACTCGGTGGCACTTGTGGACCATCCTTCTTCCGACCCTCTGTTCCATAAGATCTTACTGCAACATAAAAAGGAAGACGACACAATAGCAAACTCAGAAAACAGCACCAGGAACACCAAATTCATCATCAATTCCATCGTAATACCATACACATATATCTGAATAGATTAGTAAACACTTCTTCATCAAAAATTGTCCACACTTATTTATAGTAAATTATTAATAAATAATCAAATGCGCTATCAAATTTTCAGCAAAAATTCACTCTAAAATATCGAAAAAGTATCAACAAATTTCCCAACCTATAAATACTAACAGCATAGTACATATTAACCTCACCTAAGCACACAAATCCATCTGAAAACCATCATCTCAAGGACCGAGCATCATCCATTCACCAAAATATAAATATAAAAAAAAGAAAAAAGAAAACAAAGCCTAGGTCGACAGACAGTAGAAGATATGCAGATACGTAACATGCAAGAGACATGCATCTGTACGAAATACGCGTGTATATATATGTACATTTATGCGTATATTGATTAAGAAAAATACGGGTACCGTTTTTGAGGCCAATGGCGGAATCTTGGACGTTGAGATAATAAAGAACACCTTCGTAGCGTATATCGTACTTAGAGATGAGGCTAATGAAGTTTCCTATATACGAGTCCTCTGCATTTTTCGAATTCGACGAAGATTCGCTCGCCATCTCTACTCAATCAACGCTACGAACCAAAAAGAAAACTATCGCGATAATCTTTCCCCAGAAAATCAGCCAGGAAACGAACGAGAATGAAAGAAACAAAGCAAAAGAATTTTTGAATAGGTTCTCTCTGATTGATTGTTTCAAAAGTATTATTCCCTCAATAATCCAAAACTTTGCTTCTGCCCAATGGGAAAGTTTTCAGGCGGGGGAGTAAAAGTTATATATATAGAGGAGAAATTGCCGACTCAGTTAAACGGCGCCGTTTAATGCTCGATCTAAATTCTATATGGGCCCTAAATTAATTGTGAGAGCTCATTTCGCAAATGGGCAAAACCCAAAATGAAATTGAAGAACAAACTATATGCTATAAACTGAGGTTTCTTGTTAAAATCTCATTCTTTATTAGTGGTGATCATTTATACTTAATTTTTTTTTATTTTTATATGAATATAATATTTGATTGTAATTAATATTTTATATTATAATAATAAATTGGAAAACAAAATATGAATTTCATATAAATTTTTTATTATAACAATTAAAATACAATCGAATACTCAATCTTGTAAGTGCTTTATAAATTTCCACCCCAGTTCTCAACTTATATTACATTATAGTTGGGCCTAATTTCATCCCGAGCTTATGTTCTTGCGTTTGTCATGGACCAACGTTTTTTATTAAAATAACACATTTATTAAATAGAAAAAAAAAACTCATGACGTATAAATTCAAAATCATTCGCCTTTTTATTTTTGTGTGAAATTCGTGATGCATTTTATGTATTTTTTTTCTTGAGAGAATTCTGTGGATTATTTTTAGTTGAAGTTGATATATAAATTATATATCACATTGTTTTCAAAATTCTAAAATTAAAACAGATGATCTCGTTTATTTTAGTAGAGAAAATGATATTTTGCGCCGTTTTTTAGGTATACATTAGTATTCTTTATCCGCCAATTAATTATTACTTATTATTAAAAAATATTAAAATAGAGTTATTATATTATTTTCTGTTAAGGTTTTCACTTATGGCCTTAATTGGCTGCCAATTAAGATCCAATTAGCATTGTAAATTTCACTTTAAAATTACACTGTAGCCAGACTTCCAGTTACAACACCTAATTAAAAGATTCATTCGAATGGCACATGTATTCACTATGTAAGAATTCGATTAATTTTAAATTAAATTGTTTAAAATAAAATAATTTTATTAATTGAATCAAATTTATTAGTTTTAAAATTTTAATTGACTAAAATTTTATTAAATTTTAAATTAATTAAATAATAAATAAATTTAAATTATATTATATTTTAAATTCTTAAATTTTCATATTTATAACAAAATTAAATAAAATTATTCATCAAAATATTCAATTAACAAAATATTAAATTAAAAACTCTAATAACTTATAAAATAAATAATCAATTTCATGTATATTTCATTTTATATTTATATTTTGTTATATTTTGATTATAATTTTCTTTAAATTGATTTTCAAATTGAATTAATTAAAAGATTAAAAAATTATTTTAGATAATTAATAAAAATTAATTTAATGATAGATCGATTAACAAATTAAATTAATTTGATCCATCAATTCTGTTAAAACGAAATTTTGAACATTATCTAATTGAAAACCAGTTATACTTTTGCTATTTTCAAACAGAGCATTAAGAAAGGGGAGAGGTAAAGGGTAGACAATAGTATATTAGCCATCTGTAGGATGACTTAATTGATTGCGATCATTTGTTTTGAGAAGTAGTATTAGATTGGTGACCTCTTTTAGTGATCTTTTTTTAGAGTATTTAATTCCAATATCTGTTTTGAAATAGGATTTAAATAATTTATTTACCTCAAATTTTATTATAATAAAAAAATTTATAGTCATGTTAGACAGTACATATATGAAACAAAAATAGTAGAGCAAATAACATCACTTTACATTTTTTAATTTTGTCTTAAGGGTATAAAAAGTTTTTGATCTATAATTAAAAAATCGTTCAAGCTTTTATTTTTTGTTACAATCAATTAATTTATTCAATATTTATTTACATTGAATTAAGTATTTATTTGGATAAAAAAATAAATACAATTAATTTTTTATCAGTTAAAATAAAATTTCATATCACATTAATAAAATAAATAAAAATTTATCACGTGATATAATTAATGATTTAATTGAGTTAAAATAAAAAATTAATGATTTAATTGATTATAATAAAATATTAAAAACTTAAATTATTATTAATCTATGAGTATTTTTTATACTTTAGCATTATATTTTTTTTTACAAAGACTACACCAATTGGTCCTGATTTATTGTTTTCTAATATCAACTAGTTGTTTTAACTTCTACTTTACAAAATATAGATCTATATATATAGATATAAATCTATAAATTCGTAAGTTCTCTTTTAGTGTCTAATTTTCTATATATATATATATATATATTGTGGCACTAAACTTTGAGGTTTATTTGAATTATTCCTAAATATAATTTGAATGTTGTTTTTATTTTTTTATTTTTTGTATATTTAACTTAAAAATAAAATATAGAAATCATAAATACTATTACTTTATGTATGCATAAAATGAAATATTTATTTTTAAAAACATTATTAATCCATAAAAATACTGATTATGTAGTGCTATATTAAAAATAAAAAGTTAAAGCTACTGGCGAAGGGAGGAAGGAAAGTAAATAGTTGTTGTGCCGATGTGAGAGCCTTCTGGCACACTCCAATTTCATCACAGCCAGCTTTCAGGCTCAGTGTCATGGTCAGGTATTGGTGTACCTCGAACTTGTCATGACTGATCTTAAGTTGAGTAGCAGACAAGATTTTGTGATCAGGACAGTGGTCTTGAAGTTGTGCACCGGTAGTGTAAGCCTGGGACCATGTTGTTGATAATATGCGCAGACAAGTGCAAGCCAATGGGGGGCACTTTAAAGTCGGATAGTCAGCCAAGTGTTGTCGATCAAAGTCGTGCGCAAACACCTTCGAGTGGAATACTGAAATTATGATGATTAAGATGAAAGTCATTAGGCTTGAGTAAGGTGAAAAAAGGCTTTGAGATGGTTGGAAAAAAATGTATTCGTATTTCATAAAGTCTTACGATTTTTGGTAGTATAGCTATAAAATCTTTTATGCTTTTTGTAAAGGGATGATTGTTATTGGCTAACGGGCAGGGAGACTTGATTAGTTAGAAGTGAACTACTCATATGCACAAATTATGTTTGGGTAGATAGATATCGTAGGATCGCGAGTGTGACACGATATCTATTTTCGAAGACAATTGGGTTCGGTGGACCTCATATGGTGCCTTTACGTTGAACATGGGGTTAGACAATAATATTTGCTAGGACCTTTGGTTTCCTTTTCTTTAGACAAAAGGATCATGAGATGATATTTGTATAAAGACACCATCGAGCTTAAGGGATGAGTGGGCTAATAGGTAGGCATGTTACTAAACCTTTGTAGTCAATTGGTAGAGGTGTGTTGTGGCTGAAGTAACACACCCAAGTCCTTAAGGCGGGATGGGTATGATGTCGAGTGTTCATCATGAGTGCAAGCAATTTAGAATGAGGTTAAGGGTTGAGACTTTGGGATATGAGTTTCTTAAGACGAGACAAGCCTAGTGTGACTTCGGGCTGGCTACTGATCAACATTTGTGTTGTGCATTTAGAATCTAGGCATGACAGCTTGCGGATGATCTGAGTAGACATAGTGTCGGGTTATCACCATATCAGATCATGATAATATTATGATAACCAAAGTTGTGTGCCCTTAAGTCAGACGAATCGATACTTGGGATCTTAATGACTACAGATAGAGACAGATGCTAAGGATTACTTTAAGAATCATGAGTTGATGAGTTGAGGGGAATTAGATTCTTTCTTTAAGAATGTATGATCTTACAGGGATGAATCGGAAAAGACTTATAAGCAGGTAGCTTGAATGATAGATATTGAAGTGATACATGAGAAAATTGATTCACAAAAGGTTAACCTCAATTATAAATAGTACTGATATTATACATATACATAATTTTAATATAAGGAATGCATGATCTGAGACATTTAGCATTTTGAGCTTTGACCCTATTCAATATTTAGTCATCAAGATTTTGGCCCGTATCACTTATCATTAGCGATGGCAACGAATCGGGTCAGGACGCGTTTTTACTCGCCCCGAACTCAACCTGATATATAATATCGAGTTGGATCAGATTTGTCTAAAACCTGAACTCGACCTTTCTTTAACGTTACTCAACTTAATCCGAAATTTGATTTAAAAAAAAAAAAATCGATCCTATAAAATTGGATCAAATCAATACCCGTTGAGTATAGATTAAGTTGCCCACCCTACTTATCATCTGCTTATCAATTTATAGTAACTAATATAATTTCACAGTTTCACTCCCCTTGGTTTATACAGCTATAAAATCTATGAAATTCTAATAATATAAAAATCGACTCTAAAGTTTCGATCGTGGAAATATCTCGTGAGCATTTTACTTACAATAATTATAATATAATTAATTAATTAAAATGTAAAATACGTTAAATTTATAAAAATTTTATGTAAATTTTATATATATAATTGATAAATTTTTATATATTTTTTATTATAATTGAATAATTATAATATTAAAACAAAAAGAATTATGCGTAATATAGGATGCGCCGGTTACTTGCAGGCAGTGCCCTCGTTTCACTTTCAACCACGTTTTGGTTTTTACTCTCTCTCTCTTCTTGGCCGAGAGAAAAAAAAATCTCTACTATGTAAACACAAGAGAAACATTTCTGAATACTATCTGATTATTCACTGTCAGATCTATTCTTCGACACCAAAGGGAAAATTGATAGACGCACAAAGTATTCAGGCTGGAGCAATTAAAGACGATTGGTAGGGAGCTCGCTATGGGCTCCCAAGGCGGATTCTATCAGTCCAAAGAGTTTCTGGATCTGGTGAAGTCCATCGGCGAGGCTCGATCCAAGGCCGAGGAAGACCGAATTGTTCTCAACGAGATCGAGACTCTCAAACGCCGCATATCGGAGCCCGACATCCCCAAACGCAAGATGAAAGAGTACATCATCAGATTGGTTTACGTGGAGATGCTCGGTCACGATGCTTCCTTCGGTTACATTCACGCCGTTAAGATGACTCACGATGATAGTCTTCTCGTCAAACGAACTGGTTACTTGGCTGTTACGCTCTTCTTGAATGAAGATCATGATTTGATCATTTTGATTGTCAACACCATTCAGAAGGATTTGAAGTCTGACAATTTCTTGGTGGTCTGCGCCGCCTTAAATGCCGTTTCTAAGTTGATCAATGAGGAGACAATTCCTGCCGTATTGCCGCAGGTCGTGGAGTTGCTTGCCCATCCTAAGGAGGCTGTACGGAAGAAGGCCATCATGGCTCTCCATCGCTTTTATCAGAAATCCCCCTCTTCTGTCTCTCATCTTGTCTCCAATTTTCGCAAGGTATGTCTTCCCCATTTTGCTTTTACTATTTATTTATAGGTTTTAATATAATTTTATCATTGATGCACTTTGATATAATCAGCTTGCAATGCAACTATGTCTCTGTGTATTCACCCTATAGCCTTTATGAAATCCAAATAGCATCTTGTTTCTGTGCATGTATGTGAGTGATGTGTAGATATGAATACTACAGATGGCAATTTTGCTGCTTTTCTTCTTCATTTTTGGGTTAGTTTTCGAATGATCATTTTGCAGTAGTTGCATACAAACTAGCATGACTAGGCGTGTCTTATGTAATGATTTCAAATTTATCAATAAATAAGAGGAATTTCAAGCTCATTAACCAACTGCTAACCTGTTGTTCGATAACTCACCCATGGTTCAAAACTAAAACCACAAATTCTCAAATACCAACTATTGCAGAATGACCTCTATTAAAGGAAGGAAAAAAAAGGGGAAATAGAGTGAAATGTATTTAAAAGAATGGTATCCTGCAAGTTCTTGATATGTTTTATTACTATTTCCACTTTTATGAAGGTTTCCATTTTAAAATATATGCCTTGAGAAGTTGAAATACTCATTCGAAAATGACAATTTAATCTTGATATATTTGATATTTGATGTTTCTCCATATACTTTTCTTGAGGAACATTCACTGTATCATTTATCTACTTATAATGTGGCTTCCTTTGTTTCAGAGGCTTTGTGATAATGATCCCGGAGTTATGGGTGCAACCCTTTGTCCGCTTTTTGATCTTATAACAAGAGATGTTAATTCTTACAAAGATTTGGTCATTAGCTTTGTAAGCATTCTTAAACAAGTGGTTGAACGCAGAGTACCAAAGGCTTATGATTACCATCAGATGCCAGCTCCTTTTATTCAGGTAATGCTTATTTTTAGGTTACTTAAGCACCCAGTGAATTAATTTTTCAATTGAAAATGTAGGTCATATGACAGTCATAGTTGCATTGTGCAGATCAAATTGCTGAAAATTCTGGCATTGCTTGGAAGTGGCGACAAGCAATCAAGTGCAAAAATGTATACTGTAGTGGGAGACATATTCAGAAAATGTGATTCATCAAGTAATATAGGAAATGCTATACTTTATGAGTGCATATGCTGTGTTTCCTCTATATATCCAAATCCCAAGTTATTAGAGTCTGCGGCAGATGTTATATCAAGATTTTTAAAGGTATATCTCATGTAGCTATTGCCTACTTTGTGGAATTCAGAGAGTTATTGTCGAGGAGCATTATGAATTTTGTTTTGCAACTTTAGTGGATCATGCCAGCTCTTTTTTCTTGTTGGCAGAGTGACAGTCATAACCTAAAGTACATGGGCGTTGATGCTCTTGGCCGATTGATAAAGATAAGTCCTGAGATTGCTGAGCAACATCAATTGGCTGTGATTGATTGCTTAGAGGTGAGAAGTTTCTAGTGTTCATTTCACTTTTTTATTTGATTATGTTATCTATGAACAAACTTCAGGATATTTTAATATGATGTAAGTTGTGGAGGCTTGGAGCTATGTATCTATTTTCATATGGCTTGCCCTATATGGTCTGTTTTAACACTTATTTGGTTCTTTTAAATGGGTAAAAGGGTAGAAGCAGGAGCATTGAAGATTGCTAGATGAGATTTAGAGGAAAGTGAGTAGAATGCTCTTTGAAAATTCTAATCCATCTGTCTTCTAGTGTCATAAAATGTTGACCAACAGGGAAGCATGTGAGAAAAGAAGCTGTTTTGAATCCTAATAATCTGTGTTAGGTTTTCCTGAATAGCCTTTAATAATTTGATAGTGGATTTGTGAGACCTCCGATGGTCTAGGTCTGATACGATTGAGCCTTAATTATATGTTTGTTTGCCGAACAAAATTTGTCAATTTTATTTTCGTTTCATCTTACTTAAGTGCGGGTATCTCAGTGATTTTCATTTGGCCAAAGGCAGTTCGCTGGACTTGAGTAACCTATGAGTCTTGTTTTAGAGCATGTAACACTCCTTGTTTGTGGTTGAATATTGATTTTATAGTTCAAAATGCCCTTTCTATCCATGCTTTAATGTGAATGATGTACTTATGTATGTTGTAGCAGAATGATTTATCGGTGTTAATTCCTTAAGCGTCTATCTGTGCTTGTGGTTTTGGTTTGGCTGCTAAATACTTAGTGAATGATTTTGCCTCTTCATTTTGCTATCTGCCATGCAACCATTATTTTGCCATTACAATTATTTAACATGAGTGCATGACACAGGACCCAGATGACACTCTGAAGAGAAAAACATTTGAACTACTGTACAAAATGACCAAGTCTACAAATGTGGAGGTTATTGTTGATCGTATGATTGATTATATGATTAGCATTAATGATAATCATTATAAAACTGAAATAGCATCTCGATGTGTTGAACTTGCTGAGCAATTTGCACCGAGCAATCGTTGGTTCATCCAGGTAATAATTTGCCTTCCATTGACCAATTTAGTTTCTTAGCTTAGAATGCAACCATTCCTGATAATTTTACCCCGCAGACCATGAACAAAGTTTTTGAGCATGCGGGAGATCTGGTGAATATTAAGGTAGCACATAATTTGATGCGGTTGATTGCGGAGGGATTTGGAGAGGATGATGATACTGCAGATAGTCAACTGAGATCATCTGCTGTAAGTTATTTACTTATTTTGAAGACTGCTTTTGTATGCACGCGTGCAGCCCATTGTCTTTTGGTGTATGTCAAATTCATGCATCATATGAATTAACTAAATATTTAACATGTTGTATCTGGTTTGTTCTTCTTTATCTATGTATTTAATTAATGATGTTTCAATTTGAGTCTGAAAACAAAAAAAAAAAAAAAAAACCACTCCTGAAAGCTTGAAACCTTGGATTTTTTTATACCTTGTGCTTTTTCTATTTTGTTAATGAAATGAATTGAATTTCTTATTGATACCTGCAGTCAGTTTTTAACAAATGAAAATTAATGCACTTACTTCAATAAATTTTAAAGTCAAGTGTAGCCAAGACAATCAATTAATTTTATACTGTGCAAAATAAGACTAGCTGAAATGAAAATGTTGAATGTGTAACTGAAACCTCTAAGATATAGCACAAGCTTGAGTAACAGGTCTAGTTTATATGGGCATGCCATGCCAATAAGTTTTAAGAACCTATGAGTATATGGGGGATTTAACAATCAATTGGAACATCATGTTATGAAAATAGTTTTACCTCATAAAGGCTTTGATAGTACTATAGAAAAATACTGGAGCTTAAAGTCTAGATCTTGACAAATGGATGCATCAAGTGGGTTGAATTTGATCAGAGGGCTTCAACTGAAAGCTATGTCTGGAGGTGGAAATCTTTTGCAAATATTAGATACCTAGACATATTTTTTGGAATTTCATTGCAAATTCAAATTGTAATGTCTTATGATGCATTTACAGTCTCACATGTAAATTATGCTGCAGAAAGGGGCTGAAGTCAGAAATATAGTACTCCGTATAATACATATCCATTATTCTTTATCTGATTGTTGAATGAAGGTTGTATGTGTTGTAACTTAATTAATTCGTCAGGGTTTTTTGTTTATGTTTTAACATCTATCAGCCAAAAGCGACTTTTTCACCCTTCTGAGTTCATCTGTATTCTAGCTTTAATCTTTTTTTGTTCCTTTTTCTTTATGTTAAATTGGAATGATTACTTTCTGGGACAGGTGGAGTCATACTTGTGCATTCTTGGTGAACCAAAGTTGCCATCTGTTTTTCTTCAAGTATGTTCTCCTTTATCCTTTCTATCATTTGTTCCTTGTATGTGGGCAGTACTAAATTTTTTATTATTAACTTAATTGTGAGTTCTGATTTCAGGTAATTTGTTGGGTCTTGGGAGAATATGGAACCACTGATGGAAAGTTTTCTGCTTCCTACATTATTGGGAAGTTATGTGATGTGGCAGAGGCATATTCTAATGATGAGACTGTTAAGGTATCAACTAATATGAACTAATGAATCTTAAACAAGTTTTTTCCACTTCTTGATGCAGTTAAACAACATGATTGTATGTTGACTATTCTCGTAGTTATCTGAAAATACCATTTTTAATTTTTATAATATTATATTGTCCATTCAATATCCAAAAATGTGATAATGTTTCACTTATTTTTTAAGGCATATGCAGTTACAGCTCTCATGAAAATACATACATTTGAAATAGCAGCTGGGAGGAAAGTAGATATGCTGCCTGAGGTTCGCTTCCAAACACTTGAGGACAAATTTGTTATATGCAAATGCATGCTCATTTCTGTTGTTGATGTGGTTGAGTATTTGCATCCCTTGGTAATTTTTTTGTTAGGTTGCATGTTTTTAGCGCAACATTCTGAAAATAATTTAAACTAGCTGTGTTTGCTTTTCATGTATCTGACTGATGCTGAACAACATGCTTTGAAACTAGATCTTAGGCTTTTGCACTATTTTCACATACTGGAATTGGGGGTTAGGATTTGTAAGTTAGTAATAAGATTATAGTTTTTTATTATGAAGAAGGCTTGCTTTTGGTTGTTTGGTTGCCCAAAAACAGAAAATTTAAGTACTGTAATCCTCTCAACATTACCTTGCAATGGCTTTTAAACAAATTAGGAGTCTGATTGTTTGGAGGTATTAGAGATTTGAAAGTAGGGATGCTAGAGTTTGGTATGGTTAATCAAGTCATTGATGTTATCTTGAGAAGCAAAAAGATAGAAAGAAGGAAACATGAAATCTAGACCTCGTAGCTATAGTTCCTAGGTAATTACATGTAGCAAACCCATAAGGTGAACTTAAAGTTGTCTTAGCATGTTGAAGTGTATCCAATGAAGTAAAATAGACTTCTTTATGCATAGGCTGCTTGGAAATCGTTTTCTTCACAGTAAAATAACTTGGAATAAGCAAATAACTGAAATTAAGGAAAGTTCGACCCTAGTTACCGTATGAAAATAAGACACCTCTTAGTCTCTTTTCATATGATTTGGCAATGGTGAAAATAACTCAGGCTTGAGGTTGAGTTTCAGATTGGTTGTTTGTGTTTTCATTTTCTCATTGAATTGAATGTGAACTTCAGTTCGATAACAATGATATCTTTCTCGTAGCAGCAACTGTAGTTTTTAGAAGAGATTCTATTGTTTAAATTTCTAATTTCTATCTCTGGGTTATATTTGAATAGAAAGGACATGGAAGTTATAATTAAGCTACCATTTAATAGGTTGTTGTGATGGTGAGATAATGATGGGTGTGAAAAAGAGTTATGGTTCTCAAAGTAACAGTTTTTATTTTATGGAAATATACGAATAAGATCTGCATTGGAGATTCCTCAAGTGGTCAAAATTAAGGATGGTAGGGTAAAGGGTAAGCTGGCACCAGGTTGGGCTAGGGAGTGAGAACAATATGTGCAGGAATAAGCTTTTGATGCTTTGGTATTCAGGAATAAGAATTACAAGGTGCATTTTTGCAGTTGGTGATGCCAATTGTGCTGGGTGCTGGTAGGGTGGAGATCGCTGCAAATTTCTTGTAACTGGATAGTGATAGATCTGTCGGTGACATAATTAATTTTGGGATGGGAATTTCATTTTAATGCTTACTAGCTCCAGTAAAAGCTAGATTCACTTTGATGGAAGGCACATGATAAATTTTGGGATGGGAATTTATTTTTAATGCTTACTAGCTCCAATAAAAGCTAGATTCACTTTGATGAAAGGCCTTGTTATAAATGCCTGAATATATAGTGCTTGCATGAGTAATTATATTAAGCTCTTGTAAGTCTAACAGAATTTGTGGACTGATTGCTGTTTCCTCTCTTGATGCAGTGTCAATCTTTAATGGAAGAATTATTGGCTTCTCACTCAACAGATTTGCAGCAACGTGCCTATGAACTGCAAGCAGTGATTGGCCTTGATGCTCATGCTGTTGCGTGTATTATGCCATCAGATGCAAGTTGTGAAGACATTGAGGTGCTTTTTCTTTTTGGCCAATATTGAGGTGTTTTTTAATTGCATTCTTTTTGTTTAATTTGGTTTTGATGTACAGGTTCTCATTTTATGTGACACCTCTGATATCTCCTACTTCAATTTCCTTATAGTGTCTTGTTTTAACTTCTGTGTCTTTCTAGTCTGTGTTCCAAATTCTCTGAAAGTCTTATGTTTATGAAACTGCTGCCCTTCCTGTTTGTTTAGTTACATATATTGAAGCTTCCATGGCCTAATATTCAGTCTGATAAAGCATCTAGGACTTAAACTGGTCCGTTCCACTCTGGTGGTAAGTGCATTGCTTGAAGTTGTCATTTAGAGTGCTCTAATGTCTTCACTTCTTTAGTTTACAATTAAACATTATTCTCCTTGCTTCTCGAATATATAGTGGTACTTGCTTTAATTGTAAATTTTGTTATAAAGAAAGATTAATACTGTTGCCTCATGTATTTGTTGTCTGCTACCGCATGGATATTTCTTGTTGAACAATCCCAATAGTTATTCATTACTGAAATTGCACTGCTATTGTGTTGGCTCTTCTATGAGTGAGATAATGTTTTTACAAGTAGGTTGGCTTAAAATTTACTCCCATTTTGAAAATTGACTCTTTTGTGACAGAAATTACTTAATATTAATTTTCCTTGATTTGGGAGTTCGTTGAATTAACTTTATGACATAAATCAATTGATCTGTATATGTTCTGTTGAAATTTTTTTGGGAGCTTCACAAGATTATAACATATACCTGTGCTAGGTTAATTGATCGATGTTTAAACCTTAGCTTTCTACAAAAGCCAGGGTCCATTTGTAGGTTAAGATCATTTTGCATTAAACTATAATTAGCATGCTTATGATGGCTATTTTTCTTTTTAATTCCTTGTGTGTTCTGTCAACCGCATCATGGTGGAACATTGTTTTCTAATTTATATATATTTTCATGCAAGAGTCTCCTTGCAGGTTGATAAAGGGCTTTCATTCCTTAATGGTTATATCCAAGAGTCAATAGAAAAAGGCGCTCAGCCCTATATTCCTGAGAGTGAACGCTCTGGAATGTTAAATATCAGCAATTTTAGGAGCCAAGATCACCATGAAGCTTCATCACATGGTCTCAGGTTTGAGGCGTATGAGCTTCCAAAGCCGATAGTGCAGTCTAAGATTCCTCCAGCATCACTTGCTTCAACTGAACTTGTTCCGGTGCCCGAGAAAATGTATCCTAGGGAGAGCTACCAGACTACTGTGCCTTCTGTATCATCAGATGCAGGACCTTCAGAGCTCAAGCTACGACTAGATGGAGTCCAAATGAAGTGGGGTAGACCAACATTTTCTCCTGCAACATCTACCTCAAATTCTACTATTTCACAGAAAACAGTTAATGGGATCACACAAGTTGATGGGGCAAGCACTGCAAATTCAAGAACACGTGAAACTTATGATTCAAGGAAACCACAGGTTGAAATTTCTCCAGAAAAGAAGAAACTTGCTGCTTCACTGTTTGGAGGTTCATCAAAAACAGAAAAGAGGGCAGCTACTGGTCATAAGATTTCTAAGTCAAGCAGCCACATGGTGGAGAAGTCTCATGTGCCAAAGTCTAGTATGGAAGTTGCATCAGAAAAGACACCTCCTGTTCAACAACCTCTGGACTTGCTTGATTTGGGGGAACCAACTGTCACAAGTACTGTTCCTTCCGTAGATCCATTTAAACAATTAGAGGGCCTTGTTGACACAACTCAGGTTGCTTCAGCTGTAAATCATGGTTTGACTGCTGCTGCCAAGTCACCTGATATAATGGCATTGTATTCAGAGACACCTGCAGACGGTGATCTTTTATCTGGCGTGTTAAATCCTTCAATGACAAACATGCCTGGTGGCACCACAACGAGGCAATCAATGCCACGTAGTAAGGGCCCCAACCCTAAAGATTCCTTGGAAAAGGATGCACTGGTTAGGCAGATGGGTGTGACTCCGGCAAGTCAGAATCCAAACTTGTTTAAAGATCTACTTGGCTGAAGTATATTTGAAGTATTTACGGCTATCAAATTTCAGTGTGGTTTTTCATACAGCTGGACAGTTGATTGGTGAATCATAGGAGCTATAAGCTATTATGAGCAGACATGCAGAGATACTGGTAGAAATTTGATCCAGCCACCTGGAATGGGATTTAAAATCCAGATATGGGTCTGAAGTTGTTGGAGAGTAGAGTTTTTTGGTTTTTTTTGTTGTTGTTGTTGTTGTTGTTTTCATAGGAAATAGCACAACACGGGTGTTTTGTTGAGTGTTTTGCCTGGGGAGCTTTTCGTGGCTGTTCCAACTTCCAATTGCCTCATGCCCAAAGACGGAGGGTTTGCCAAGCGCGCTTGCCCGCTTTTTCACTGTATGCTGTTGAGTCTCTTGTTGTTATAATAATGCTGTATAAATAGTACTATAATAAATGGTCTCCGTTCTTCTTTTGGATGTTACATAATTTTTTTTTTTTTGGGAAGACTTAAATATGTCCTTTTGTTTGGCATCTCAAGAATTTTGATTCCATACTCTGATTGGTTAATGCTTGGGAAAGGCAAAGACGAGGCTGAAAAAGTATATTTTTGTTTGGCCAGTCAAAAGAATATTCCTTTGTGCACATGCTGATTCATTGACATAGGTAACCGCTTTTAAATTTAAATCTCCACTCTTTAAATAATAATATCAATAATATTTCCACGTAAGTTTTGTTTTTTGTTTTTTTTATAAAAAAGTCATGTTCTCATTTGCAACAATTTGTTTTTTTTTTTTTTTTAAATTGATTTAGCCTTAATACAAAAAAAATTTTGGTATGATTAAATCAATATATTAAAAAAAAAAACTAATACTAGTATTATACTAGTAGTTTAAAAAAAGCTTGATGCCTTTTTTTTTTAATCTTCGTAATAAAACTGAAAAGCAAATAAAAAGTTTTTAAACCCTCCTCGATTTGAAATGTCAGATATTTATAGAGAAAGGATAGCGGGTACTAGATCTCTCTCTCACTAACACAGTAACACTGGGGGCTGTCTCTCTTTCTCGTGGCCAATGCGGAGGAAATTCCAAAATTTGAACATTGAATTGGCTGGGAACTAGAAAGCGTGCCCTTTACTCTTCAATTTTGGTTTGTGTTTGGTTGCTTATATTGTATCCAAGAAGAAGAAGAAGATGGGTAGCAGAAGTGACGATGGGGCTCCTTCGATGACAGGAAGGAGGCAATCCGATTTGAAAAAGTCTTTCAACCTCGCTGTTCGCTTTATTCTCACTACCTGTCCTAAACAGGTTAAGTTACCTTTGTTTTTTTCTTTTTTTTTTTTGAGAAATTTTCATTTTAAAATTTGTCTTAATGACAATGTGGCGACTTTTAAATGGTTTTTTATTGTAATTATAAAGGAATTTAGCAAAGCATTTCCAAATTTTACAAGTTCCGAGCAAGAACGTCTTCACCAGCGTTTTATTCAGGTACTTTATATATATATATTCTTATAATGCCATGTCAATAGTTTATATGCATTTTGTATTTCAGTATTATCTGGGCTTACCTTATTATTTAGACAAACTCCTTACTAAAAAGGTATTCTACTTCTCATAAATCTAAAAGAGGAAAGCTATTAGAATTATATATTTCAACACTATCTGAAAGATGTCTTTTCTTCATTTTGGCTGCGGTCGGTCTCCTTTGTGTTCAAGCTTTTAACTAACACTTGTTCTTGGTGCTATGCAAAACTTTCAGGTCATTACCTCTTTGCATGGGAATATAGAGGTACCTATACATTACCCTTTGCTTATCATGCCTTCTTAACTCTTTTAACTAACATTTATTATTGTTATAGTTAACTGCCCCCTTTTTTTTCTTTAGGTTATGCAAAACATTCACTCCTGCCAAGTTTTTTTGGCCTAGTGCTTTCACCCATACAGGCTTCAGTTTGCATTGCAATGAGAACTGCTATCAACTCTGATGCATTGCTTAAATAATTATTTATAGTAACAGAAATTAGGCCGGTTTTCTCTGCTGAATTGTGGAATTAAATAGTTAACTGCATACAATGATAATATAAAGAATGAATGTTGATATAACGTAGGTATCTTCATATAAAAGTTGATGGAAGTTTCAGGATAATTTTACTTGAGTCATTACTTTTCTCTAAATGACCACCTGAGGTGCCTAGTTGAGCAACTTTGCAGCCAAGAGGATTGTGTTAATTTTATCTTCTGTTCCGCTTAGTTCTTTTAGCATTATATTGTATAATGCCTTATTTCTAATTTTACCTCTTCAATGTTACAGGATGAATTTGAGTCTTTATGCCTTGACACACAGGTATGCCCTTTTATAATAGCTACCGATCTGGTTGTTTCATTTATATCAGTTTATTAAACAACTGATGTAGGTTTTATTTCATCTTTTGAATATGGGTACATGTCAAGTAAAATCTGGGGGAGGGAAAGCACTTATGTGAAGTCTATGATAGCAACCAACGTAGTTAGTTAAAGTGAGTCAGGAAAGGTTATAGCATCACTTAAAATATGTTGTTGAAGGTTTGGAGCCCTTATTCTAATGCTCCGCCCCTTCTATCTCTCTCTCTCTCTCTCTCTCACTCTCTCTCTCTCTTTTCTTTTCTTTTCCAAACAATTTAGCCTAAACATTTTATTTGGAATTATTAAGCTTCAAAGCTTATATAAATCTTGCCATCTGTCTATTTGCAAAAGAAACAAGACTATCTTGTGGACTAAAAAAAATGGAGACAGAAAGATCGGGCTCTGGTATCATAAGTATTCAATATAAAAAGTCAATTGCTAGAATGATTTTAAATATAGGGCCACAACAAATCCCAAACTTGACCTAAATGGGACAGCCCCACTTAGTATTCATGATTGTCTATATAAAATTCAATTTGCTGACTATTTTATTGCATTGCATTGGTGTGCATCTATCATACTCCTTTTATGCAGGTGACCTTGAATTTTTAAGTTTCTTTGTTTTATAGGTAGGAACTGCCCTTGATACTTTGGAGAAACTAGTGGAAGAACGATGTCTTGACCCTTTGTTTTCAGATAAGTAGGTATCATCTGGTTTCTAAGATTGTTTGAATGTTAGGTGGTTAACTGATAACATTGGGTTACATTTGTATTCAATCCTATTTCAATATATGCAGTTTCAAATTGAATTGTCATAGATTTGAATCATATTAGCTTCTGTTTTCAAGTTATATATGTACTACTTGAACTAAGTATTCAAATATTGTTGAACAAATTATAATTAAGGCTTATAAACCTGAAGGACATTATATACACTGGAAATATCTTGGATACTAGGCTTGTCAGGAAAGGCTCAAGTAAATTAGCTGACAGAATTGAGAAACCATAAACAATTCTATCTGCATTTGTTTATCAACCTTCAAAGGCCACAGAGTTCTATCAGTTGTTGCCTGTCAAAACAAGCCCTGTCTTGTTGCTGCCACTTCATGCAATTATTCTTGATAGTGCATCAACTCCTGTTTAGATTAGGATCCACAGTTGGATGGGAACTAGGGAAGCAAGTTAGTGTTGACAGATTTCAAACAATCGGACAATTGTCATTGATACTGTTGCTTATTTTACTGGAATGAACCCCATGATCAAAAAGTGGTCCTAAACATGTTAAATTTTAGCATTTGTTTAGGAAAAAAGATGATAAATGAAGACAAGTTAGATTGTTCTTTTGTTTTTCTGCTGTAGTTATGGTTCAGATTATCCCTAAAGCTGCTGAGAACCTCAGATTGCTGAGTCTCTCAGCTTTATACCAGAACAAAACGCTTTTTACATTTAATACCAGTGAGTTATGTTGCCTGTCTTGATTATTGTTCCTTCTTGTATTATTTTCACTCCAATACCATGTTGTGTATTCACATGGAACCATGTTGGTTGCACTTCTTTCATTTGAACTGGTGAGGAGTTTGAATGCAGGACTAATGTAATGGATGCAGTGCACAATATTTAAACAGCAAAAAAAGCTGAGATCCAGTACTTAAGGGGCCTCCTGGAAAGGGTAAGAAATGAACTCAAAGTTTTTCTATTTTAAAGTTCCTTAGTTGGCGATTATAAGCTTTTTCTCTTTTTCAGTCTATATCCATGTTCTCACTATAATTTTTGTACTTAAAAGTATGAACAGAGCTAGGTAAGCCATCAAATTAGTCATACAAAAAGTTTGTGGACTGTTTTCAGATTAAGTAGAACTCTGTGTTCTGGGGGGTTATAGACTTGGTTTGCAGTTTAGCTGAAATTGTGTGTTATGGCCTACCCTCGTTAATTTTGCTTTGTTCTAATCGATAGATTAGAAACATTGGAAAGTTATGGCGTCTTATTATTTCCAATTTGTTTATAGGCTGAAAAACATAATAGTCTCATCCAAGCTCAGGTCGAGCTACTTAAGAATAAGACACAAGAAGTCTTGACTCTTGAGCACGACAGATGTTGAGAAGGTGTGTATTTCACGTTATGAATATTTCGTCTCCTTTCCAAAGGAATGTACTTGTTGACGTATGGGCTTGAAGCCATGTGCTTGATAGCTAATTTAACTTGGGAAAATCTAATCTCAATTGACCTAGTGCAACTTTTGCAGTTAAGATGTGGCATTTTAAGTTAAGGGGAAAATAAAATGTTTGGCTTTAATGATCTGTAATTGATGGGCTAAAATGTTAGCTTCCACTGCACCGACTAGCTGCATGGATAGGTTAATAAGACCAACTTGTACTGAGATATTAAAACCTTGAGTTTGTTTGCATGTAAGTTGTTCTTGTCAGAATGGAGTGAAGTGCTGATTGTTTTACACAGTTTGAGCATGGAAAGATGCTTTTATATTTTGAATTTGAAGGACTCTTGTCAACAAGACTGGAGGGTTTGGATTCGTCATATTTTTCATAGAAGGTGTCGAGTACTACTTTGAAATATCTGGAATCAATGAAGTAGTAATAAATATTTTATTCTGAATATGAAGTTGAATGTTGGCAGTGGCACGTCCTTGATCTGAGCTTAAACATAAGGCTACATAACTGTTTGACCTGCCTTTGATATTCAAATTAGAAAATTATTATTAGTGTGATGCTCATCTACAAGCTTTTGAATATCCTCCCATTATAACATACAAGTATATAACATAATACCATAGACTAGATAGTAAGACCAAGAATCAATGAAAATGGTATTTATGTGCTGAGTTGGATTGATATGACATCTTCTTTTCTCTTGCCCTTGCTCCTTCTGCTCTTCTGTTGGTTGGATAGGGTAGACACAAATGCCACGCTGCCTCTCAAGCTTACTATTGGAAAGAATGGGACCTTTAATTTTGCTCATTCCATTTAATTACTTTATCATTTTTGGCCGCCATTTTTGTGGAGATAGGGAGCTAAAGCCTAAAGGGGGTCAAATATTGAGGAAAGGGATCCCAAAATTCAATCTTGTCGCTGCTGCTGGCTTACAATTCCAAAGTACATCGTGCCATTGGGTGACATGACAGAGATAATTGTCTCAATATTTTTCAATCTATGAAACAACTCATCCCACGACCTAATACTCGATGTTAACTTGAGGGTTTTTTTTTTTTGGTCAGACTTGTACTGATTCATTCATGATGAATCATACTTAATGACAATCTGTATTGAGACGATTTTCTCTCAAAGGTCATTTCTGAAAGTTATCAGCAACGTTGAATGATATTGATTTTTAAAATTTATAAATTGAAACTAGTTCAGCCTTTTGCGTAATTTAATTAACAAGACATTGATTTTTCAAATCACATTCTTGAATGGCTAAGTTGTATTTATAGGATATTAAGATGGAATAAGTTGGACGATTCAAATAGAGATACTATTAATTCATATAAGAAAATAGGAAATCAGAGGGCATAAATTTAATTTAATTGTTCCGTGCGGATATATGATATAATCTCCCGACGATGACATCAAGTAACAAGGGAAGGACACGTGCTTATGTTATGAGAAACGGAGATCCCAAAGTCAGAAGTTTTGGCTAAGATTTTAAATTTCAAGATATGGCAAGTCAAAAGCAGGAGCTGTTGCCATTCTTTGTAATAATAACGATCATTGAAAATGACCCTTCCCTTTAAATAATGTAAAATATGCAAAGCAAGAATCTAAAGCGTTGATTTTTAGTTTTAATGACTAAAATTTTAAATTTTAATTACTATTAAATTTGAAGATTAAATTTTAACATTTGTCATTTATTTTCATATTTAAAATTATGATCTATTTTACATAAAAATTGCAAAACAAAAATTTTTAAATTGTTAAAAGTAAATTTTTTTTTTTTTGTTTTCATTAGTTTCGAAAATATATTTCCATTTTTTTATATTGGTCATAAGTCACTACGATTTCTTGAAATTTATTTAGACGGTGGCATTTCCTTTATTCCCTACTTGTTAGTCTTGATCAGCAGTTTTACTCTTAAACGAAAACGATAATCACAATTTCCTTTGTCCTTTTCCGAAAGGGATTAAAAGAAAAAAAAAGGTTAAAGAGAAGCACCTTTTAAAACACTAAATTCCAATTTTAAACAGGCTAAACATGTTGAAATTTGTAGTAGATATGTATCTCATTGCAGTATTTGTTTGAAAGTAAAATGTGGAAGCAACTGGAAAGCAATATATACTGTGCACGATCTTACAAAAGGAGATTATTTAGTTTTCTGATGATGATTAGAAATTCGTACCCATTTCGAGCAAATGAATTTATTTCTGTCTGAGGATTGAGAATAATATATTATTGTGAATGAGGATGTTGCATGCAGGCAGAAGAGCAATCTCACTTTGAACCTCAAATTTCTCCTTTACTAACAAGATTATTGTTCTTGAATTCTCAAAAAATAAATTCCTTTGCATTTGGACAACAGTTTTAGTTTAGTAGTTTTAAGAGCTGTCTCATTCATACCAAACATCAACAGTTGTTGAAGACATACGCTATCAAATTCATCCTTCCAAGTTTAAAAAGTTCATGAGTTCCATCACAACCGAATAAAAACTAGTCACATGATATATTTTATTTTCTATTTCTTTTTTTGCCTTGCGGACTTACAAAAACAATCCCTTCGAGGATGAACAGACGTGAAAATCATTGATCATTTTACTGGATTTTTATTTCCTTCTTTTCTATGAGTTGGAAAAGAATAAACAGAATTTCTTTTCCCTTTTTTTTTTTTGGGTGTTATGAGATGAGTTCTGAGACCCTTCTGTACGTTTGGAGGTGGTTGGTTTCCTAATCTTAAGTTTCTTCTTTTGGGGTATTCTTTTGGACAAAAAGAGAGAAAGCTCAACGCCTTTTGGCTTTGCACCTTCTTTGCTTCATCCTATCTAACAACTTGTAAGCCTGCTCTTTCTTTTGCGAGTTGTTGAGTTGAGGCTACTATGATTTTTTGATTAGTCTGATGGGCAAACCATTCTGGGGAAGAGCAAAAGGACCATACTGAATCCCACTGTTTGTACCCACTATAGACCACCTGCAAAATGCCACCACCAAAATGTCAGCAGATACTCTTTTTTTTCTTTTTCTATTTGTAGAAACGGGCTTTAATCCACAACTGAAAAGAAAGATTGCAATTGCAAGACTATTAACAAATTGGTACCTGTACTTTGTGGTCAGATGATGGATAAGAACCATAATTTCCAGCTTGGCTAACTCATTCCCCGGACATGAGTGGGTTCCATTGCCAAATGGCATAAATGTGTTGGGTTTTGGAGTAGCCTGTTCAATCATTGAGCAAAAGTATGCATTAGTGCTTGGGATCCCAAAGTTCAAATGATGTCAACCGTATAAATGTATTTTTCTGCAAAATTTACCTCGAATCTTGAGGGATCGAACTTTTTAGGATCTGGAAAGAACTCTGGGCTGTGGTGAATGTTTCTAAAAAGCGGTAAAACTTTCCATCCTTTTGGTATAAGATACCCTGAACAATATTTTTTGCAGGAAAAAAGTCAAACTACTAGCACCAAAAAAAAAAAAAAACTAAACTGATAAATAGGTACTGCTACTACTATTATAAGATATTTTGGGAGATTTTGTGCTAACTGACCTTCATATTCAACATCTTCCACTGCTTCTCTGAAGGTAAAAGATAAAATTGAAGCAACCCTAAGTGTCTCCTGAATCACTCTAGAAGTTATTGGCATCTTCTTGGTATCTTCCCAAGTGAGAGTTTGCTCCTCACCGCCCTGGTCTTTACCACTCATTATGGCCTCTTGTTCGTCCTGTAAACCCACAATATATAGCATTACAAGACCGCTATCGCTGTTATGAATTATTCATAAGTCTTTGGTGTATGGGGAGGAGATAATCTTACCGTGACAGCTTGAAGAACGCTCGGGTTTTCTCCGAGGTACTTAATTATCCATGTCAGTACGCTAGCGGTGGTGTCACGAGCAGCAAAGATTACACCAATAATGTTGTCAGCAATTTGTTCATCGGTGAGGCCTTCTTTGTCACCCATGAAAGACCCGAGCAAGTCATTGCAATCGAGCTTCATTTGCCTTCTGGTTGATATGATTTTGGCTAGAATCTGAGCTAGCTCTTTTCTTGATGTCATTGATTTGTTGAAAAGTGTACCAGGAAGGTTAATGGGCATCGAGTTGTACCCCTTCTCAAGAATGTAGTAGCACCTCTTGAGATCTTCTCTGTATAGCACTTCATCCTTTCCAAATATTGATAGTAAGGCAACGTTGAATGTGTACTGCAAAATTTGAGCAACATATCAATGAGGAGTGTAAATAAGTTATTTCGTCAAAGGTTAAACCAATTATTACCTACTTTTAGTTTGTAAATAAGGTAAAACGGGAACAGGGTAAACAGAAACAGGGCAAGAAAAACAGAGGACCCCTGCTTTTTCTCTGTTTTTAAAGAGAAATTTCTGCACTACCAATAAAAGAGAAGTAAAGCTTACTGTTTTCATTTCTTGGAAAGTGGTTATCAACCTCCCTTCAATTGACTGGAGTGACAATTTGGCAATGGATTCGATGTTAGACACGATGCTTTTGATGGCTTCAGGCATGAAGGCACGGAGAACAAGCCTCCTCAATTGGGCATGGTACTGTCCTTGGTTAAAGAAGATGGCTTGTTTGCCTAACATTCTCTCTTTACTTGCTGGAAATGTTGGCTTGAAGAGGTGAGCTCTGGTCACGAGCACGAATTTTGCAGCTTCTGGGCTCGAAACCATCACACAAGGACAGCCTAGTATGTGGGTCTTGAATATGGAGCCATACCTATTATACACCAAAACAGAACGAGCGGTCATTGTAAATATGCATTACATGTAAACAGAAAATAGTACTCGGAACAAGAATTAAGTATAGACCTTTTTTGCTTTGAAGCAAAGAAGACATTTGGGTTTTGGGAATAGAGCTGAAAGGTTTCACCGATGTAAGGCCAGCCGAGGGTGCCTGGGGGGAGAGGAAGTTCCCGGCGATTGGGTTTGAGGAATTTAAGGAGAGAACGGAAGAGAAAAATGAAGAAGATTGAAGCAAACAAAGAAAACATGAAATTGAATGCCATGTATTAATGGTTGGGGGTGAAGGAGTGAGTAGTTGTGTGAGGAAAACAAGTGGAAGAGGGTATATATAGGCATTTGGGTCTCAAAACAAGGCAAAGAAAGAAAGAGAGAGGTAGGCCTTTCAAATACAGCTTGAATCCCACACACGGAATCTCCCTCCAGCTCATTCATGATGTTGGTCTCTATTTACTAAACTAATACTCTGGGAGAAATCACGTGTCCTAAACTAATACTCTGGGAGAAATCACGTGTCCAGAAGAATGGAAAAAGAGCGTGTGAGTTAGAGGGCAAGCTTTGAGATTTTGACCAGAAAAAAAATTAAATAAAAAGGGCTTTTCTTTTGGCATTGGCATTGGCATTGGCTTTGGTTTAGTTTAATTAGTGACTTCTAACTATCCCTGTCCATACACATGTAGCAGATTTAATCACAACTTCTCTACACCGTCACCATACCCCTGCCTGCTACTTGTGTAGCTTTAATGCCAAACAACCCACTCTTGACCTATCTTTGCAAGTTTAGACTGTCAAGTTCCAACATATAAACTTGTTGCTTCGACTGCCATAAACTACCTTTTGTCAACTGGTTTTATCAATCAAAATCTGAGATTTTGAAGTTTTCTTGTTTGGTTTCAGATTGTCTTTCTTAAACTAAATTCTTATTAATCAAAATGCCTATTCAAACCATTAATCCGTCAAAACTCAAAACCTTTCTCAATGTTGTCAAGCATTGTTGGGACAATTGGCTATTATGCCAGCGGTTGGCAGATAAAAGATGGGACCTTACATTAAATAAGATACGAAGCCATCCTGGACTGATTGAATAATACTGTGAAATCTCAGTACTCAATGATTCATATCACCAAAACCGAATGATTTGGTCCAAAGCCATTCCCTTTTAAATTTCAAAGTCCATTTTCTTTGATCAATTAATATTATCATCTCAAAGCAGTGGTTAGGTAGGATCATAATGTACCCAATTGATAATCTATACAGGCTACCACATAAGAATAATTACATATATAAACACAATTTTTTTTTTTTTCATTTTCAGACTTGGGTTTAAGATGGATGGCAATATACATGAAGAGTTTAACATTTTTTACTTTTTTTTTTTTGCCATTTATTTTGTTTGATATTTATGCCATTCAGCACATATTCACACTTAAAAAGATTCTAGTGCTGAAATTGCAAATTGTGTACAGTAATGAAAATCACATTAATTTGTCTTGACACCACTAAGAAGATGAAAATCAAAAGATGAAAATGCCTACTAATTTGATATAAATTCCAAGGAAATCAGGTGTTTCATTTTTACACATATTATAACCTTTTTTATCTTCTAAAAACTTTTCCTGCGTCAGATATCCAATCTTTTGGGTCCCCTTTTTTTTTTTTTTTTTGTATTAAAGAAAAAGAAAAGTCCATTGATGATGAGCATGACTCATTCACGATCACTTCTAGCAAGACATGTGGCTTATATACATATTATTAAAGCCAGTTAAACCGAAAAAAGAGTCGTCAATGTCCAAGATCAAATTGTAGAGGAATTGAAAATTAATCACACATGTGGATAGCCTTTTATGTAATGCTTAATTATAATGAGATCAACTTTGCTTTGCTTCATTTAATTTCTCATAATAAATCTTTTGGCGGGGACCTTCTGGTGAAACCACCAATTCAAATAATCTTTGTCCTATCTAAAAGAATTTGACTTGGCTAATTCCTCTCTATATAATAAAGTAATAATTAGCTAATGAATTATAATAAAGTTTAATAAACTAATTATTTTAATAGTTGCCTTTTACTTTTCATAGATAACCAATGGTTATATTCAAAACACATGCCCTTCTCCATAAGAAACTTTCATTCTTTGAAATAATAGTACTTCTCCGATGACAAATGCATAGGTTTTTGCCCCCAAAGAAAGGATTTTCAGGTGATGATTGTAGAGAAATCGATAACAAAACATTATAATATAATTATATATACATCACCATTAAATCACAACTTTCTCAAAAGTTAACATTTATTTTGCTTTTCTTCACTGGCAAGTGCCAAGCATATTATTATTATTACCATTTATCTTTTCTTTAACATATCCAATGCACAATTAGTCCTTTAATTCATTTTGTTTTCACCATGCACACACAATGTGTGCCTTTCTTTTACTCCTTAATTAGTTATATCCATCATATGTATAGCATGTCTCATGTAAACATGTACAAAATGTTTTACCCAAATCATGGAACTAATAAAGTTTTGAAGATCTTGCATAATGTAAAGAAATCGAAAATGAAAAAAAAAAAAAAAAGCAAAATTATTTTATTCATAGAATTCCCTTGTATTTGTTAGGAAATTGTTTGCCTATGGAAAGAATAGTGCGAAATTATTAAATTGCTTTTGTTAACATTTATTCTACTTTGATAGGTGATACTAAATTGGCGAGCACATTGATTTATATTTTAACAACATGTATAGATTTTATATATGAAGAGAATATATATCGAGAGATCTTTGATTCATAATATGATTAAAACATGTTATATAATCACCTTATAGCCAAGAGCGAAGGCAGGAATATGAAAAAATGGGACCGAATATAGTAATTTCAAGGGGAATGGGGCAAGCATTACTTTTAGTGAAGTTGGATACTGTTCTACAATGGAGTAAAAAAAATTATTTTTGAGGGACCATGACCCCTACTTATAACATATATTAATTAACTTGATGAGTGTGTAAACATTTATAGATGCTATCAAAATTTAGATGAATTAAAAATGTCGAAAGGATGTGTAAATAAATCATGGGTTAAATCATATATATATATATATATATATATCTTTTTCCTAAAAAAAAAAAGTGGAACTCATAAATTTGCCCAAAGAATGTCACTATTTGTTTTGTTAGGCAAGAATTATATATGATGATACAATAATTGGATTCTTTTGACTAGTTTTCTATAACATGGCAGTACCATCGCAGTCTCGCACGGACAAGGTAATGTTGGGATTAGATTTATATATAAAGCAAGAAAGCTACCCTAACACATTACTTGTCTGCCAATATCTCTCTCTATCATCCCGAAAATTTGAGCAAGACAATGCATGCTTGATTCTGACTACACTGAGTCCCTTGCTATAAAAAGGATATAGAGAGATAAATGAGCCTAATTAAAGTTTACAAAGTGTGCCATATGAATACGATGTCGACCCCCATGGCCCATGATGGCATTCGTGCAGGTAGAAAAAGAAGTCCTGAAAAATGATGTAAGGCAGATGGTTTCAACATAATGTTAAAACCAGTGGCTGCATTCAGCTTTATACATTAATTGAGAATTGCCTTGCATGCATGCGTTCCCATATAGATTTACGAAAGTTTAGAAAAGAGAGAGAGAGTTGAAATTGAAAGGTCGAAGAAGGCTAAGCCTAAGCCTAAACTGTGAGCTGCAAACTGTATTGCTTCATTGATCAGATACTGGCATAAATACAAGCGTCCGCACCCAGCATTTATGCACACACCTAGGCTCTCCGCCTTTGAACAAATTCATGCATCGCAACTGCAGTCTTTTTGAGCATGCTAATTTTCCCAATTGAAAAAGGAGAAAATGAAGAAAATTTTATTATATTGATTTGTTTTTTATAACGAGGCTTAAAACTTATTTATACAAAGGTAAATTGTTATAAAATAAAAAATACAATAAATAAAAATAATGATTAAATCAATTTCTATAATCACATAATCAATATCTAAATCTATATCAAATCAATATCTAATATTCTTTAAATTAATATCAAATCAATCTAGAATATTATTGGAATATTATTAGAATAATATCATCAATTTAGAATATTATTAGAATATTGGTGACATCCCTTCGCAAACTCAAGATAGTAATGTAGAGGCTAATTTGAGTTTGGAAACTAGGATAAGAAATTGACCAAGCGGATGTGATTTGGTGAAGATATCTACTTTTTGATTAGCATTGGTAACAGTAATAAGTTGAAGAGTTTGAGTAAGCAAATGGTGATGAATGAAGTGACAGTCAATTTCAATATGTTTAGTATGCTCATGAAAAACATCATTGTGAGCTATCTGAATGGCATTTTGATTGTCACAAAATATAAGAGTACTAGAGTGATGAGAAACACTCATATCTTGAAGTAACTATTGTAACCATAAAAGTTCTGATGTGGCATTTATAAGAGCTCGATACTCAACTTCAGTCCTAGAACAGGACACCACAGTTTGTTTTTTACTTCACAAGAAATAAGAGAAGAACCAAGAAAGAAACAGTAGCCTGTGGTAGAACGACGATCAATAAATCTCCTACTCAATTTGCATCATAATAACAATGCAAGTCAAAAGAGGAACTAAAGGAAAAATGCAAACCATGAAATATAGTACCCTTGACATATTGTAGGATTCGAAAGACAACAACAAAATGAGTAAATCTAGGAGTATACAAAAATTGACTAACTAGATGAACAGCATAGGCAATATCTGGATGAGTAACTGTCAAGTATATGAGACTACTCACTAGAGTTCGATACAAAAAAGGGTCTGGAAGTAGTGTACCATCAGAAGGAGAAAGCTTCATATTCTGTTTAAGTGGTGATAATATAATCTTGCTATCAATTAAACCTGCTCGAGCAATAAGATCAAAAGCATACTTTGTTTGAGACAAATGTAAACTAGTAAAATCATTAGTGATTTCAAGGCCCAAAAAATAACTTAAAGGACCTAGGTCTTGCATCTCAAACTTAGAATGAAGAAAAGTCTTTAGATTTTGAATACTATTTATATCATTACCTGTAATGATAATGTCATCCATATAAAGTAAGAAAAAATAGTATTATTTTTAGTAGTTCAAGTAAAAAGGGCAGAATCATAATTACTAGATGCAAAACCAAATTGTATAATAGTGGCATTAAACTTTGAGAACTAAGATCTATAGACTTGTTTAAAACTATATAAAACATGTTGAATATGACAGACCTTGTTAGAAGGTACAGATAAACCAGGAGGTGACTTTATATATACTTTCTTGATGAGATC